GGATGTCGCGTGGCTGTCGCTAGCCGGGATCGCTTTCAGGCCGCCCTTTTTTATGATCTTGAATGCTTGGAGCTATCTGGATGCCAGTACCCGAACCAGTTTAGGAGGATACCGTTGGTGGTGGAGATGCTTGCCAAAGAGACGGTGGGAGTAAGCGCCGATAACGTGAGAGCGGGGTTGCTTCGGTTGGATGTCTACGCAAAGTTATCAACGCGAGTGGGACACCAGGTATGTTTGACACCTTCTTCGAAAGAAAAGTACCACTAGTAGACCAACGTAGCGTGCCTTATGATGTTGGTTTTGGTATCACTTACAGAACCCAGATGGCTACAATTGGTCTCAAGGACACATTCACATCAGTCACTAAGGTGTGTGCAGGGAGTCATGCAAGCCGAAGCTGCAGCCTCCTGTCAGTCATCTGGGAGATTGTTCTGTGCCTGTCGGTCATACAAAGACCGAAAGAAAGACCTGTGCTCCGTGGCGCTTATTGGCAAGCCGCCTTGGGCGCGGCTAATGTCAAACGCGGGAGCGGCGCAGGTCGCACGCAGAAGGGCAGCTCGTGTGTTTGTGAAGACGAACAAGGTGGCTGCCTGTAGGCCAGTAGGTCAGACCAGCGTAGAATATTGGAGACTTGCGCGGCGTGAACTGTGGTAGGTTGGAGTAAGGGAAAATTCTGTGCTTTCGTGTGCAAGTCAAAAAGTTGGAGATGCAATTGGCCAATCTAAGCATCCGAGCGGACGGTAACTGGAGACGCTGACACGCTTGTAGAATCCGGAGATGAGCTAGCGGATATGTGATACCGATGACGATCCTACAGATATAGCAAGAAGAGGCTCTTGAGATGCCATGTGTCGACGAACCGTTGCGAGGAGGAATTCATCACACCATTGAGGCATCCATTTGATGCAAGCCGGCCACGTCGATTGTCGATGGGGCCGGAACTGGAGACAGAGCAAACGGCTAGACGGGCATATTGGCTGTGCCGCACACACTGCTGCTGTCTCAGCGCAGCTGATAGAGCCTTTTGGGGGAGGGTGCATTAGCGTCTCATGGAGGCCTGGCCCTAGTCTTCTGCAGCAACGTTCGCCATGCAAGGAACTAATGCTGGGTGAATAGACGATGCCAAGGGAGTGCTTACCTAGGCTCTGGGGGGGGGTGCCGTAGCCGTCTGTTCTGTCCGGGACGGCATCAGAGTAGTAGAATATAGCGAAGGTGTTCGCACCGTTGGACGGCACATGGACCCAGGTTCCCAGCGATGACTGTTCTAGAGGATCCAGTGTCGTGTCTCTGGCACGCACGGCGCGGGATCGCTCAGCATGGCCGCAATCTAGCGTGGCCCTGGGCGCTTAATCTGCAGTTCATCCCTGAAGCTTAGCAGCTCCCCGGGCGGCGATTCGTCTGCGGCGCCAAGGGGTGGTGGTGAACGGACAGGTGTTGTAAGCGGGCCATGGTGCACGGTCGGGCGAGCATGTTCGCTGCTGGGTACACCAGCTTGACGCCGCCTGCGCTGAGAGTCTCCACCGAGGCAGAGTCGTTGTGTTGAAACAACGACACCACTTTACACGCCGACGCCGTACCTTGAGCCTCTTCCCGGCAGCTGGTCTGCTCTGATAAGCCTCGTCCCGTCCTTCTTTCCCATAGACGCAAGCGCTCTCATCGCCCGCCCGCCCACCCCCCTTCGCGCCGCGCATTCCCTTCTGATTCGTGACTCGCCGCTCAGCCTCGCCAACATTGTCGTCTGGAGTGACAGGCAGCCGATCTGGAGACGGGCCTCTTTTTTTTTTGGTTCCCTCGTGCCCCCCGCCCGCAACAGCGCAGATCCGGCGCAGCTCTGGCGCAGCATCTGTTGTGCCCTCCTCCAGAGCAGCGTGAGGCATGGCAACCGCGACGCAGCTCATGCCGTCACCGAGTGGCCTAAAGTCCATGTCGGCATTCAGCCCCTACACGGACTCGCCCAGCTCGCCGGGCACCTTTGCCCATGTCTTCTCAAATAGGTGCGACGCCCTCGTCTGGAGAGCATTGGGAACTGCGGGCTAACATGGACTCCCCAAGATCCTCGGGTCACACGTCGGACCATCTCCAACCACCACCGAGCCCATACCCGGCTTCCGTAGACCCCTCGCCCGTTGACAGCAACGGCACGAGCCATACCGACCATACTGAGGTGAATCATGTCGTGGCCGCATGTGGGAACACGCGGGGCTGACCCCACTACAGATCGAAGAGGATGCTCAAGAGAATCACCCGAGCGAGGATGGTATGAGCGAGATTAGATCACCGGGCACTGACGACATTGTGAGCCCGGCGAGCCAGGACGGCCAGACAAAGGTATGATATCATGTCAACACATCCATCGTCACCCCTTCACCCAGTCACCTAACCTGTGACAGCCCCATACCCACAAGCTCAACACCGCCGTGCGAAGGGCAGATTCGGACGATGCTCCTCCATCTGTCATCCATGCGCCCGACAGCTTCAAACAGTTTGTGAGTCTCATTCCTGTCGCGGTTGCACCGCATGACTGACGTGCAAGCCAGAGCCGGATGAGCACGTCCGGCGCGTCGTCGAGCGCAAACACGTCGGATCATACCGCGGTTGAATCGCCATCGACGCCGGAAGCCAATATGCTTCCCGATGTTGAAGACAAACAAGCAGCGTCTGCTCACACAACCCCAATTGATACCGCCGTGTCAAACTCGGTTGCAGACCGCAGCACGCCGCGTGCGCAGACAAGACAAGATTTCGAGGAAGACCTTAGACGACGCAGCGTTCGCAAAAGCGTCAATCTCGCTGGTATGTCTCGTCGAGCCTTGTACCCATCACACGCTAATGTGCATAGATATTGCCGAGTACGAAGACCATGCTGCCGTCGAGTCTTCTGCGAGCTCCGTCATCGAGCAGGATGACAGCCAGTCATCACAATCGCAAGACGGCGAATCCATGTCGATTGGCACACAAACAATGGGCCAGGCCATCCACGGTATCCATGAATCAGAAAAGGAAGTCGCTGCCTTGAGAAGTGCACTGGACGAATGCTGGATACTCTGCAACTCGCTGGCCAAACTTAGCCAGCATCACCGGACACGCATGTTCCACTACTCCGGTGGGAGTCCCGATATGCAAGAGCATGCTTGGAGAACATGCTGGCGACTTTGCCAGAAACTTTACGAGAGCAGAGAAGAGAACCCTTCCACGCAGATCCGGCCCACGCTGGAGCTTTGCCGAGACTTTTGTCAAGCACTGTTTGATGTTCGCCAGCGCGGCGATGAAGCTTCAGACTCGGTGCTCAGAGTCAGCTTTGAGCTGAACAACCATCTCTACAACGCACACGATCGCACACTACCGGAAACATTCCGTGAACGCACACTGGATTTCTACTTGACGCTATGTCATCGCCTGATGAAGCAGCGGACTTCTCTTCCAGAAGAGACGGACTCATTGCTGCACGCATGCTGGTCTTTGGCAGAAATGCTATTCAGCCTCCGCCAAAACAGCCGAGATGGCAAGCCCGCCGATGAGGAGCTGCTCGGTTCGGCCATACAGGCATGTTGGGAGTTGTGCGATTTGTTTCGTGAAGGCTGGACACAAGTACGACCGGACCGCGGCACCCCACGACCGACCCAGTATGCCTTTTCGGTCGGCCGGAGTTCTGTTACACATCGATCCCAGGCTGCGTATTCGGACCGGTCTGGACGGTCTTCCAGTGTAAACCAATCGTATCATTCTGCCATCTCCTCGCGACGGGCGACGCCAATCCAGCCAGAGACGCCGACTACAATTTTTGACGATCGCGAAGAGTTCTCGCCAGCGGACGAGCCGAATGTTCCTAACATACTTGTTCTTGGTCCAGAAGCTGGTATGACACGAACTCATGACCGCTGGTCATCCGCTTCCTCCAACCTCTCCACATACTCGGACGCTTCGCACCACACTTCTTCCACGGCTACCGCGGGCCGAGAAGATGCCAACTTAGTTCGCCTGAAAGGGTTGATCATCAAGGCAGCCATCAATACTGGCTACAACCGCCAAATACCCCTCCCAGATTTTATTCGTGCCTTACCGTCCAACAGCTTCGGCGCCGAGACATGGCAGAATCAATTGTTCGACAGCTATCGGAAACTTGTTCTTGCAGACCCAACCCTACGAAACGTTCACACTCAGCCGCTCCGCAGGCTGACGGCGCTTGAGATTGGACGATCTGTGCAATGGTTGGGCCGCAGCGAGGCATTCAAGTGGTTGCGCGAGCTCTATCGTTTTGTCTTTGGGGCTTATCCTGAAGATACCAGTCAGCGTAACCTCATCATCAACGCCTAACGCCCTTTTCTTCTCTTTATACATGGGTCTCTTCTTTCGGATCTTTGGAACATTGTCGGATCACGGGTGTTGTTTGGATGGGCCATTTATTCTATTTCCGCCATATACCCCCAACGCTCTCTCCAGTGCGCGCATCATTCGGTCCCAGCATAGTTTCATCGCATGTTGTAGATTACGGATGCTGCATATTCGCTTCTATGTATACCTTCTCGCTATCCTTGTTATCTTTATGAAGCCTATCGGCCAGTGCACGGTTCCTACATTACATACGAATAATAACCCATTTTCACCCTAACCGCAATCTTTTCGTGATGACCGCAGTATCGTGTTGTGACGCTCAAGCTGAATCTTGCCGTCCAAAGAAGACTACTCAATCTCCGCAATGATGAAGGCGCCATGTGGAGCCTGGTTCATGGCCCGCTGCACAGACCAAGACACCTCGGAAGCTCCCCCCAAAGTCCCCACACGGCGACTCTGCGACGCAGCACTCATCATGTAGTTCCCGGCAAAGCTTTGGCGGTATAGCCTACAACCTTCAATGCCTACGCGCGCGATCAAAGCCATATTCTACACTCGCTTCCATCATGAAAAAGGTGCTTCCTGCAAGATGAGCGCGTCCTAAGGAAACTCTCTAACATCTTATCAAAGGAAATCGCGTCCTTCACCAGGTGCCCGCGGGCGCCATAATGCCATCCAGCCTCCCATCGGCTCTCACCACACCGCTCTTTCCCTTCTCTTCGGTCACGCAATTCCTCATACCCACACAACAGTTCTGCGACCGCTTACTCACCTTCTGCATCAATCACCATCGTGTCATCGGATACCCTGTTTGCATAAGAGAGGGAAAGTACAGCAGAAATGAGTTCATCTTCAATTTCGCCATCGTAATTGGCGAAAATGAGCGTGATTGGGCCTGCTATGGTGAAGTGGTTAGGAAGTTGGGGCGCCTGTTGAGAGGACTGGAAGAGCAGGGCGGCTTCTTGTCTAGAGAGGAAGAGGGCATCTGGGAAGATGAAGAAGGGAATGTTGGATGGGGAACGGATGATGGCGTTGGTGGTTTCGGAATCGGCGGCGGAAGCAAGGTGTATGCGCTGTGTGAGATGGTGCTCGAGGATCTGAACAACTACGCTGAGTGCATGATACCAATTGGTATGTACTGTCCCATGCTAGTAAATAGTGTTTGGTATGCTAACCAACCCCCAGATGACTCGAATACCATCAACCTGAAATTGTTTCCTACACGGCCGCCTCCTCCACCCATTCTCGCGCATCAAGTGCCCTTGCTCACCATATCTATTTCAAGTCTTCAACAGCCCGTGTCTTCGGACCTTACTCTCAACCGAATCCTACCATATATCAACGGTATCAACTCGATATCCCACATTGCACAACTGGCTGATACCGATCTTTCTTTGACTAGGCGAGCCATTCAACATCTGGTCTACTACGGATGCTTGATACTTTTGGATATCTTCAGCTTTAGCGCCATATATGCGCCAACAGCCGAGATTGGCGGTTTTATCATAGACGCAGAGGTCAAAGAAGAATGTATGCGCTACGTCAGCGTGCCGAGAATGAGGCTGGGCTCTAACGCCAAGACGGCGCGGATGGACAGTGAGGTTTCTGAAAGAAGTCGAGACGAGCGCAGCTCGACGTCGTCTTTGTCATCGCAACAACGCGGGACTGTGGGGTCTACACTCAAGATATCAGAGTTTGATAGTCACATTGCGGCGCAAAAGAATGAAGAAGAAGCAGAGAACATATGGCAAACGAGTCATGAGACGTTGATAACGCTATATACATCACTACGGCAGGGTCTGACTCTGAAAAACTGGGTACTGGAGAATCTGGACTTGCTCCATGGTGTTGATGTACGCCGCTTCATTACTTTCGGCATCATCAAAGGTTTCCTCTACCGTGTACACAAGTACGCGATAGCAACCTCGACAACCTTACCTCCCGCACCACCAACAAGCCTGCAAACAAGCGCCGCAACCTCACTCGCAAACCCTCGAGACTCAGACACCACCACGATCCGTGGTCATGAGCGCATGCATCACTCTTCTCAACCAAGTATCCAAACCCATGGTCACCACACTTCCCAGCCCAACATCCACACACATCACCCGTCTTTCTCGATACACAGACCGAGCATCGCTTCGATGTCTTTGAACCCCCATCAGCAACAGAATTCCCACCATCTTAGTGTCCACAAGGAAGAACATCCGGTCTTTGAGGGCTTGGTGAGCGACCGTGACAAGAGTGGGTTGCCTTTGTTGAGGTTTCTGGATGGTATGCATTGTTTCGATGAGATATGTACGGACTTGGGATTGCCTGAACGGGTTGTCGAGGGCAAGGTAAGAAGTATGGGTGAGGGTGCTGGGGTAGTCGTGCACCGATGAATAGGATTGGAATGCTCTCATCTTGTGCACTGAGATGAGTCAAGGAGAAGCACCAAGTCGAATCTATATTCTATGCCATAAAACCTAATGCTTGTATCATAATAGCGCTAAATATGCATCCCCCAAGCAGAATGATTAGAAGAAATGTCCCCACTTCGCCTATTGCAGTCCCTTACGCAGCTTATTTACTTCGTACCTCAATCTTCCTCGGTTTCTTCTTCTCCTTGTTTTCCCCATTTCCACCATCGTTCTCCCCTTGTTCAGCTTTCCGCTGTTGCGCAAACTCATCTGCCGCCCGTCTTAGTGCCTCAGGATCCGGTATACCGTCTTCTTCCCCACCCATCTGATCTTGAATCTGTCCATCGACATCCTTTTCATCCGCACTGCTAGTGCCGTCGCCTTCTGCCTGTCCATCCTTGTTCTTATCTTTATCGTTTTTCTTCCCTCCACCAAGCTTGACCCACGGCCCATGCACACCACCCACGCCCGCACCAACCAACGTTCCAACAGCCGTCGTGGGTATTGTGGCCACAGTACCGACCAGCGTACCCACCACAGTACCCAGTCCAGCGCCAACAGCCATACCGATACCACCACCCCCTACACTGCCTTGAAACGCGCCTGAGCTCAGTACACGCGCCTTTTTAGAGTTCCCATGCGCCTCAATTTCCTTGTTATACGCATCTTGTAGGTATTTCTCCCGTTTCTTTGGGTCCTTGATCGTTTCGGCAGCGGAACGTAGCGATGAAGCCGTCTTGGCCGAGGCGAGAGCAGATTCAGCACTTGCGGCAGCCTCTTTAAGTTTGTCTTCTGGCGAATCTGATTTCGCGGCTATGCTTTTGAGCTCGTCGACATCAGGAACGGCGGAGGGTTCTTGCTGATTTAGCTTCTTAGGCGGCATAGTGTAGTTGCTTTTTTAATCGCTCAGGTATGTTAGGTCGATCAGGAAGTTCCAAGCGAACTTGCTTCGTGTGTGAGAGAACACCATGGTGGTACGCAGAGTTTCCTTTGGGAGCCTTTGTCGTATCCTTGGAGGTGCAAGTTCCCGTTATGACGTCATTCGTGAACGACTCCGCTCGTCTTAAAACCTGGAAGACTGGCAGCATAACGCGCTCCGAGGAAATGTTAATTTGTCAAACATGAAGGTCAGATTTTAAATCTCAAACGTAGTGAATTCATGACTAGGATTAGCTCGCTAATCGAGCGGAACAGTCATTGTTTACCGTGGTCGATGATATTTAGGTCATGACCCACTGAGTACCGTTGAAAATGTTACCCCTTATTCCCAGCTTAGGGTCCAGCTTCCCTGCCAAGCTCCCCCACTAGTCAAGTCGTTCAAGCCTGACAGCTTTAGGACGCTGCTAGTAGAGTTGTAACTCACCTTGCTTGCATCGATTGTCTCGCCGTTCAACTTGACCTGTCCAACTGCTGGAGCACCCAGAATGGTCACATTAGCAAGCACGTTCGTGTCCTTGAACTCGCCCTCGACATTGACCTTCAGCTGTCCAGTCATAGCAGCAAACGTAACGTCCAGGCACGATTCTGGCTCTAGAGACTCGCCGTCATCAACATACAAGTTACCAGAAGCAGTGCCATCTGTTGAAAGCGCAACGATGAGACCCCATGGGTTGTTGCGGGACTCGGTCGTTGTGTAACCGGGTTCTTGGATCGGAAGGACTGAGCCACCGCGAACGTACACGGGAATATGACCCAAAGGAGCAGAGATGGTGGTGTTGACGCCAGCCTCCGCCTCGATGCGTTCACCAGAGTACCAGTCGAACCAGCTTTCGCCATCGATGATACCAGGGAATACTCCATTGACGGTGTCGACCTGAGGCTCAAGGACAGGAGTGATCAGGATGTTAGGACCCAGCATGAACTGTGTGTCAACACCTGCGAGCTGAGGCTCGTTGGGGAACTCCCACGCTAGCGCACGCATGACAGTAGAGCCAGTAGTATGGGCGTCATTGAAGAGGGTGTACATGTAGGGTAGTAAGGAGTATCGGATGTGCATAGCGGTCCTGGATGCAGAAGCCACTGCCTCCCAGCGGTAGGGTTCCTGGGGAATGGCAGAGAGCACGTTATGGTTACGGTAGAAAGGGAAGAAAGCAGAAAGCTGCATCCAGCGAGCGCAAAGCTCCATGTCGGTGTTGCCGTTGAATCCGCAGGTATCGACACCGAACATGGGGATGCCGAAAAGTGAGAACGACAGAGCTTGGGGAATTGAAAAGAACATATAAGCCCACTTTGATGCATTATCACCGCCCCAGTGGCCCGCCCACTTGCCGCTACCAGCAAAGGTAGAACGTCCGATGATGAAGGGCCGCTTGCCAGGGAAGACTTGAAGAAGACCCTGGTAGGTGGCGTTGATGATCTGGTGACCGAAAAGGTTGTGGACATCGTACTCTTCAACGCCATTCTGATGTGTTGCATTGGGACTGACCGCGTGGACAGCAAGATCAGCTCCGGCTTGGACATGGTTGATGACGTATGGAGGGTAGTTGACGTTGCGCACACCAGGTGTAGGCGTTGATCGGAAGTAGCTGGTAGTTGTAGCGGCCGTCTCTGTAGGTGCTGTTGGTGCAGCCTGGCTTGATGCGCCAGCTGAAGCCGAAGCGGCCTCAGTTGCATTAGTAATGTTGAAGCCTTCTGGATAATCGAAAACGACGTTGCCAACCTCGCCAGGGAGAGAGAAGGGTGGGTGAGCAGGGTTCAAGGTAACGTTCCCGGAACCGCAGGAACCGACGCAGAATGAAGAGACTTCAGTCATGTCCACCCAGAAGCCGCTAAATGGCACTTCTTTGTACCATTCAACCATCTCCTTGACCCACCACGCTACACCATTGGAAGACAGCCAGTCTGGGAAGACAGTGTATCCAGGCCATACAGCGCCAATGTATTGACTACCATCAGGATTTCTCAGGAACACATCGGAATCGTTTCCGCGAGCGTAGGTGTCGTAAGCATCACTGGCGTTCAATGGGTTCGGAATATAGATAGCAGCGTCCACAATGGGTACGAAGTGCTGGTTGTTTCCATGAAGGAAGTCAAAGAATTCTTTGACACCAGAGGGAGGGAATGACACAGGATCAAGCGTAAAATCTCGGTACTGGTCCATGTAGTCAATGTCAAGCCAAATCGTTTCTGCTCATAGTCAGTAAAGAAACACATGTATTACGTCGAGTAAGGACCAACTTACCCATGGGGATATTAAAGGCCTTCATAGTCTCAACAATTTCTCTCGTCTCCGTCCAGTTACGGTATCCCCATCGACATTGATGGAATCCCAATGTCCAGTACTGTTGCATGGCAGGCAGTCCAATAGCCGACTTCTGGTACTCCTTGGTCACTTCTGGCTGGGAAGGTCCATCGAAGAAGAATAGATCAATTGCACCTCCCAATGTTCTCCATGAAAGATGGTCAGGCTTCATAACAACATCCATGCCGTGCGTGTTGCGGCAGTAAACACCATGAGAGCGCGACTCATACGCCGAACCGGTGGGTTTGCTGTCATAGCCAAAGCTGGGCTGCTGAAGCTCAGACTGCTTCAAGGGAGTCTTGCTGCCATTCCCGCCCTTCTCGAAGTAGCGGGTTTCTAGGTAGAAGGGATGACTACCGTACAAATTGCGGTCGATTGGGTCACCCACATCAGCAGCATAGATGGTTGCGGTGAAGTTGTTGTTCAGGCGAAGGCCATGAATACGTTCTCCTAGACCGTAGAGGTTGTAGTCCTCAGGTAAGCTGTTCACGAACTCGATAAACTGGTTCTCATAAATGAGCTTTGTACCCTGAGTGGTGAAGATGATGTCTCCAGTAGAGCGACGGCCAACATTGAACCAGAAAGATGGTTCGTTACCCCCTTGCATATGTGTTAGTCGAGCTCTCTCGTTATCCAGGCAAAAACGTGCTAAGACACTCAGGGCTTCAAATTGGTTACTTACAGTCAAACTTGAGGTCTGTGCCCTCGGAAGAGTCTTCGGCTTGCGGCCGTGGAATAAGATCCTCGGGTACAATCCATTGGGATTGATTGCTGGCGTCAAGATGCTTTGGTACAATACTGACAGCCAGCCTTCCCTTAGATTGGTACTCAACCTTCAGGTCTAGCTCTTCAATATCTGTGCCGTAGACATTGCAAGCAGCTCCAGCCAGTGTCAAGGTGGCGCTCAGCCCGCGATCACCCTGTTCGAGACCGGATGCCTTGTATCCTGGGCAGACATCCTGCGCGTCGACAGCTTCCGGATCATAGATGTTAGGGATCTGGTCAACGCCCTGATCAGCCGAGGCAGGGAGAGTGAAGACGGAGCGAAACGAGGTAGGGGTTCCAGCGAGTGTGGTGCTCCAACCGCCGTCAGACGAACTGATAGGTGTCTGACCAGATGTTAAAGCCAGAAAAGAGGAGAGTAGCGTTGAAGCTTGAAGAAAGCTTGAGCGCGACATGATGGCTGTGCTGAACCAGTCGAGTGCTGCCTGGACATCCCCGGGCATCCATTGCGATTTGGACCTTTTATAGCTTTCTGCGGTGCTGTCAGCGGCACCTGCATTTGGCGCCATTTTCGTTGATGGTCGGTTGTGCGATTCCCCGCAGCGAAGTAGCCCTCGATGACGCTGAACAACGGGAAGGGCAGCTAGCAAGAAGGCTGGGCGTATTCATGCACCATGCATAAGCGAGAGTCGTGCGGGGGACGATCATGGGGAATCGTGCCGACATTGAGCGAATAGGAACATGCGGGCTCATGTAGTTCGCACCGACATGTGGGGATGGTGAAGACGAAGGCGCACTTCCAGATTTGAAGCTTCAGGGCTTGAAGCTTGTGGTAGCCCGTAGTGCGTAGAAGAAGCGACTTACTTGGTTCTTGAGATCTTCCATGCGCCATGCGATAAACACGATGACGGCGAGCTGAGGGAACAAGATCCATTGACACATGCTCGAGATTAGAGATTAGAGAGGCAATGTAGGTAATATGGAATTCCTTGTCTTTGTCAATCGTAGGTAATACGAACATGTCTTCAAGGAACCCATCGCGTTTGCTTCAATGAGTAGACACACGCATGCAGTAGGCGCCACAGGTCAGAGTTCTCTTTCACATCTTGGTCCCGGCTGCATGTCACCTGGTTCTTGCTCCACCGACTAGAACAGTTACAATACTCAATGGACGCATCGCGGAATGTCTCTCGGACTAGCTACATCTCCGTGTCACGACATAGCGGGCTCAACGTTTTGTAGCCGCATGTCAAGACAGTGGGGTAGATTTGCGGATCTCCCCACAAGCACGGCACGGTCACGGAGAAAGCTTGAACGGCACAGCTACCAAGCAGAATGATGCGTTGCTTTCCTCGTATTTGTTTTGATTTGGTTGTTTTACATTACGTTAGGGTATTAAAGTACAAGAATGCTCAGTGTCTCTGCGACATTGCATCCGCTCTGCAGTTATAATCCGTAGTATGGTATATCCACCTCTGCTCATAATGCCATGATGAGCTGCCGCATGCGCGATTTCACGGCCTCGCGTGTTGTCCTAGCGCGTTCCCGCGCCCTTCCCGTGCGTCGGAGTACCACCTTGGTCGCGCACGCCCTCGTTGGTCCATAGTCGGAACCGGAAGCGGAAGGGTCGGCGTGGTATAACATCGTGCGCACTGCGATCCTTCCTCAGGGCCTCGCCCCGAGCAAAATTTAATGAAAGTAATGTCCTGCAGCACACGGCCTGCATGGATAAAAGTACAAAAGGTGAGCGACCGCCTATGGCTCTGTATTTGAAATGATGGTCGGCTCTTCGTCTTCTAAGATTAGGTGGCTTGTATAGCTCAAGTTAGAGGTGAATAGCTTGTCGGTCTGCTGTCCTCGCTGGGCCGATGGTAAGTTTTGTATTCGGCATACTCGTCGCCCTCTTCAGCAAGATAGAGTCCATCATCTGGTAGCCAGCTTCGAGAATCGCGCGTAGCACGGGTCATGATGCTTTGTGTAGAGGCTCGTGCCGAGCTTCGAAGCGGTGCTGTTGGTGGTATAGGTGGTGATTGTCGCGACGGCGGTGTATAAACAGTTGGTGATAAACGAAAGTTGGGGCTCGTGGGACTGGGTAAGGCCGCTGAGCTTGGGTGCAAAAGCAAACCTGAAGCAGCAGGAGGTGCAGCAGGTGAAAGTGGTGCTGGAATAAGACTCGAGTCCAGATTGGCCAGGTCGGCGGGCTTGGAATTCTTTGGAGGAAGAGATAGTGGTTTAGGGAATGTGGATTGTGTTGGTGTACGTGCAGGGTTACGCGAAGGCAGCGTTGGTGTCGTCGGCTCGCCATTTGGCTGATCGCCTATGATGTCTTGGTACCAGTCGTAGGAACGGAAGCTGAAGCTTGGACTTGGGGGCGGCAGGTCAGGCAATGGTAGTTGCGGGGCCTTGCTTTCCAGTCTAGAAAGAGTCTCGACAATGGGAGATGGGGGTTCTGAATCACCCCCCTTCGAGCTGTTGTCGTCGGCTATCGAGACGGTATCCGCGGAGTTCCTTCGGTTCGGAAACTGGCTCAATTCATACTCAGAGTTTCGCTTCTCCGTGGTCGGCGTTGGCTGCGAGATGATGACTGGCGGAGGTTTCGCGGTAGGAGGGATGTATTCCTCGAACTTATATTGTGGCTTACGATCACGAGGCGTACCACTACTGCGGGGAGTATCGTTACCTCGAAGTGAACTGACAGCGTTGATCATCTCATCGTCGAAAATCATGCTCTTGTTGATGTTGACGTTGACGGCATATCGCTTCGGTTCCGTGGGCGGAGGTGGAAGAGGATTTGACATCAGCGGATGAGGAGTCGGGCGAGGTGGCAGTGCTTTCTCCGTTGAGATCCGCGACTTCTTATCCAATGAATCCGATCTCTTGCTGCCCGCTTTCTCCTTTGTGTCGTTAAACGCAAGAGCTCTGGCGAAAAGCTCCGGGGCCATGGTTTGTTGTTGACTGAAGGCTGCGTTCTGGGGACTGTTTGGTAATGAGGCCACCAGTGTTCTTTGATCCGTTGCATTCGTCGCACACCTTCGAAGATCGTTTGAGGGCTCTTCAATGGTTTGAGGGCGTGGCCGTCTTGCTCGAATCCTCCAGAACCAGTAACCGAGCGCTACCATTAATACGACCAATCCGACAACTCCTACGCCGATACCGATAGCTGAGCCTGGTGTCAGTTGCGAAGTTGGCTCTGGACCCGATCCGCCAAGCGGCGCAGCACCGTTCAAAGCAACGCATCTTGAGCTCGAACACGTTTGGTCCTTTGTGCAGTTGCTATCTGTTGAGCATGTTTCGCTGGCCCCAACACTTGTGTCGATAAGACTTGGCTGATCGATTGAGTTGGTTGCGCTGGGGACAGGATTGGTCTCAAGTTGAATAAAAGAGAAGTCTGATGCTAAGTTGGTAGGTAGTGCGGTTGGTGACGACGAAGCTACACGTAAGGAGGTGGGAGTTGCGGATGGCTTTCGCTGTGTGGTAGAAGTTGTCGACGCTCGTTGCGACGAAGTGGATGTGGCGGGCGTTCTTCGCGATGAAGTAGAAGTAGTGATTTCTCGTTGTCGACGGCTAGTAATGAGTGTGGTAGACATTATTATTAAAGATAGTGTCGGAGCTGGATATACTGTTAAGGAAGGAATGGACGACGCCGCGCCGATGTCTCAGCCACTTCGTCAAGATGCGCAAGGCTTCTTTAAGTGGTACTCGAGAATCTCCGAAAAGAAAGCATGTAGAACGAATGTAGTGTGTGTGAGTGAAGAGTAGGTGTTCACGAAGTCACGAAGATCCACGATCGACAGAGTCCTTGCGACACAGCATCGCCATGCAGGGCGGCGAGGGTTAGACCATATCTTGTAGGGTCCGGTAGAAGAGCTAAAGTTTATTGACCATGCGCGCACGGCGCGGTCGATCCACGTTCGGTTGGAGGTTTGACGATCTTTAGTGCGCAACCCAACGTCGCAGCCGTCAAACCTTGTCCCCAAAATATTGCTTTTGCCGGGACAGATGACAGTAAACAGTGAGACAATAAAGGCATCTCATGATGGCAGACTGCATTTTGGCATGAATTGAGGGGATTCAGACACGCAGTACTCACTACAGTACAACACCTAACTCTCTTTCCCCTTTTGACCAGCATTGCCGAATGCGGCAGCCGTAAAAGCACCGTAGGTCCCGAGTCATGAAGTTCGCGGGTGCGCCTCCAAATGTGGTACCAACTCGTTTCAGGGGCACGGAAATGGTACCTGCATATACTATTTTCTGCCTGCGAGCCACTCCACTACGTCTTTTGCGTTACTATCGGGAGGGAAGACAGGGTACCAGATTTTGATGATGATTCCATCTTTGACAGCCAGCGCACATCTCTTGATCAGTGTCTGGTTCTTCCAGGTGAAGGTGGGTAACTTGAGGGCATTAGCAAATTGTAGATTCTCGTCCGAAAGCAGTTCGTAGGGTAGATGCAGCCGGTCTTTGACCTCTTTTTGGTATGCAGTGTCCTGAGTCGACAATCCAAATACATGCTTTACGCCGAGGTCGCGCAGTTGGGCCATCTCATCGCGGAAGCTGCACGCCTGAGGTGTACAGCCTCGTGCTCCTGGTATGGAGTTCCAATCTTCTGTGATTGTTTCACCAGGTGCGCCAGTACGCGGATAGCAGAAGAGGATAGTCAGGCCTGAACAGGTTGCAACATCTAGCCAGTCGCCAGCAGTCGACACCAAGCATACCGAAGATATCTGCGACCCTCTCAAGTGCGAGCACGCTCCGTCATCCTGAGGGATGGGTAAGTTCAAAGGGAAGGTTGTGTCTGTGCTGGTCAGCGCTCAGTCTCGTGAGTATCTGTGCCACTAACGAGCCATGATAACAGCCGGCCGTCGGTACCGAAGTAACGTCGAGTTACTTTGGCCTGGCTGGTGCGCTACCTCCAACGTGCGCTTCGGTCGCCGTCAAGTTGGTGCTGAAGGGACTGGCTACAAGTTGGTAGAGGGTTGACCCCAATGCCTTGGATTCGACCTTCCACCAGCGGGGTCCGCAATGACTTTTCAACTCAATCGACGATCCAGTGCATAAAAACAGATCAAAGACAAGAATAGTGTCACATTCTTGATTCGGAGTTGTTTATTTGCTTTACTGTCTGATGTGGTTATGTGGTGGTGTTCTCGGCAATGGCAGATGGTGACTGGTGGTGAAGAGAGTCGGGTGGCGGGGTGCGGCTTGAAAAGCATGAAGATAGGTTCAGGGCTAATGCGGTATATTACTTTGCTGTCGAACTACTGTTTGGTACTGCACTAGGTGCCGCGGGGTAAGAATCTAGCACGTGAACGTTGGCAAATTCCAGTGTCTGGCGTATGTTTGCTTTACGATCTGCCAGCCTCGCCTGTGCTTAGGTGATGTTTGGTAAGGTGGCGGGCACGCGGAAGAGCGTGTACCATCCACGAGACCCTTCTTTCCCTTGTTTCCCTGCTTTCCACGTCATGAGCTTACACGGCACTGAGAAGTTGTTGCTCTTGTGAAATTGGAGGGCAAAGTTTTTATGTTGCAAAAGAAGTGTTCGGTCCCTCGACTGGAGTCATCAGCAGCGATACAGCCACGGAGAACATCGCAGCCTTGTCTCGCGACCTCAATTGCTTCTTACATATCATCTCGCTTATTTGATGCAAGTTTTTTCCATTCCTCGGCCTTTGCCTTGGAACTACTCTTATTGAGGCATATTTCCACAGGAGAATGCTGCAATGAGTTAAGCTTCCTGTCGTATGATTATCGCCATGCCAACTGCTCACATAGCGATGCCTTCTGAGCTCCACAGCTACTCTGCAAGCCGAGGTCGACGAGCCAAAGTCCATGACCGTCACAACGCCGCTCTCCTTGCTGAGATTGAAGAACTCGCACGGACGGTAAGCTCACTGGTAGTTCCTCATGCATTGCGACCTACTCTCATTGGCTGCCAGATCGACAACAAGCTAAGCCCATGCTGATTCTGTCGATGATTGCGAGTCCTTAATGGTGTAGCAACGCGGTGATTATGTTGACTCGATTACCCAGACGTCCGTACATCCCGGATGCCAGCCAAATATGCCGTGCTCGCGGTGGATAGTGTAGTGATGCCGACTGGAGTGGGGTGGAGATCGGCGCTACAACAGCTGGAGCTCCTGCACGTCCAATCGTGACATCATCAAATGTCAGTAATGCACCCCTCATTATTGGCTAACTGGCAGCTGTCGCGCTCATAGACAACTCCTTCACTTCTCACCTCTCTTTGCACACATTAATGCAGTCACTACGAATTCTTCGACCTTTACGAACCCCACTCAAGCTTCAATTCAGTCCAACTAGTCGCCTACAAAGAGCCCCATTTACATCAACAACCGTAGTTATGGCTCAAGAGTTCAAGCTCAAGGATGTCACTTCCTTACAGATGAAGAATGGAGAGAAGAGAGAGGTTGAAGTCGAGGGCGTTGACGGAGGAAAGGTCCTTCTCTTGAAGGTACAGGATCAAGTTCATGCCACAAGTTCAAACTGCACACACTACGGAGCTCCTTTGGTGAAGGGTGTATTAACACCAGAGGGTCGTTTGACATGCCCATGGCACGGAGGTAAATTTCAATCCTGTGCACGCTGTGCCCATGAAACTAACGTTTACAGCCTGCTTCAAGGTCTCGACCGGAGATGTTGAAGACGCACCCGCGCTCGACCCCATTGCGAAATACGAAGTAATCGAAAAGGACGGGGCCGTATACGTCAAGACCACAGAGGAAGCATTGAAGAACAACAGGAAGTTTTTGGACATAAAGTGCTCGTCTGTGAGTGAGGACAAGGTGCTGGTCATCGGAGGTGGTTCGGGCACCCTTGGTGCTATTGAAGGTCTCCGAGGCGGTGGGTACAATGGCAAGATCACTGTTATCTCCAAAGAAGGCTACCAGCCCATCGACCGAACCAAATTATCAAAGGCACTGTTGGCCGACATCTCAAAGGCGGCATGGAGATCGAAGGAATTCTACAAGGATGCGTCGATTGACATCATTGAAGACGAGGCTAAGAGCGTAGACTTCTCAAGCAAGAAGGTTTCAACCAAGTCCGGAAAGGACTACGAATACTCCAAGCTGGTCTTGGCCACTGGTGGTACACCAAGATGGTTGCCACTCGACGGTTTGAAGGGTGATCTGGGCAATGTCTTCCTCCTTCGCACCCTACCCGACGCACAGAACATTCTCAAGGCTGTTGGTGAAAATGGCAAGAAGATCGTGGTGGTTGGTAGCTCGTTCATCGGCATGGAGGTTGGAAACTGCCTCGCCGGCATGAAGAACGATGTCACCATCATTGGTATGGAGGAGGGTAAGTCACGCGTGCATCTTAATTCGTGTCCAGGCTAATCAGGCTACAGAACCAATGGAGCGTGTAATGGGTAAGAAGGTCGGCGGTATCTTCCGCGGTCTTCTCGAGAAGAACGGCGTCAAGTTCAAGATGGGCGCCAGCGTTGAGAAGGCCACACCGTCAAAGAGCGATTCTTCCAAGGTCGGTGCCGTTCATCTCAAGGATGGAACCACACTTGAGGCCGATCTCGTTATTGAAGGTGTCGGTGTTGCTCCTGCGACTGAGTACCTCAAGGACAACTCAAGTGTTACGCTTGAGAAAGATGGATCGTTGAAGACGAACGAGTCTTTTGAAGTCAACGGTCTGAAGGATGTCTATGCTATCGGTGACATCGCAACATACCCCTACCATGGTCCGGGAGGTGACGGCACACCAGTCCGGATAGAACACTGGAACGTCGCACAAAACGCCGGCCGCTCAGTGGCCAATACCATCAACACTCCCGGATCCAAAGCCAAGCCCTTTATCCCTGTCTTCTGGTCTGCATTGGGTTCGCAGCTGCGATACTGCGGCAACACGGTCAATGGCTACGACGATGTGGTTCTGCAAGGCGAGCCGGAGAAGCCGTCATTTGTCGCATACTACACCAAGGGCGAGACCGTTGTTGCCGTCGCGAGTATGATGAAAGATCCGTACATGACCCAAGCAGCAGAGCTTATGCGCAGGAACAAGATGCCTAGCAAGAGTGAGCTGCAAAAGGGTGTTGACATCCTAGAGGTTGGTCTCCCGAACGAGATCAAGATCTAATGAGATCTGGCTATATATGGATGCACCTAGTGGATTGTCCGCTTAATAAAGTTTTAATGAAGAGATGTCATCAGAGGTTTCAAGACTTTGGTGCTAGTGATCTAGAAGCATGTTTCTGGTCCGTCGCCTTCCCGTCCAACGTGATTCTAGTGACATTCGTTTGTTCGTTTGTCGCTTTCCAACCACATCGTATCCTGTCACCTCCGTCGCTTCCGCATCACAACTTCCCTCACTGGCAGCCTTGGAAGCGGTAGTTTCTCAACATTGTCTTGACATATAACTCAAGCGGATAATGACTTGGAAGGTTACAATCGAGAGCTTACAACGAAATGTGATCAAAGTCAAAGCGAGGTAAGAAGATCTGGTTATGCCCAACGCGAACAGCGGATCCATGCTACCGGGAGCCGACCGTTGCAATCTGGAGAAATGCTCCGCAAGATGGGCCGTAGGGCGGTGGAAAGGAGATGAAGCTTTTCGCAAGCATTTCCACAATGTGACGTCAAGGTCGGGCAGTGGGGGCTCGTATTGTCAGCGCGAGGGCCAGCGAGAGCATCTGGAGATGGCGCAAGAGTCGAGTAACGGTGCTAGCGGGAAGGTGGGTCCGCTGGTCGCACGGCAAGGGCGATCGAGGCACCAACGTGTAATCTCCGAAGACTGGCCTAACGCTGGCTCGAAGGGGAAAATTGTACAGAGCAGACGGCGCGAGTTGGGTTTGTGGAAAAGTCTATCTAGCCTCACCCTGAGAGGTACAGTAGGCAATGCATCCTAAGACTGGAAACGGGCGAGGTGCAGTTGTGACAGCGACCTTTGATTGGACGTGCTGCCGAGGAATGCAAAGACATGCAGGGCACGCCTTCCTTCCAGCGTGGGCGGCTGAGACTGTGACAGCGGTTCTCCGTCATACCGTCTGGTCGCGAACTTGTACCTTTGTTGCTACATGCGTGGATGTCCTTGCTGTGCATGTCAGATGGAGGCAGGGGCGCGTCATAGCCATCAGCGCCAAAGCTGATTTGAGTTTCAAGATTGTTGTTGATGTTTACCATGTTGCTTTTGCTGGACGCGTCGCTACGGCGGCCGGCCGGCCACGCGTGAGACACAGTGATCAGACTGATGGTGCGGGTGAATGGGTGAAAGACACGGGATGATCAGAATAGGTCATGCATGTGCGTGAGATGAAGCGACATTCAAGGAGCCCGACAGATCTATATCGAGGACCTGCCCAAGTTGAAGCACCTGAGCACATTGCGGGCGAGCGCATAACAGGCAATTTACGCGTGCCGGGTCGGTGCTGTATGAAACAGCGACCCATGCCTGCTACTCCTATTCGAGAAGAGGCATCCAAGATAGGCACGTTGCGAGAGCGAGGACAGCGCCTGCGTGAGGGCGTCAGTCGGGACCGTCATGTTGGAGCTGGCGCCGGGACAGCCTGGCTCACTGTAGTTGGGTGCAATTTGACGACCATGTGGATAGCACGTCGTTAACCTAGCATCGCATCTAGCAGACCAGAGTCATTGCTTTGGCGGGCTGGTTTATGCCGAGCCCATGTCGATGATGTGCATCTGCCTCCTTTCCCAAGCCACAGCCTTTACCGAAATTACCGTCAAGACCAACCTCAGCCGCGCTTTCTCTTCTCTCCACTCACGTCAATCAACACGTCCAAGTCGAGCTGCACATCGCCGCGACCGTTAGATAGCCGCTCGCGCTGTCACCGGGAGGTAGCAGAGTTGCCTTGTTCAAGACGGCCGACCTTCGTGCACTCCACCACTGCACGTTCGCTGCCCACGCGCATGTGAAGGGGTTTGCTGCTCGCCGCCATCGCGCCAGGAATCCTTCGTGTTCCCTTCTGACCGCGCCCAAGACGCCAGCGTAGTCGAGTCTTGCCGCGCTCTGCCCACGTCCACGCCCACGCCCGCGCCGGCCCCAATTGTAAGACGTTCAAACACACCGCACCGCGAAAAGCTCCGATTAGGCCAGTCGCGCCCACCTGCAGCTGTCTGGAGATTCGGCGGGAACTAGGAGCACCTCACCTCCCCGCCATCGCCCATTCGACAGCTCAACACCGCCAGTTGAGGTTCGCCCACAAATACTGCCAGCGCAGCTTAGGACCGATAACATAGTCTACCAGCCCGTTCGCCGTGCTGCTGCAAATACTCCTGCACGTCGCATCTCCATATAATTATGGCCGCAGTGGCATCGCAGCCGCCGCACGGTCAGCAGCAGTACTATCAACAAACACAACAGTCCTCGCCCGCCGCAGCTTCGCCCGGTAACTCTCGCCGACCGACCTCGCGACGACCCAGTAATGGCGCGTCCCCGAACACGCCTCCTCAGATGAACAACACGACCGCCACCACCAACGGCAGCGGTCCCATGGCGCCGCCCAGGACTTCGTCGCACCGCACCCCCAACTCTGCATCCTCTTCATCACAGCCCAGCCGGGCACGCGAAGAGTCACGCCGGCGAGAAAAGGACAGCCCTAGCTCACGACCGCCAGCCAGCTCGAGCAGAGCCCAGCCAGGCCACAGTCGCTCAGCCACGGCCATTGGCCAGACGCCTATAGGAACCAGCTTGCCCCGCGAGGAGAGCGCCGTCATAAACCGCATCGTCGTCTCCGACACCCAAGATGACATCGCCCGCGCACAAGCACGCCAAAGCGACGGCCCTCCCGTGACCTCTGGCGCAGATCTTACTCCCATTACAGGACTCAGTCTGGTCGGCAGTGAGGGTGTCGACGATGGCGGCCGTGGCGGAGCCACAGTCGGAGCCAAGAGCAGACAGGACCACTCCAAGTCTGAAAACGCGAAGCGATCCAAGTTTGGAAACTACATCCTCGGTCAGACGCTTGGTGAGGGTGAGTTTGGCAAGGTCAAGATGGGCTGGAAACGAGACAGTTCGGTCGAAGTTGCCATCAAGCTCATACGGCGAGAAACGCTTGGAAGCAACTCGAACCGTCTGCAAAAGATATACCGTGAGATTCATATCCTACGCGGCTTGGACCACCCCAACATCGTGCGCCTGCACGAGATGGTTGAGACTGAGCGTCACATCGGCATCATTCTGGAGTATGCTTCGGGCGGAGAACTGTTCGACTACATCCTAAATCATCGCTACCTGAAGGACGGTCCGGCAAGGAAGCTATTCTCACAACTCATATCTGGTGTTGGATATCTCCACCGGAAGGGTATCGTGCATCGAGATTTGAAGCTCGAGAACCTGCTGCTCGACCGTAACAAGAACATCATCATCACCGATTTCGGTTTCGCAAACACCTTCGACCCCAACGACGAGCTCAGCGAGGAGATTGAGTACAGACTGGGAGATAAGGACTATATAAGATCCCTGGGATTGGAAGGTACCGATGCAGCTCGAAGAGGTGATCTTATGCAGACCAGCTGCGGAAGTCCCTGTTACGCTGCGCCTGAATTGGTTGTTAGTGATTCACTTTACACCGGACGCAAAGTGGATGTCTGGAGCTGTGGTGTCATCTTGGTAAGTTTGTTCAAGCATACATTTAAACACAAACATGCACACACATTCTAATCTCATACAGTATGCCATGTTGGCTGGCTACCTACCTTTCGATGACGATCCAGCGAACCCCGAGGGTGACAACATCAACTTGCTCTACAAGTACATTGTATCCACGCCGTTGACCTTCCCCGAATACGTCACACCACACGCGAGAGACTTGCTGAAACGCATCCTTGTACCGGACCCACGTAAACGGGCAGACTTGTTTGAAGTTGCGCGTCACAGCTGGTTAGCTGACTACGCGCACGTTGTCGGCTTCATCACCTCAAGCAACACCAATGCGGCTGATGCTCAACAGGCATCTGTCTATTCAAGTAAGTTTTCGTGTTCACGTGTAAGTAGGCATACATGTGCTCACATAGCCACAGAAGACACATTCGAGCCGCAGCCCTCACTCGCCAGAAGCGCCTCTGTTCGCGAACCGACAAAGCCACATACGGCACCGACTGCGCCTGGCGGCCTCCAGACGAAGCGCGATGCGATCAACCAGGCACCCTCCGAGAAGCCAAAGACCACCCGCGATACCAAGCGACGAACCGTGCAAGTCGAGTATGTCGCGCCATCCTCGCAAACCGCTCGCGGCGAGGCATCCCCTCCAGTCGAAACAACTCCGAAGGCACGCGGTAAAGAGGCGGAAGTACCTCCTACGGACGGATACCAGTCAGCCACGAGCGCCAAACCTCCTCGTTCTTCTTCTGGCGCAGTTTACAACTCGAACAACAGAAGACAAGAACCTCAACGATCTGTTTCCGATTACACCGCATTCGGCAATGCACCTCCATCAGCTACGCGCCCATCTACTGGTGGTGCCATGGGCACATCGAGAATACCGTCGCGAGGAAATTCTTATGGACAACCATCTGTAGCGACAGTGGCACAGACCACTGCAGAAGGACGGTTCTCGCAACCAAAGGGTAAACAATACTCAATCTCGGCCCCTTACGCACAGCAGGAGACTTCTGATGCGGCGGAGCCACCCAACATTGGCCAGTCGAGCTCTCAGCGAGTACAGTCCATACAAGTCGGTGGGCCACATGGCGGGGTTGGTGGTCACAGGAGGTCTAACACGGTTTCTTCCACTCTTGGCCGCATGACATCCATGTTTTCCGGCCGCCAGCCTTCTTACACCCAGGATCCCAAGGAGTCTTTTACATCCACAGGATCCTATGGCGGTTATCCTGAGGAGAAGAAGCAGAAGAGCTACCCTCCCACATCCATGGCCGGACCCATGTCCAATGAAGCAGTTTCTTCATCAGCTGGGCCCAGAGCGAGCATGGAATCTAGCCGACGCACTTCCTTTGGCTTCTCCAGAAAAAACACAGGTGGCTCTGGCGAGAATCCGAAAGGCAGCCGTCGCTTCTCACTTCTTCCGTCTTCGCTCTCGAAGACCTTCTCTTCTGGACGAGAAAGTATGCCAGCTCAAGGCTCCCACGAGAGACGCGGCTCCAGTGCTCGTCCTCGCGCTAGCTCGCGTCCTGGCGGGATGGCTTTCGGTCGCGGTTCGGAATCCAGGTCTCCTAGTCAGAGCACTCAAGGAAGCAAATTGCCCGGTTTTTACGATGGCCAGCATGACAGCAACTCTAGAATAAGACAGCCCAACACGAGCGCCGCTGGGCCCTCATCAGCGCCACCAAACCAGACCCAGTTTGCTGGCTACAACCATTCGCAACCCGAGTTTGACGAGAAGTTCCCTAACCCGCAAGGAACTCATCCATCTGTCCAAGGAAACCGCCCCTACCGCCACCCCACTGATGATTCAGAAGCCGATATGACACAGTCACAGCAGTTCACCCAAAGGACCCCATCAAACCCTTACCCAGCAGGCATGGGTGGTGATGAGTTGAACCAGCAGCAGAGAAAGGGCGTGCTACAAAAGAGTAGGCGCTTTGCAGATGCATACGACGAGCAAGGCACTGGTAACAAGGGAAGCTCGGGTAGCTCTAAGAAGGTTATGGACTTCTTCCGGCGCATGGGCAAGCAGAGAACCAGCAGCCGATAAAGTGCTAGACGTGAAGAAGGATAATCGCAGAGGTTGTCTTGGAAAGAGAGAGCCACAGCAGGACGGGGTGGCCGGGCCAGATGGGTGTTTGAAACGATTTGGTTGTCTGACCTTGGTTGTGGTGTTTGGGAGCATATCGGCGCATTCTTTTCACTCTCCTTTCCTCTCTCTCTCCCTTCCTTTCTCACCCTCACAACTCGTTGTCTCTTCGTTCTTGATTGTGCTTGCTGGATACCACATATTCACGCACATGTCGGCTCTGTTTGTTTTTTTCATCATCAGCGTGCGGCATGCTGAGGTAATTATTGCATTAGGAGGCGTTTTTATTTCCTTTTCTCTTCTGACATTGGATCGGCAACGAAGATTGTTTGGGTTTTACGTTGCCAGGTTAATCTTTACTCTCTCAACTCCCTCTCCTTTCTTGTAGGAAGAGATTGAGGATGATTGTTCAAGTGTAGTCGTAGCTGTAGTGTAGTATACAAGGGCTTTGGGCGATGGCGGTGGAAAGTGGAATTGATATGTTGGAATGTTCGATTTTCTTGACTATGCATCCGTACGAGGTTCAATGTGCTTGATGTGTTGGTGTTGCACTACTTACCGCATGTGTGTAGAGTAACATCGACTCGCGTAATTATGCAAAACATATTTTGTATCGGCATGTGGCTTTGCCTTTGTATAGCCGACGTCTGAGCACAATAGTAAACTAGGCTGTAGTATATATCTTAACATGGTAGACCATATCCAACTCTTCGAGGGTGTAGTTGACATCTACTCGAAGTAGTCACAACAATCTGTTATTAATGGGTAGCAGAACAAGGTCACCAATATCAACTAAGCATTAAAACAAGACTATTTTACCGAAACAATCAAATTCAACTCGACTTCAACAAATCCGACCCTTTCTATATAACCCGACTCAATAACCCAGGATATCAATTGTCCCGTTCTATGCCCAACTCTGAACAAGAAAAGACCCTGGCAAATGTTGCAGTTCCGCTACTGACCAAACACACAAATCGCCCAGTAGAATCGTAGAAGCGCGTCTATGAAGGAGGAAGCTGACCGCCCTCCTTGGTCTTACCCACGGGAGGGTTGGGCTTGGTGCCACCCGCCGAGTTCAACGAACTCAAGTAGCAATTCCAGCCCAATGAGATGACGTTGACAACCAACACCCTCATCTCCGCGGGCACGTATTTGAAGTTGGTGAACTGGACCCAAGGCCACACCATCAAGTTCTTCTGGTAACCGGGTAGGTACGCGTCCTTGAGACGCTGCACTGGCGAGTTTCCTTCCATGTAAGCCATGGTGGACAGGAAGAGAGCCATGTTGCAGGGTGCGAAGAGGAATTGATCACAGGCTACGCGCGCGACGATTGTGCCGTTTGTAGATTTGAGGTTTACGCGCTTGACGAGGAAGTCGAACCACTTTGTTGCTGCGGGGCCGAAGATACCTGGGGAAGGGTTAGTTTGGGGAATGGCTGGAGTGGGGATGTGGGGATCTGAGTAGCGATAGGGGGGGGATAAAAGGAGAGCCAAGACGTACATCCTCCGTAGGCGGCCATGCGTCCTGTACGTGCGAGATCGTGCTTATCGAGTCCACGGCGTTCTACACCCTGCTGTGCCATTGTGTCGCCGGTCGCGAAGAGTACCTGTCGCGCGTCATGTCAATTTCCTGTCAATCTGCATTGCAACTGCTCAATCCCTCCTATATCCTCATTTCGGCTCGGGTTTGGTGCTTATCGACACGCTCGTTGGCCATGTATCGAGTCGCATTGCGTTGCGCAGGAAGGAGACTAGGGATCGCAAGTCAAAGCGAAAGGTCTGCATACCGCTGTAGTAATACTCTGCGTCAAGTAGGGAGAAGTCCTAAGCTTCGCTTGGTACCTATCTTTGGTGTCAGTATCATCTGTTCCTAAACTCCCGTGGCCTTCCACCGCTCTCACGCTTACCAGCGAAACGCCATTTTGTCGGTGATTAAACTTCTGTATTCTCAGCAATTGAGATGGACGACCGATGTATATGCGCCTGAGAGCGAGCGACACACCGCTTTAAAAAGGGCAGAAGAGTGGAGAAGTGTGTGTGAGAGAAAAAGAAAGTCGAGTAAGTCCAGCGAGATAGTTTGGTGAGCTTGCGGGACCTATGATGTCGTTAGTGCAGCAGGGTCCGCGCCGCACATGGCGGTCGGGGAGCTTAGCTTTGTACCCCTTGATCCCGACTCGTGTCTCGACCATGAACACAAGTCATTATGCAGGTAGACGCAGCTTACTACTCAGTTGCACAAACTTAATATAGATACGGTCTATTGGTAAAACGGAGTAAAAGTTCATAATGAGATTCAATTCAATTCCGAGCTCGTCTGTTCATGGTGGGGTATAATATGATCAGACACCTAGTTACAAAAAAAAGGACCGACAGTTGTTGTACAAAGGGTCGTTAAATGAAGAAAAAGGAAACAATCAATGCGGGTTGGTATAACTCCTCGTACGTGATGCCACATTGCAATCCGTCTCGTCTTCAACCTTATGTCTCCGCATATAGCCCAAAAAGAATCCCTAGATGAAAGAACGCCAGTCCCGCTGATCTCATCCGGGTATGATCAAGCTATGCTCGCAGAAAGCAGGTATCCAAGAAGTCATGTCGTAAATTTTGTGTAGGTGGGTATGAAAAAGGTCGACTAGTCGATTTCCATCCGTTGTGATGGCGCAGGTCCGCTCAGTGACGGCATTTCTGTATTGTATGTCTTGTCGCTCTGCACAATCTTGTCGTTGACATGAGGCTTCAGGCCCTTGTTGAAGTTGTGGGTGCACAAGCATGCTGTAACAATGGTGATGATGAGCAAGAGGATTGTGAGAATGGCAAAGGCAGTCAGCGACTTGCGGGCTGGCTTGTAGTCCTCCTGACGGTTTGCATCGGCGACCCACATTCGGATGAGCTTGAACAAGAAGTAGCCCAGGGCGATGAAGTAGACGACGATAATGCCGATCATACCAGCAACGGACTCGCGGCGGACCCACCACGCGGCAAGGAACAAAAGAAAGAAAGTGATAACGAGGGCGGCAGCGGTGAGGATCAGTTCAACGGTTTTTGTGTTTTTGACGACGACCAGGAACTGTACGGTGAAGGCCAGGAAGAAGAAGAAGTCAAACTTGAGGAGGGCGATGTAAATCTATGTCGTAGTCAGTAGGGCGGACTTGGACGAGAGTTGGTAGGCAGTACCTGGTAGGTCAGATAGCGCCTCTTGAGCCTAGTGTCGGCACTGATGCGCTTGTAGATGGTCCAAGCGAACTCATCGTACAGCTTCCATGCCTCAAAAGCAAAAATGACGGTAGCAACCGCCATAAGAACGGGTAGGGCGATGAGCATGGGCTTGACGTCTTCCCAGAAATCCTTGGGAATGAAGCGGCGCGTGTTGAGGTCGTCAGCAGCGTCCTTGATCTGGTCGAATTGAATGGCGGCATAGACGAGAATGCCGATGTTGTACAGAACAAGTCCAATGACCTGAATGGTGTTCTTCATGCGCAGAGCATCCCAGGTAAGGAACAACTGGTAGATGTAGCCGAACATGAAGACGGCGAGGAAGGTGGGAATGGTGCGGGTTTCGTTGGCGCCAGCACCTTCGGCAGCGAAATGGATCTCATTCTGGAACTTGCTGAAGACGTACGACTCGAGGGCGAGGGCGATGCCGACCTGGCAGATGGCCGTAAGCATGAAGGCCCAGGTCCAGCGCGTGTTGGGAATGTACATCCTGGGTGGGCGTCGCACGACGGGTGGAAGGGTGGTGGGGAAGCCTTCGCGGTGGTGATACCCCCCAGGTTGGGTATCGAAGGGCTGCGGTTGGTATGGCGGTGGATACGTCGTGGTGGGATAGGGCGCGTAGTTGTGGTCGAGGGGTTGGCCTCCTAGGAGGGATGTGCGGGCCTCGTGGTGAGTAATTTTGGCTATGTTGGCAGCCGCGATGGGCGGCTGGAGCGTGGGGATATAGAGACGGGCGGTTGTGCGGGCTTGCTTTTGCGGCGCAGACACAGACAAACTGCGACCTGTGTCGGCTTGGGGTTTGTAGGGCTGCCGGGGTGGGTGAGACAACGGATGGGCGGTGGGAGGAATGCTGAAACCAGAGGAGTCGCTGCGTTCGGGGGACTGAGACTACTGAGAGAGCGCGCGTCTCTGAAACTAGTATCTTGGCTATGCGGAGAGGCCGAAGAAGCAAGAGCGACAAGGACGGAGCGGAGTGTGGGGGAGGATGTCGTGGTGCAGGCGCGATGGCGATGGTCGACGACAGCAGTAGCGAGCGGCAAAGTGGAAAGTGGTCGTGTTGTGGGAAGAGAGCAGGCGGAGATGGGTGCCGTGGGTGGATGCTGAGGTGCCTGGCCTGGTGCGCAAAGTAGCGCTGGTGCTGGGACAGCCCCGGCCGGTGTGGAGAAAGGCTGAAGGGGGTCTCGCCGTAAGACCCGCCCGCTGCTCCGTGGTTACCTCTGCTGCGATGGGAGGACCTAGTCGGAGCGTCTTCGCATGCCACTTTTCCTCAGTAGTGTGCAAATACGAACAAGAGAGAGAGAGAGAGAGAGAATGCGCACGTCGTGCACACTGCCGGCTACAAGTAGAGAAAGGCACGGCATGACCCTCTCAGCTGCCCGTCCTTGGCTTCAGCACCTGTCGAACCACAAACCACATGCACCGCCCCCCCAGCGTTGCTGAGCAGCCTGCGTCGCCCGCGCCCATTGGCCAGCCACCGCTAATTATAGTCTGCGCATGTGTGGCGCAGGCCTTGGATTACCACGGTGCAGTGGAGTGACAATCTACCGTCATGCTGCGCGATTCCGACAGCTGCTCCGGTCAATTGTTTCGACCAATCACACACCCATATCTGACATCATTAAGGACGCGTAGTGCACAGGGTCGCCGTTTCGACTGTCCCCATCATCGGCCCGCGAAAAGCAGCGGTATCGCGAGTCGCGCTTCTGACCGCACCACCAACACCACGCGCTGCAGCCATGACGTCGTCTGGTGACTTTGCAGCAGAGTCAATCCTGCAGAGAGCTGTCGAGGACGGCTCCCTCGACTCGTAGGTTCTCCACCACTCGACACATGTCCATCATGCGTGCATGCTAACGCGCTCGCCGACAGAGCAGAATGGCCAAAGACACTCGAGTACATCTTGCATCGCCTTGACGAGGTACCTCTATCCCACCCAGCCTTGGCCCTCGCACTTCTGACTCTCCCAGATCATCAGCGACTTCCCCAAGCTACCTGCAGATTCAAATCCACGACCAACCACATCAGCAACCACGGACCTCCCCTCGCGACCCAACACCTCCAACGCCATATCCAGCCAAGACTCGCATGCTACCGACAAGGAAAATGCACCGCCGACCACGCCCCCGCGACCGCCCGTGCCCGCCTTCTCCGCCTCCACCGCGTCGCAAAGTGTCCCACCAGACATCACCACCTTCTACTCGTCAATACGGTCGACCCTCTCCACCAACTTTGCAAAACATCCCCCACATACCGTCCAGCGCCTAGCTGAGCTCGTCCTCGAGCCCAAGAAACGCTACCGATACCTTCCACCCTACCTTCGCGCCCTCGACCGCGTCGTCTCCGTCTCCTCGCCCCTCACCATCTTCCCGCTTCCACAAGCCGTGTTGCCCACCTCTGGCGGACTGCTCAATGGCACAACATCTACCACCCCCCAGGCCGCGCCCTTGGGCTCAGACGAAGCTCTCGGCGGCGCCCTGCTAACACCCATCCCTTGGCTGCAGAACCGTGGCCAGAATGAGCTCATCTCAGAGAGCACAGAGATGGTAGACGGTCCTAACGGTGCTGGTCGGATAGAGACGGTGACGGTTGGAATGCTCAGCGGCGGCCAACGAGCCGAATCCCCAAACGCAAATATAGCCCAGATTGCTTCGTCCCATCCCGACGGCGAGACGCTGCCGTCTACGGGGCCTGTCACCCAAGGCGAGCTCTTGCGTCAAGAGCAAGAGGCTGGAATTGTCCTCAATAACCCCCACAGCATGACCACCAGTCCAACGAGAACTACGTTTGGTGAGGTGGAGGGCGGAGGTACCATCATGGACACAGTCGAAGGCGAAGAAGAAGCACCGCATGCGAGAGGTCCAGAAGTCATTGGCATGGAGGATACGGGCCCTCAAAAGCAGGGGAAGCTCAACATTGAAGGAGCCATCGGCAGACCGAGCCTTGATCACAAGAGCCCTGAGCCCAAAGTACCCACTGGCACAGATGCGAAGGATCACGACATGAAAGACGAAGGGTCTGAGAAATCAAATGACAGCAAGGCTGTCGACAAAGAGCCCAAGGGAGATGCAACGGCCGAGGAGGAGACAAAAGATGCAAAAGACGTGGAAATGAAGTCAGATGACTAGGCGTCTCGAAACACTTCCCGTGTAACAGGACAAGTCGTTCCAGAACCGGCATTAGCTGAGATTTTGCACCTGCTTAATAGGTACACGCCTTCCTGATCCATGTTTCTGTACAAGCGGGCTCTCAATGGCAAGATCGAATATGCCAATTCTCTTAATCTCTTTACAGTTACGGGCTATTATGACTCTGTCATACCGCGTTTTGATGAGTGTAGGAAAAGTGCAAGATGAAATCCTCAAGCAAGCCTCTTCCACCAAAGCACACCACGATATCCTCCACCACGTTCACTTCCAATCCTCAGATACTTGACAACTGTGCCCTCCTCTTCCACCTCAACGACCGTGTAATTCCTCCTATGATTCTGACCAACCCACGTTGGCACGTTGGCCACCGTTAGCGGACCATGGAAGATCTGACCCTCAGTCTCGGTAGCAGGCAGCTCGTCATTGACACGGAAAGGTCCAGCGTACCCGATGCTGTGCTTGCCAACTTGCGCCCAATCGGCGTCTGTGTCGTTGGCTTGGTAAGGGAAAGTAAGGTTAGGACGGAACTCTGGTTCTGTGGCGGTGATGGTTGCGCTCATGAAACCTGTGGCTGTGTAGATGAGGAGGCCGACTGGGGCTTCCCCATAGGGGAGGTCCGGGATGGAAACGCCATTGAGCGTGCTAGATGTGTTTACCAGGGAGTAGGTACCGGCTAGGGCATTCATGATGGCTGTGTCGTTGATGACTTGGCGTGGTGGTGGTTGGGGGTTCGCGTTGGGTTCGGGTGTTGGTGTAGGTAGAGGAATGTTACGTCTAGCAGGAACAACTTCCGCTGCTTCGGTACACGACGGTGAAGCACACACTGGCTGCTCCTGAGGACGAGCGGACGCCAGAGAGGCGAGGAAAATAATTTGAGCAATAGGGACTCGCATGATGCAGTGCAATTCACGGTGGTGATTGAAAACAACTCAGAGATTTAGGCACGCGACCTAGACAGAGAAGTCGCGCTTGCGTAAGACGACAGGACCTTTTATACGCACCATGATGATGCACCCTTCTCAATCAAGCCCGTATACCGCAATCTGTATGACATGATTGTCCTGGAGGCGTCGCAATTACGCCGAATAGGCATCTCTTGTCCGTGCTGGGCAGGAGCGTTGTGAGCAGATACTCAAGCATCATTTCCGGGAAGGCGCCGTCGGCGGTTTGCGGGGTAATCCTTGGTAAAGCCCTTTGATCCGTACCCTGCATTGAAACACAAGGCTGAGCTGCTGTATTTGACGCCTGTTCAACCTCTTGAAACGAGTATCTGAAATTGCCACGTAGCTATGGGGATGGCGAAGTGGAGTTGATCGTTGGGAAAACGTCGTTTTGACGACGCTTCGCCAAGGTACCCCAGGTTACGCATCAGCGCTTGAGCAGGGCAACTAAACAACGATTAGCGCGAAACACATACCTTGATATAATCGGAACGACTTACCACTTGTAGCTCAGCCTTAGGCTTAGTAATCTGGGTGCTATGACATTGCCGAATATTCGCCTGTACCATGCTCAGGGTGTCGGAGTACCAAAACTGCCCAAGTACCAATGGCAGCTGAACCTACGCAGAAGCCGGCCGCCGGAGCTCCATGGCGGAAGCAAAGAAAGCAACGGTTGTGGCATAGCTTCCCGCTCGGCCACGGGAGCATCCTTCATCTCTGTGTCTTCGGAACGTCTCCCGGGTTTCTCGAGCAGGTCCTTGTCATCCATTCTCGCGGCTTCCTTTCGAAGGCCTTCGACGATCGCCTCATGATGTCTAAACTCCCGGCGATACCCACTAGTATCGATGAGCTCGCTCCCTTCTGGGACTGCCCATTGTCCTCGATGATAACTTGACCTCTTTCGGCGCATCCTACTCTTGGTCACGTCTCTAATAGGTCCATCTTTGTGGTTCAGTGGAATCACATGATGAGGGCGAGTAGGCTTGGGATCCCTATCTAGAGGAGTTATTGTATTCGAAACTTCTGATCGCTTGAGACGAGTAGTGCGTAGGATGCCCATTCTAGGCTTTTTCGAAGCAAGCTCTCCGAGAAGATCCCCGGAAAGCCACGGCGCCGCCTTCCGAAGAACATCCACGTCAGCGTCGGTGCGAACGTAGACATCTTCGTTAAAAGAAACGCCTGCATCTTCGGGTCGGCGCTTTCGAGTCGGCAGCAGGTTTGTATCATCGGACTTTCTCGTCTTACGAGTCTTGGGAGTTTCGTAAACTTGAGGAATCTCGGAGCTCTCGATATATTTCCGCTGGTCTTTCGTGAACGTTTCCCACTTGAAACTCTTTGTATGACGCTCGAGGGCTTTTCTTTTTTTCTCCTTCATCCCCGTATCTCGAATGTTCTCGGAATCAGGAAACCCCGGCTCAGATGCAATCTTCCAACATCGACCGAGTCTTCGGCTCATATAATTACAGTCATCTTCTATACGACCGAGGAATCCGTTGTCCACAGTATCGTAATAACAGTGTAGCGCAGCTGTAGCACTGTACTGCTTCCTCAGTCGTACGTGCTCGATGTAAACGTTGCTGTTCTCCGGAAGCTGTTTCGCTTCCCAGGCTGCCTCCATCTCGGAAAGAGCTTCTAGTTCAGTTATCAGGTGAACCAGCTGCCTCTTTCTGTGTCTGTAGCTAACATCCGTTCCAATTGCATTTGTATAGGCGGTTCGCTTCCTCTTCTTCTTCTTCTTCTCCTTGCCACTGGTGGGCATCCACTCATAGGTTTTGCAATGGTACTTGTTCTGCATCTTTTGCCATTCGACCAGACCGCCGACATCGTTGATCCGGTCTTGCATACCTTGAAGTCCGTTCATAGAAGCTTCCGCAAGGCACATTGGACATATAGTCTTGGCGTAGAAGTCTTCGTATGCGGGATGAATTGAGTGTCCACACACGGTTGAAAGTGGAGTAGTGAAAGTGGGGGTCAGCTTGGAGACAGTTTTAGAAATGGTGACGGCGACTTTCGTTTGAGGTGTCGGCGCAGTAGGGAACCCATACAGTGGTGAAGAGCTTCCCGGCAACGCTTCTACTTGACGATCATTGGACTGCTTTGATGGCGTAGACGGGGGTGTGAACGAATCTTGTGAAAGACTATCGTCCAGCAGTGTTCGCGTTCTCTTGCTCGCCGGCAATTGTTGATCTGAGCTGTTGCCCGCGATCTCGTCTTCAGGATATACTTTGCGCTTGCCTAAAGACATTGTGCTTGCACATATACCAAGAGGCAGTAAAGAGTTTGGGCTTTGAGACTTGAACGCAGACTCTTTATGGATGGCGGTTGTGTTATCAACGAGTATTTCGTAACGATCCGACTCGGACGAACGCACGAGTTGCGCTAGGTCTCGAAGAGGGGTTGCGACGAACGAAGTCGTTTTAGTGATTCGTTTGAAGACGAATTTGGTGGAGGGAAACTTGAGGTGGTTGTTAGGGCTCTTTGATGGGTCGCGTTATGCGGAGAGGATGAATCGTCTAGAATAACCGGCGTGTTGGAGCACTTGAGCAAAGGTTAGGTATGGCTTTCTATTGAAGGCAACAAGTTAAATGCCCTGATAGAGCGACTGATCAACTAGTACTCTTATTTGGGGAGTGAAACTTATTGTACTTTCCTTTCACCTTGCAGGGTCTCTAGAGACAGTGCAAGTTCTATGTAAGAAAACAGTAGAACCATAAAAAGCCCGTAGGAGCCGCAACTGTATACAAATGCAAAAGGATGTAATCCATCTCTGTTGCAAATTAATTACTCCACTACCGTCACCGTTTGAACCACTGTTTTTAACTACATCTGATAAGACTTCGTCATATCTGCAATTCATCTTTTTCCAGCCTCTTGAAATGTGGGAATCTTGAGTAACTTGTCATCTGTTGCCAAAAAAAGTTGGATTGTAATCATCATATCCACTACACGTGTTAGAGACTACCTTTTGTGAGATGAATACTGATGCCTGACGCAAAGCGACACCTATACCTCATATTGAGAGTTATAAATCATAAGTTCACGACTAGAATGGTCCATACTTCATTCTGTGTGCGTCTAACGACAGCGGATGAGTGATGAATATGGCACGTTGAAACGATGTATGTGGATTCACGATTTCTTATTGGATGTGAAATAGAGGTCTCGATTCACTTTTGCTACATTTACCCCTATCGTACTTCGATCAGATCTATGGGTCAACACACTCCCAGCTCTCAACGACATCCGGGTTGCCGCCCTGGTACTGGTTGACTTTGGGGAACTTGCAGTGCGCACGCTCGAACTCAACGCCAAGAGCCTCCGTGTCGTTTACAAATTTTGTGCCGATCAGTGTCTCGGGTGCGTTTCCATTCTCTACCCAGTCGATCAAAGCCATCAGTACGTTGTGACTGGGCTCATAGCCGTTGATCTCGCCAAGACCTTGACCGATGGCATGCGCACCATCTCCTCCACCGCAGTGACCAGTTCCGCTGACATAGAAGAACCGGTAGAACTCGTCGAGCTCGTCGGAAGAAAGACCCATGGTAGAGGAAACATGTTCGTAGTACCGAGGTGAGTTCTCAGAAGAGATGATGAAGTCGGCACCACCGTGCCAGTGAATCACTTTAGTACCACGGTCCTTAACTCCGCTCAGGTCACCCTTGAAGGTTTCAATTCCAAAGAGGTTCAGTCGTGCGGCGTTGTCGTAGTCCTTTGAGCTGATTGTCGCTGGGTCCCAGGTAGGGTCGTTGTAGACAGCGTAGCGGAACCAATCCGTTGTGTATGGGAAGGGCTGTCCGTTCATGAGAACAGCGGCTGCGCCCAGCTCAGCACCGGGCTGCAGACGGGGATATACGAGGTCTCCGTTGTCGTTCAAGAGTGGCGAGTAGACGGCCTTCACGGTCTCGAGCTGCTCTGGTGTTAGGCAGGTAGTGGTGTTGCTGCCTTCAGCACAAGCTAAGCCAGAAGGATCGTATTTGCAATGCAAGGGAGCCTCGATGATGCCATCTTCATAGTTATCAAGCTTGTCGCATTGCTTCAAGACGTCAGCGTGCACCACCGCCCACTTTGACATGGGGACGAAAGTGGAAGCATTTGCTGGGCCCGTGAGAGTGTAGAAATGTCCGCTCCATGAAGTGAGGTTGTTGAAAGAGAAGGCTGGTGCTCCCGCAACAATACCGTCAAAATCGTCTGGGAAGTCCTGAGCCATTTTGAATCCCTGTCTTCCTCCGGTGGAGCATCCAAGGTAGAAGGACTTGTCGTGCGGCTTGCCGTAGAAGTCTTCGGTGATCTGCTTTCCGACCACAACACCAGTGTGAAGGCTGTAGTTGTTTAGTCAAACGCGAACAGTATGGGGGAAGACTACTTACGCTCGGTATGCGAAATCTTCCACAACATCCGAGTTGTTATAGAACGGTTTGCCGCTCGTGCCGTTGTGACCGTTGTTGGTTCCAACAGCCGCAAACCCCAGACCAGACGCGTAGGCCAAATCTTCGTATTTGATGCAGCCGTTCAGACCACCGTTGCCACCAGAGAGGAATCGTCCTGTCCAGTTGGCCGGAAGCCATGCCTCCATGTTGAGGCCAGAACGCTCGGACGTCGAAACCCAAAGCGCGACGCGGCAAATGTCTGCTGTGATAGGCGGCGATGCTTCAGCGCATGTCTGGTCGTATAGAGGGAGTGTCAAGTTTGTGCCGGCGGCGACAAACTCGGCCGTGTGCACGAAAGCACCATCGACAGCGAGTTTAGAAGCAACATCGGCACATTTTGAGCTGAACTCAGCTGGTGTCGTGCCATTCGCGGGGTATGATTGAGGAGCGGCGAAGACGGAGGATGCACTAAGCAGTGCACACTGCAGTGGTTGTTCGAGCTTCATCTTGACAATAAATTGATGAGCAAGCTTGGTTCCCAGCCTCCATCCAAGACTCTGGGAATGCTTCTTCTCTTTATTCTACCGAAAACTGGGTCTCCGTCATGGTACATCACTAGTGTTTCTCTCTTTGATTAGGGCAGACTAAACGAATAACAGAAGCTGGGGCATAATATGGGGTTGCTCTGTCGTGCAGCTGCAGGGGCGTGCCGCCCGTGGATGCCGTAACGATGTTTGGCGACTTGAAAACCCATGGCAAGCATGCGAAAAGCTAGGGTAAGGTGACGAATTACCGAGGCAACGCAGCCAAATGCACGTGATCATACGTTTATTCGAGCGTTGTTTTGTTTCTCGTTGCATTGCCGACGGTTAACAGTACCTTGCGTATGCGTAATTCCATAGTCTGGAAGCTGCCGAATGTGTTGCCGATCATGGTGCTGGAGCGGGGCTAACGGAGTCGCGACTGTACCTAGTCGCAGAAACATCCCGGGCTGCAGCTGCCTGAAATGCAGCGAACTTGACAATGTCGCCCTCGTTCTGCTACAACAATAACAAGAAAACACATACAGACTATCACAAAGATAGCGCTTCGAATTCTCTACATTTTGGTTCATCAAAACAGCAAGAAAAAGCATATGTTCAAAGAGATGCAGGGTTGACTGCTCAGGGCTCCGGGGGGTTTCTCATACGGGTGGTTAGCCCTCTTGGAGATCCGGACCGATTTGGTGTCTTGCCCTGCGAGCGCGATCGTGATACCTGCATCATTGAGAGTTGGGAGGCAAACGATACCGCTACGCTGCGCCATGCGGAACAGTGGCGCCGATGTGCGGAGTTCTGCCGCTGAATCAGTAATGATCCTCCGCGTGAAGGGTGGACCTAAACAGCCTCCTGAAAACAAGTCGGCGTTGCACCCAAATTGCGATGGTCGGGAGGAATGCTGGACGCGCGGACATCAAGCGACTTGTGGTAGGTGAAACAGGAACAGTATTTATTCGCAAGGTTTTCATCCCCTGAGAGATAAGAGCTACAATGCAACCCAATTCTAAAGCAATAACAGCAACCGTAGGATTCACCCTCCGCGGATAGACGAATGCATTTCTACAATCTCGACGTCACAGCAGATCCCTTGATCATGTCAGCCGTTCTCCACGCATTGGACACGACTCTGAGTGTTATTTCAACCTCATACCTTCCAAGCCTTGCTAACAAACTCCTCGACATCTTCCAAGAGTTCTTTGGGTTTCTCCAAAGCAGCAAAATGTCCACCGCGTTCGTGCTGCTTGTAGAACACCAGATTAACTTCCTTCTCAATGATACTCTTGATACCTGGAGCTAGCTCATAGGGAAAGAAAGAGAAACCGACAGGTTTGTTGTTTTGCTTGAAGTCCTTTGCTCCTGCACCGAAGAGCTCACGGTAAGGGTAGATGGAACGAGCAAAGCTTTCTGTAAACCAGTAGAGAGAGATATCCGTGAGGATTGTATCAAGAGAAGGGTCCTCGTCCGTCCATTGCAGGAACTTCTCGCCAATCCTGATTGACCTTAGTCAGTGCATCACTGTATGAAGAGAATGGACACTACCATGCAAGAAGTGCGAGCGGGTTTGATGCTAGCACGTTACCAATGGTACTGGGTCTTGTTGAATGCTCCAGTGCGTACGCCATTCCAGTTGCGCGCCATTTTATCGAACGATCCAGCGATTCCTTTTCCAAAGCATTCATGGAGGTGTTTTCGTTTGGTTGTGAGAGACCGGTCAACATGTTTACTGATGCACATCAGAACTGCGGAACCCACGGGTATGGCCTTGACTTACGGTGCATCCCAACACATGAATCGTACGACCTATTCATCTGTTGCGATGTGAAACTGCCCACATCTCCTCCTTGCGCAAGATACTTGTCAAAGCCGAGGTTCAGCATCAGCTGATTCAAGACACGACTGGTGTCTTCCAGCTTCCACTCCTTGTCGGTCGACTGTACAGTACTGAGAGTGTAACCAGGCAGGGAAGGTACAATGAGATGATATGGTAGGTCCTTGGTGGGGTACTTCTCTTTGACCAGCGTCAGCATCGGTAGAAACTCGATGAAGCTTCCCGGCCATCCATGCATGAAGATGATGGGGATTGCGTCCTTCTTCTCAGAGAAGACAGCGACAAAATGTAGATCAACATCCTCGATCTGCATTTTGTAGTTTGGAAACGAGTTGATATGTTTCTCTTGTGCACGCCAATCATACTTGTTTAGCCAGTAATCCTTTGCATCAGAGAGCCACTTGCGGGATACGCCAAAGCGGCGGTCTTCTTGCCGTCCTTCATAAGTCTCAGGGGCAAGCTTTGAGAGCTGAAGAAGCTGGCGCCACTCTGAGATGTCTTGGTCAGAGACGTTGAGGGTAAAGGGCTTTGCGGAGTCTGGTGGTGAGTAGGACATGCTTGTATTAAGAGAACAGGTTCAGACTGATGTTTTGGTAGTTGGATGAATAGGTCAGAGCGGGAATCAGTTGATCCTTTTATGTTCGTACGAAGACATGCATGTAACCGAAACTCGCTGGGCCGATGTCAGTGGTCAGGCAAGGTGGGGTATATACATGTACTATTATATAGTAAGCCGGGTCGCACGATTCCGACCATCCGGGTGGAATATCTTTCCAGTCAGACATAATTCGCCGGGTGTCAGTAGTCCAATGTGTGTTGTAAGTTCAGGTCTTATTTGACGCGCAGGACTGTGTCAAAGAAGTCAAACTTGGACTTTATGCTTTCTGAGCTAGTAATATTTCAACTCAGACCTCGGCATGGACGTTTTGCGAGCAAAAGACTAGTTTAGGCTACAATCTCTGAGATGGGTAAATTTGAGAGAGCGGAGTTGGCACTGTGCTTCTACTTGTTATGCATGTGAAAAGCGTAGCGACGCGGATGGTACAGAATCCGACGTCCATGGGCAATGCGACGCGAGTGAAGCGCGTCGATACTGAAGGCGTCATCATGGTGGGGCGGATCGCCCCGCGATTTGGCATCTGCTAGTTCTGGAACTTTTTACTCACGACTCACACCTTGACACATGTACTGTGATTCAAACTTGTCTCCGAAGTCTCAATCGCACCAAACTAGACAAAATGGCACCGAATCTGGTCGCTGCAATTGACCTGGCCACTTACACGAAACCGACCCAAGGCCTTGATGTTCAAGCATTGTCCTTTGTCGGCAATGTCTTCGTACGAGTCGCGGACGAGACCATCGACCAGGCCCTCGCCCACCTGAAGCAATCTGTAGGCCGGCTTGCCAACTACCTGGACGTTGCTTCCGTCACATCCATTGACGACATCGTCTCCCTCCTCGACGCCGGCGCCGCCAAGGTCTTCGTTACTCGCCAGCAATTGGACGAGCTCAAGAACTTGAACATCGACCAGGACAGGATAGTCCTGTGCCTGCCAGGAAACACAAAGGAAGAGATTATCGAAGCCATCTCAGGTACACAGGTGGACATTTACGCCCACCAGGTCGACGACGTCGGCTACTTGGAAGCATGGCTGAAAGATTACGGAGCAGACCGACCCAATGTCTTCGTCTCATTCAAGAACCCAGACATTGAGGGCGCCCTACGCCTCTCAAAACTGAACGCGATACCCATCATCTCTGCCGAAAACCTCACAGTTGACCCCTCGAAGCAGACGAGTGCACTGAGCGTCGCGAAGCTCTTCATGGCCAACGCAACGAGCGACCGATCCGACGGCCTTTTCACAACTCTCGTCACCGATGAGCGAGGAATCGCTCTCGGACTTGTATACAGCAGCGAAGAGAGCGTCGCAGAAAGCCTGAGGACCGGTCGCGGTGTATACCAGAGCCGAAAGCGAGGGCTATGGTACAAGGGCGAAAGCAGCGGGGATATCCAAGAGTTGGTGTCATTAGCGCTCGACTGCGACAGCGACTGCTTGCAGTTTGTAGTCCGTCAAAAGGGCAGAGGATTCTGCCACCTTGCAACTCCCACCTGCTTCGGCGAGTACACCGGCTTGTCAAAACTTCAGAAGACACTCCAAAGCCGAAAAGCTTCAGCACCTGAAGGCTCATATACTGCGCGCCTTTTCAATGACTCACAACTCTTGAGAGCCAAGATACTGGAAGAAGCCACTGAGCTCTGCGACGCGAACAATAAAGAAGAAGTCGCGTTCGAGGCTGCCGATCTTTTCTACTTTGCGCTGACCAAGTGCGTTGCATCTGGTGTAACATTGGAGGATGTTGAGCGCAACCTTGACGCTAAGAGCATCAAGGTCAAGAGGCGACAAGGTGACGCAAAGCCAGCCTTTGCCGCGCAAGCAGCAGCAGCGACCAACGGTGCAACGAACGGTACGACGAACGGACCGACTAAAGAGGAGGTCAAGGAAGCTGCTTCGGTACCCAAGAGCAAGGATGATCCCGCCGGTATGAAGGATGGTCGCATTGCCATGAAGCGCTACGTGACCGCAAACGAGACGTCCGAGACTGTCAACGCTGCGCTACAACGACCATCTCAACGCTCGACCCAAAAGATTCTAGATATATGTCTGCCGATCATCGAGGCAGTCAAGACTCGAGGAGATGCCGCATTGCTAGAGTACACACACAAGTTCGAAAAAGCTACATCACTGACATCGCCTGTACTGAGAGCACCATTCCCTCCAGAACTTATGCAAATAGCGCCTGAGACAGCCAAAGCTATCGACGTGTCTTTTGAGAACATTAGAAAATTCCACGCTGCGCAGAAAGAGGACAAGCCGTTAAGAGTAGAGACTATGCCCGGCATCGTATGCTCACGATTTGCTCGACCAATCGAAAGGGTCGGTCTGTATGTGCCTGGAGGAACCGCTGTGCTTCCGTCTACCGCGCTCATGCTTGGTGTGCCTGCCATGGTTGCTGGCTGCAAGAAGATCGTTCTTGCAACACCACCGCGGGCCAATGGTCAAGTGACTCCGGAGGTTGTCTACTGCGCCCACAAGGTCGGTGCAGAGTCTATTGTCCTTGCTGGTGGCGCACAAGCTGTCGCAGCCATGGCCTACGGTACCGAAAGCGTTACCAAAGTTGACAAGATTCTCGGTCCCGGAAATCAGTTTGTCACGGCAGCGAAGATGCATGTTTCCAACGACACAAACGCTGGTGTAAGCATTGATATGCCTGCGGGGCCGAGCGAAGTACTCGTCATCGCGGATGCAAATGCCAACCCTGCCTTTGTCGCATCTGACCTTCTCAGTCAAGCAGAGCATGGTGTTGATTCTCAGGTCATTTTGATTGCAGTCGGGATGAACGAGGCGCAGCTTGACGCAGTCGAAGATGAGCTCCATAAGCAAGCCACTGCTCTGCCACGAGTAGATATTGTTCGTGGCGCAATCGAACACTCTTTCACGCTTGCAGTGAACACGATGGAGGAGGCTATGCAGCTAAGCAACCAGTATGCGCCCGAGCATCTTATCTTGCAAGTCGACGAGGCAGAAAAGGTAGCCGAGATGGTGGAGAACGCTGGAAGTGTCTTCATCGGTGAATGGACCCCTGAAAGTGTTGGCGATTACTCTGCTGGTGTCAACCACTCTCTGCGTAAGTTACATCTACACACTTCTTCAAAGAGCCCTGCTAACATTGACCAGCAACGTATGGATACGCCAAGCAATATTCGGGCGTCAATCTGGCGTCTTATGTCAAGCACATTACTAGCTCTCATCTTACTAGGCAAGGACTTGAAAATGTTGGACCCGCTGTAATGGAACTTGCGCGCGTTGAAGAATTGGAGGCTCATCGAAGGGCTGTCAGTCTACGATTGGGCGTAGCGTAAATGTCATCGAAACGCAACCTGATACCCTTTCATCATCACAAAGTTCTAGCATAGACCCGTGCAGTTAGGTATGATTCAATAAAATGATCAATTGGAAGACGGAGTTTACCATCTTAGCAAAGTACATATATATACGGTAGAATTTCATCCCATCTCCTACAAGAAACAAACACCTCTTTCGAGCACCAAATTGTCTGTCTTAAGCTGATAGATCTAATCGGATGCTCTCATTCTCACCCTATGCATTTAAGCAAGAGCGGAGCAGAGACCGTTGTAAGCCTCCTTGGCCTGGAAGCTGCCGTCGAAAAGCAGAGGAGTGGCAGCAGCGCCGATCCAAGAATCAGTGTCGCTAACACCCCAGACGGTAACACCAACACAGTTCTCAACATCCAAGCAAGCAGTGACAGCAGTCTTGTAGTCAGCGGCAGCACCACCCTTGATGTCAAGCTCAGTCATAGCGCACTCGGAAGCAGACTCGCAGAGAAGCTTGAGAGCAGCGGGGTAGTCGGAGATGGGCCAGCTGCCGGACAAGTGGGACTGGGAACCAATACCGTCAATGGGAACACCGGCGGCAACCCACTTCTTGACGTTGCTGGCCATGGCCTTGGTCTTGGCGTAGCTGGGGCTGTCGAGGTTGTAGTCGTTGATGTAGAGCTTGGCCTCTGGGTCGGCGGCCTTGGCAGTAGCGAAAGCGGTAGCGACAAAGTTCTCACCGAGAACGTTGTAGAAGACGGAAGAGCGGAAAGAACCGTCTTCGTTGAAGATCTCGTTGACTACGTCCCAAGCATAGACCTTGCCGGCGTAGGTGCTCATGAGCTTCTTGATGTGAGCAACCATGACTTCCTCGAGCTTAGTCTTGTCGGTGATGGAAGAGACCCAGGTGGGAAGCTGAGAGTGCCAGACGGTGGTGTGACCACGGACGAGCTTCTTGTTCTCCGTGGCAAAGCTGACGAGCGCGTTGGCACCGTCGAGAGTGAACTTGCCCTCGGTACCCTCGGTGGCATCCCACTTCATGCTGTTCTCAGGAGTAACCTGGCCGAAGTTGGCAACGATGATTTCCTTGTTCTTTCCCTTGCCGAGTGCGCCCTGGTCGGTAGCAACACCGATGTACTTCTTGCCGTGCGACTTGAATGCAGCATCGAGCGAGCACTTGGCACCGTTGGCACCGGTACCGGCAACATCAGGAGTAGAGCCATTGGCACCGCCGGTAGCAGCAGGCTGAGCAACCGCAACAGGGGCGGCGACGGGCTCGCTAGCGTTCATCGACGGTACAGGGGCGGCAGAAGGAACGACAGGTGCCGGCGCGACGCCAGTAGCAGCAGGAGGAGCCGGGGCGTTTCCACCACCGTTGATGCACTGGCTGTACCAGTCGTTGCTCTTGACGCAAGACCAGCCTTGAGCGCACTCGGTCTCGCCCTGGAAGCCGTTACCACCGCATTGTCCGTAGGGAGCGACGGCTCCAAGGACAGCTGAAGTCGAGGAGAGGGCAACGATGCCGAAATAGATGGAGGATCCGCGGAAATGCATGGTTGCTACTTTTCGATTGCGACGGTTCGGTTCGGGTTCAAAAGTGTTCGGTTGATGGAGATTTGGAAAAGAAGCAAGCTTCTATGTGGGATTTCAAGAAAAGAATGTCAGGAAGCACGCTTCCAGTAGAGTCTGAAGAGAAGAAAAGATAGAGAGAGTGTGTATGTAGGGAATGAAGATGACCGAATGGAGTGAAGAAACATGATGGCGGCGGATGCGAATTCATCTTATACTAGAACAGCCACTGCTGCAATGCGCCTGGAACGATTCTGCATGGTGGGTCAAATTTGGGCGGGTAGCCGGTTCCTTGAGAGAGCATTGTTTCATGAAACCGTGAAACGCCATCCTGGAGATCATTACAAGGGCAAAGATACCTCGGAAACAGAACGACTTTAACCGTTCTGCTGGTCTGACGAACGACAAGTCAACGAACAGTGGGCTGATGCGGCGCAGAGCAAAGCAATGATGTTACCTGTGGGTAAGGTGCCACAATGCGACGTGACAGTAGGTCCGACATCCAGGTTCGAAGCTTCATGCAGGATCCGTGCGACCGGGGTGCCAAGCGCTAAGCCTGTCAGAGGTAGATGTCAGCTAACCTTTTTAGGAACAAACACCATGCGAACAGACGATTGTATGAAAGCCACCGGTTATCAAATGCTTCATGTTCCTTCGCTCAACAAATGGCGCCATATCACCGACAGGTTAAAGTACTCAAGCATTTCAAGCATTTCAAAACATTCTTGTATTGACTAGGTCATGATCGTCGATTTATTTCATCTATCTGATCTCCCGCCATCATCCACATGGTCATATCATGACTTGTAGACATGCATGACGTGTGGGTTGCAGTACGCAAGGAGACCGGTCCTGCCCCATTCGCCACCGATTCCAGATTCCTTGTGTCCTCCAAATATCGCTTGTGGTGTCGGCTTCTCCCATGAGTTTACAAAGACTGAGCCGGCTTCGAGGCGACGCGCAACCTTCTGTGCCTGCTCGACGTCCTTGCCCCAGACACAAGCACCAAGACCGGTGTTTGTGTTGTTGGCGCGTGCAATAACTTCCTCAAGATCGGACCATGGCTGTGTGGGCACGATGGGACCGAATGGCTCTTCTTGGATGATGCGGGAGTCGTTTGGTGGGTTGTCGATGATGGTTGGCTTGATGAAGTAACCCTTTCCGCTGCCGACGTCGGGCTCACCAGCGGCGAACTTGTAGCCCTTGGCTTTGCTGTCGCTGAAGTATTCCTTCACGCGCTCGTACTGCATCTGATTCTGAACGGGTCCGAGCAGGTTGTCGCCGTCATCTGGACCTCCAATCTTGATGGACTTGGTGAAGTTGACCATCTCTTCAAGGAACTCCTTGTAGATGGAGTCGTGAATGTAAATTCGCTTGGTAGCGACGCATACTTGGCCGCTGTTCTGGAAGGCACCCATGACGATCTCGGGTGCTGTCTTCTTGATGTCGACATCAGGAAGAATGATGGAGGCATCGTTGCCACCCAGTTCGAGTGTGACGCGCTTGAGGGTCTTTGCAGATGTCTCCATAACCTTCTTTCCGGTAGCGATAGAGCCGGTAAAGCTGATCTTGGCAATGTCGGGGTGCTGGCACATCTGAACACCGAGCTCGTTGTTGCCGCCAACTACTTGGAGAACGCCTGGTGGCAGAATCTCCTGAGCTAGCTCGACAAACTTCAAAGCCGTGTAAGGTGTAAAGGGTGAGGGCTTGACAATGATGCAGTTTCCGGTCATGAGAGCTGGCGCGACCTTTCCGGTGCTCAAGACGAGAGGGAAATTCCACGGGCAGATGGCACCGCAAACACCGAGAGGCGTGTACTCTGTGTAGATTGTCTTCTCGTCATCCTCAAACTTCTCAGATGGCACATCAAGTGTCAAATGGTGACCGATGAATCCAGCAACGGCACCAACCTCGATGGCAGCGAATTTTCTCTGCTCGTATCTTAGCACCACGCTCAAAATATCCTAGTGATTGTCGCGACCTACCGGCTTGCCAGACTCTTTGCACAGTAGGTTGACGAAGTCATCGTTGTGTTGCTGGTATGATTCCACAATCTTGTTCAGCAGCTCCTTCCTCTTCTCAATCGGGGTATCTCTCCATGCGGGGAACGCCTTCTTCGCAGCCGCAACTGCGTCATTCAGGTCTTGCTCGCTCGCAATTGGTACGTCCCAGAGCTCTTGACCAGTGGCGGGGTTGATACCATGGTGAATCTTGTCTGAGCTGCGCTGCTTGCCATCGACGATGTTATAGAACGTCTCGAAATCGAGGGTTGAGACTTTTCCTGGAGACATATTGGCGTTTAATGTAGTAGGCTATGGAGATACGATGATGTAGGTATTGGTTTGTCCAGTATGGGCACGACGGGTGAGGGTGCCTTTAAACAAGCCGAGTCGCCACATTCGTGCGACTACCTCGCTGCTTGCCTTATCCTCGGTAGTCAATACGCTTGCTGTATGGTGGCACATTCTTGGTGGGTTTGTAGCATCTGGCTTTTCTTGGCTGCGACCCTCGACCCCACTTGCAGCAGCAGAATCGCGGGGCTCGAGTAGCAGATTAGGCTTGCATCGTCCATTCCCCAGTAAAATCAATTGGCTGAGCTTTCGCGGATTTTAGGGTCGGGGCTTAGCGGGTGGAGGTGTTGCCCAGATGAGTTGGCGATTAGTCCATCACGAGGTCGTCATCATCCGAGGTAGGGTCTTCACGGTACGGATGATATACTAAACACCACTGCCGTCTGCCTAGCATCGTGTGCATCGGGTGTGTGTACATGCCGCAACACCCCGCCGGAGCCACCTCGGGGTCTTCCGTCGAAAAGTGGATTACTCTCACTAACAGCGGGACCAGCACTTGACATGGCTGGAGCTGGGTTCCAACAGCGCGACTGCAAAATTCTTGACTAGCGTTCGATGTATCGGCTTTCAGACTAGTTTGCCCAGTTTGTGCCCAGTTTACGCCTTTCGCAACGGACGAACCTCTTCCCGAGTACCTTGTGGAATTCCCTTGTGGATCACTAAAAGGTTTCAGCATTATCGTCGAAGCCGGGGCTCCTCGTATCGACCTACCTGGGTATGATGATCACGTTAGTGAAGCGGGTCATGCAGTCTGACCGCTATCGCCAACGTCTGCATACGTCTTGCTGAGACAACAAGAGATGGGGTAGTGGATAAGCAATGGCAGGGCGATTAGAGCGTCGCGGAATTGGTTTGGGCGATGAGTTGATGTTGAAGGTCTACAAGAATAAGATGTTCTTGTGTCAGCATACGCGCCACATTTTCTGCAGATCCAGGTACGCCGTGGAACGCCTTATTGGTCACAGCGTCATGCGTCGAGTAACATGCAAGTTACACAACTATATGCAGAATTACCGATAAGACGCATATGCACAGTCAACAAAATTGTGAGCTCTCGCAATCAGGAGAAAATTTGATATCTTGACTTGGCACCAAGGACGATCTACAACTACAGGCTCCACCACGATGCTTTCTTACACGTACACTACTAGCATTTTCTCCACTGAACGTACAAATTCGACGTAAAGCGACCCGCCTCGCGCGTTGCAGCGAGCACACCATTAGCCGGTGTAGCAAATGGTGTTAGCGCTACTTCGCTATTGATGTTGAAAAGGGCATCACCACCGCAGGGTGACCAGACTGCAGCCGGCACATTATCCTGTTTGTAGTATTTGCCATGGAACGGACCATCGATGCTGAGTGCTGACGACGACTGGCTTTGCTGACCAGAGACGTAGTACGTTGACTTTACGACACCAGTGACACCACTATCAAGGTCGCCCCAACCGGTGTAGTCCGCGCTGAAGATGGCGAAGGAGAAGCCAGAGGAGAATTCGAGACCGAGATTGATTTGGCAGTTCTTTCGCGAGTCTTCTGCCGTCTTCCCGGCGCCGACGCGGGCTGTGAATTGTTGGTTGAAGTCTGCATGCGATAATCAATACGAGAACGAGGATGAGTAAACCAGTGTAATGGAGGCTTACAGATGGGCAGGATGCCATTGTCAGTCCAGTTGACATCGATACTGCCTTGGGGGCAACCCGAGCCGCCAGAGACGACTTTAGTGATCTTGAATGAGTCGGGTGCTTGATTGGTCGGAGCAGCGATCGTTGTCACCGCAAGGGCTATGGCGGTAAGTGTGTACTTCATCGCGGTGGTTTCTCAGTCTTGTTTCTGGCAAACCAGGAAAAGATTAAACAACGTGGTAAGCGAATGCTAGATGATGATTTTCTGGTCAAAGTGTAGTGCTGCTATTCACCAGAGCAACTGTGGGCCACGACCATCTTATATGCCCACGTATTATCCGAGTACGAGACCCAGAACGCAAGCAGTACATTCTTCACCACACATACTCTAGAAAGCCCTTTGTAAAGACCATAGAGTCTTGTGGCCGGTGGTACAAATTTGCTCATTGGCCACATGCTCGTGGAGGACGGCGATAGATAGCCACTCGCTACCAACCGGAAACCTTGCATTCATTTGCTGTATTGCTAGTTCGGACATGACAACGAAGCTGGTAAGGTTGCCATGTTCCTGATATGAGATCTGCCCGTCGATATTGCTCGTAGACTTCTTTACGAGACAGCCGAGAAGCAAGCGAGAACGATCGCCGTCGAATGCAGGGCAATCATGCTCTAGAACATGTCGAGTCTGGGGTAGGGTGAAGACGATTGAGAAAACTCCAATCCAAAAATAGTCATTGTGGAAATTATTGTAGCGTGACAAGTACTAGGCGGGTGCGGCAGAGGCAAATGTTGTATATATTAGATTGACAGACCCGGTCGAGGTCACGAACCAGAAGCGCGACGGCTGATTATGGGCTGGGCTTTCTGGGGAAGCTTGAAGGTTTTAGCGAGCGAGTGAGATTCTTAGACTTGTTTTGACTAACGGAACGGACATGTGTATGTGGGCAAAAGTCGTTGTTCTAGAGTTCGTATGGTTCATCAATGGCAATATAGGTAGTGCTCGTTGTTTGTCCAGTGTCATGTTGCGCGCGGTACTCCTGGGCCGAAAGGTGAGCAATGCTGGTACTAGTGCACTGTAGTCGAGGATACGCGTCGGGTAGGAGGCGGCGAGATAAAGGGTCAAATGGTTATTGTAGGTGTATGATCTGGATAAATAGATTGAGAAGTCGCGACAGGGCATAAGCGTCAAAATCGGTACACCCGGGAGCCGATAAGACAAGAAGCATCAGGTAGTAAGTTCAAGAATAATACAATATGATAATTGTATGCAGCAGTAATGTCGCTATGTAGCCCTGGTATCTCGCTTTCCAAATAATCCCAAAGCCGCTTCTGTGACCTCCTGAACACCGTTGTAATACATTACGTTAATGAAAGTGTTGCGCCGAATCTATGCTGAGGTATCGTGATAAAACAAATCGCTTATTGATCAGATGGGAAAAACCTTGCGGAACACACGCCGCCACTTTGGCACATTTTCTTCTTCTTCTTCCACGTCACTAGCAGGCGCATGACGGGGACCAAGCATAGCCAATGCTCGTTGCCGTGCCCATTCTCGTCTGTTATGAGTAGGACTACAATCTTGTGGATTTTGTGAAGTGGGTGCACTGGCCGGCTGAGTTTGTGGTGGGGCATCAGGTGGCGGCGTAGTTGCCATCTCGATATCATGTGGTCGTGACTGCGTCCGCTCAGGTGCGCTGAAGATACGTCGACCAGAGATGGCTCCGCCTATCCTGTTGCCAAGCGACCCAAAAGCGGCCGCTGGGCGCGCTAGTGAAACTGGCACTGTTGAGGGAGGTGTGGATACGGAACTTGGTTGGGTGTTTGCTGTATGAGCACTGCGCGCTCGCATGCGATTTATATGGCGCTCTCGCCGCACCATGACGTTGGTAATATTGACCGGACAAGCACCTGTAGGCAATACAGTTTGTTTGCACATGGGACATAACGATGAGTGATTGAGGAGGAAGGTATCGATGCACTCAGGATGGAAGATGTGGTGGCACGGAAGCTCGCGCACTTGTGTTTCGTTGACTTCGAAGTCATCCATGCAGATTGGACATGTGGGCTGGGACCATGATGCAGACATACCAGACGTGGGTACTGTAGATATCGTGGGTGCAGACGAGTGGCGGAGCAACTGAGGTCCCTTGTAGCCAGTTTCAGCATCTACGGCGGCGTGTGGGAGATTGTGTGCGTGGTTTGGCGCCTGTGTGGCGGTGGTCTTCTCGGGCTCGTTCGAAGCAGCAGCAGCAGCAGCAGCAACGGCGGGAGCAGTGTATGTGTGTATGGGTAGTTTGTCAAGAACTTGTTGCGAGACTGTCAGACGCTTGACGCCCAATGCTTCGAGATCGACCTGGCCGTTGAGAACGCGCTCGCGCAAGTCGTTGCGCCGTCTTCGTTGGATGATGTGCATGACGAGGGAAGTGATGCTGACAGCGACGAGTAGGACTGCTAAGACGATGACGAGGAAAACCCATAGGCTTGGGAGTTGGCTACCAGAATCAGTACTGACGGTTGCCCACAAGCGCACATAGTCGGTGGAATCGTATATCTGCGAGAGTTGATCGGCATGCGGTACCTGGCTCAGGTTTCCAGAATACTGGTCCAGCTGCTCCATGATGTTCCTCCCAGTCATTGAAGACAGCGCATATGTGGGAAAGTCATTGGCCGTCTGCCAACTGCCGCCATCTTGAAGGTTCCACGCCGCATCGTTGAGCACCGGTGGTTTGGCGTTACTGTCTCCGGGAAGGTAGGTGAGAAAGGCTTTGGTGGGATGGTTGCGCGCTGCGGTGAAGTATTCGATGGTACACTGCGCCGAGTACCAGGGTGCGACGGCGATGAGTGCGTAATCCTTGTCGGACGGGAGATTGGCTATCCGTGTCGCGTTCTCGAGGACGTAGTCTGCCTCCTGTTGCTTGCAGCCAGATGTGTAGACATCGGGTACGTAGAGTATGCCGTAGGGGTCTTGGTTGCCGTCGACGCCTTTGGTGGACAAGGTTTGGATGTTGTTGAGGATGCGGTACTGGAACGAGACGGAATCGTTGAGTGTAATGAACTGGTTGTTGTCGTAGTCGATGCGAAGAGGGTCCGGGAAGTCGATGGTAAAGATACCAATCCTTTGGGCAGCTGTGCGACAGTCAGCGTGCGGTCAGCGAGTTGGTGCCAATGGGCGGCAAAGTGGTGTGACGTACACATGGTGGGCGACACTGGACGATTACACAGGGGCCGCTAATGTGAGCCAACTACAATTCATTGCCGGCAGTCGTGTGGGAAGGCAGTGTGGGCACAAGCAGAAGGGCATGCAGAGGAAAGAAGAGAATGGCGTGGCTGTGGGTGGTTGCAGCGGTGGTTGCAGCGGTGGTTGTAGAGCGGGAGCGGGTGGCTAGGAATGAAGGCTGGTCGGCTTCGTCAACACTGCCGCCCCTCCCGGATGACAATGGAGAAGCGCCGAGCTTAGCAAGAAGCTTGTTTCCCTGGCGCGAACAGGAGATTGCGTCAAAAAGGCACTGGACTGGACAGTTGGAGAGGATGCCGTTGTGCATGAATAGTGCCCTGCTCGTCGGTAATGACGTTGACATGGTCGTATCGCAGACGGCACGCCTTTCGCAACCTTGGCGTCTGTCTTCAGGGCTAGCACGAGCCAGTTCCCCAGACGGCGAACAACACCAACAAACGAATGTGCCGGCGATGCGACAATCCAAGACGCCTGCTACCATCCTGCTGTATACCTGCCCTTGGTTAGTCTTAGTCTAGCGCCTGCGACATCTTTCTGGCAGCTCTCAGACGTCGGCCGCCCGTCTCGCGTCGTGGACGCGACTGACTCTCTTCCCCGCATTCCATAGCGACGACGCTCGTGGACGCGCAATATGGCGCCTCCAGGCGTGAGCAGCAAGGGCAAGGCGACCAAGCCTGGCAAGCCCTCGCAAGCACCGCGCAGCCGAAACACAACGCCGCTGCCCAACGTACGCACTTCGGTCGAGCCTTCTTCCTCTTCGTCCTACTTTGGAAACCGCCTGAGCTCCTACCTCAGAAAGAGCCCCAAGACAGTCGAAGACATACTCGATGGCGCCGCCAACGGCTCTTCCATTCCGACCGGCAAGCTGTTGTTGTCCATGCGCGACGACATCGAGAAGACTGTGCTGAAGAACGTCGAGTCACGCTGCGTGCAGTCCGAAGGTGCGCTGCGGGAACTCATGAACAACAAGAAGAACCGGGCGCCGCGTGAAAGGGAAAAGGACAAGGATGGCGAGGAGCGCGAGCGCAAACATAAGCTCAAGAAGGTGAGCAAGAAACACGACGAGGACGGGAAGCATCCACCTGCGACCGGTGCCCACGGCCTGGCCAGGCAGGACGGCGGTGACGGCAAAGGTGAGTTTGATACCAGGCAATCACATTTCCCTTGGGACTTTACATATACGATCCCTCCTCGTATACACTACTTCGAATACCCTCCAACATGGCTCCTTCCCAACAGCAGTTGATCGTCAAGCTCAACATGAGAGGACTTCACAGACATCTAACCACGTCTACAGACAACTCCTCGGCCATCTCATCGCCAATATCGCAAGCCCCGCCCTCCGCTGCTGGCCATGGGCCGGCGGATGCTCCCTCGCCCAGTGGCTCTGATGTCTCTCACCAGCCCGCCCCTGCCCCAGCCGTACCGCAATTCCAGACTTTCGGTCCTGACCCCGCCAAATTCGATGACCCTACCGTATACCATATACGCGAGGTTACACCAGGCATGTCGATTGAGGAGAGAAAGGAGATATACTGTGTCGCCGAATTCCCCAAGCACGATCTCCGTGACAGGATAGCCGGTTCACCACCAGCAAAGGACTTCTCCAATGCCAAACCGCCGTCACAGGTCAATGCCACCGTCTTCGCCAACTACGTTGAACCATACATAAGGCCGCTCACCGAAGAGGACGTGGCATTCTTGAAGGAGCGTGGAGACCGTATAGCGCCATTCGTGCTGCCTCGACGCGGCCAGCGACACTACAAGGAGATATGGGCCGAGGAAGATGGCTCTATGCACATAGACTCGAATGACCAACGACCACCACCCAACGTCCCACGTGGAGCAGCAGAGGACATCTCAGACGACGTGCTTGAGACAGATCAAGTGTCTACAGGGCCCCTCCTGTCGCGTCTCCTAGCTACATTACGACCAGAGGGACGCGGTAATCAGAGCGGCCAGAGCGAAACTAATGGAGTCAATGGAGACGCCATGGATATTGATGAAGGCGCAGGTGCGCCTGCAGACACGGCCAACGCGAATTCGATACCGGCCGCCGCCCAACTTCCCGACCTCGTTCAGCCGGGCTGGAAACCTCCACCACAGACTGGCCGCACCGACTATGTCGGCATGGAGGACCGCGTACTAATGGAGCTGAAGCACTTTGGCCTGATCTCCGAAGCAGACGCAGAGTCGCAATCATACGATTCTCATTTTGATGACGAAGTAGCCCAACGCCTCCGCTTTCTACAAGAAGAACTCCGCAAGCAGTCCATCATCAATGGCGCACGAAAACAACGCCTTCTCGAGCTCACAGAAGAGCGCATAGCTCAGCAAGAGTACAACACTATAGCCGACGATCTCGACAATCAACTCAACGCCGCCTACCTCAAGCGTAACCGCAATATTGGCAAAGGCAAGAAGCAAAACAAGCGGCCGGGTGGTGCAGGAGGTGGAAGTCATCCAGTGGCTAACGCTGGCATTTCGAGGCCGGGCGTGGGCGAGCCAATCCGCACTCTTATGGAAAGAAGACAACAATGGATCAACACAATAGGACCTGTTGTCAACTACGGAAAGACTGGTTTGCCAACCGAGACCATCTTCGGGGAAGAGAAGATGAAAGAGCTGGAGAACAGGGAGGTGGAGATTTGGAATACAGAGGCCGACGAGTAAGCTTCCCGGCACGTGCAAACTCAATTGGAGCAGGATGATGCTAGGCGTAGGGCTGAAGCGTCGGCCTTGTTGAATGCACATCCAACTGTTGAAAATGACGATACTTGATGGCGCAAAACAGACACACCAAGGTGGGATTCGCCTGTGGTCAGTCTTTCGGGCATAGCACGGCGTAAAGGTGTCAGGATCACACATGTGATTTGAGGTTGTTGATTGGACTTGCATAAGACTGTATTCAAAAGTCAGGCGTTGACAGGTTCGCTAGCCTCTGGACATTTCAGAGCCGCTATCCTACCTTTTTCGATTGAACACTACCCATGGCTATTTGCTCACCAGCTTCCTACTTGTATAGATGACGCATGCATGCAGTTCACGAGACTGGTGAATATCGAAACCGCTTCCAACCATCAAGATAGAAACCTGGCTGACCACGTTTTTAACCGGCGTCAAAAGATGGTTGCGGCGTGCATATTGGGGCTGTGTCAAGACTCTTCGAGCGAGCGAATGACAGTAGGGTGCTCGCTTATGCTTTTGGAAGCTACCCACTTGCGTTGACTCAATGGGATCTGTGAACTCGACATGGCAACTCAGATCTATCTGACCTGATGATCGATTCAGATCAGGACGCACTATTGCTATAGAAGTCAAGCTTTGGGCCATTGATAGTTTCCACGATAAATCCTATGGACGGACCGGTAACGCTGTTAGATTCCTGACTACTACAAAGTCAACTGAGTTCTTGATTATTTGTTGTATGGAGGTTGGAAAGCCCCGTTATGCGACGTGTGATTGGATAGCCTGTCTCCACAGTCAGACACCACGGACTCATGAATCGTATCTCTTCAAGCCTGATCCGCAGAGCCGCATTTAATCTCTCCCAAGACCCTCGATTGGGAAGTAAGGTCGTCCTCTTTAGGTCATCTGATTCATGGACCAGTATCACGACCTGCATATAGCAACGGATTACTTCGTCCTGCGCAGTAACGTTCGCAAGTGGACAGAAAATACACATAGACTTACCACCTTGGTGAAGGTGTGCCAGGGCTTTCAAGCGATATGCAGGATAATGTCTGTAGGAGTATGATAGAGACGCGCAGGCGGTAGGAGGGTGTGCTGCCCAGTGACATGGGAAGCTATTTTGAGCTGCAGGCGGTGCTTGCCTAGTTCGGCTAGCAGAACGCTAGCCGTGGGGAAATCAGGGAGGGCAGTCCTACACTGCACGATCAATCAATCGAACGAACAACGCACAGGTACCTGGATACCTTCCGTTCCTTCTTATTCTTCAAAGTATGCCATTCACTTGAGTTGCCTGTACGGTACTTATTGAACACTGTACTCGCTACTTGGGGAGCGGGTGCGGCAGCTTATCGCAATGGTGAGCACACTCAGAATACTCAAAACGACACGCAACCACCATAACTGCCTTCACCTCGGTTGCCGTCCGCTTTAGATCTCTTACCTTGGTAACGGACTATCCAGAAGACGCTGAAAAGTAGGTTACGCAGGCCTGTAAGCACAGTGAGGCTGACACATCGGCCGCTCATTGGACGTTGTGTCTGCACAAATACCAAAACATATTTTCTCTCGCACAGCCCGCCTTACACCTGCATGAGGCACGAAACTATTCTGCGCAATCCTCCCCCGCCCACCAATACACCTCAAGAACGTGGAGCCAAGGATCAGGATAGCTGCAGCCGCTGTTGCGTCCAACAGGCATGCGTTATGCAGTGAACAGACCTTATTGAGGCATGTGTAGGTGGCTTGACGGGTAGCAGGGTATGAGGGCTGAGACATGCGGGTGCGCTAATCATGGCAGATGGTAATACTGCGATGTAGGTCTCTGCAGCAGATCCAAAATCTAAATCTTACCTACACCACAGTGATGGATCCGGGTAAGGCAAGTATCGTAGGATGCTGGTTAATATATAAAGGCGGTGGAGTGCTCGAGAGCTGGACTTGGCTACACATGGCTGGTAGTACAACGCTCAGCTTACTCTCTACTCGACACCGACTCTTCGAAAGAGGCTGCATAGTCGAATATAATGTCTATTGCATCACGGCCGTTTCTTTGGCGTTCACCAGTCATAATCGATAACAAAAAAACGTCACTCAACATGTCTTCACCTACATCAGCACCCAAGACATCCACACCTAGGAAAATCAACAACCTGAAGCTCAGAGCTTCATGCGATTCTTGCGCTGCGTCAAAAGTCAAGTGCAGCAAAGAGCATCCGATCTGTGCACGATGCTCCGTCATCAACTCGACATGTATATATGGTGTTTCGAGAAAACACGGAAAACCAGGGCGGACGAGGAAGAGAAACGCAGACGGAACTCCGTTCGTCAAAACCGCGAAGCAGCGTCTATCTCCAGGGGGCAGCGAGTTCAGTTTATCCAGCCTCCAACCGGAACCTACCCTTCAACAGACGGATCTAGAAATCGCTTCGAACTGGGCTTCTGACTGGTCGCCTACACCAAGCTTGTCAGCCACTCCAGGCTTCGAGTTCGAAACTGTACCAGAATCATCATACGCAAGCGACGTTCATTCAGACACGACCCATATTGATAATACTGTTCTACCAACACAACCAGCTCGACCAGGACCAGGATTGACCATCGAATTAAACCGTCTCTTGCGAGACCCGTTCACAGAGGAGCAAACAGCGCAATCTGACCCCTCTAGTTGGCAAGCTCTTAGAGAATACATAGGCGGCGATGACATAAACCCCATGGACTATTATTCGACCGGCTCAAAGAACGCAGAGCATCTACGTTCCGTCTCTTCCGTCTCCATACCATATAGCCCGATGAGTCAAGCTACAGGGACAAATGATGCAATGGCACCATATTTCAACTCCTCGATGGACAACTTTCATTGCTGTTATACATCGGCCTACTCAATCCTTGATACTCTGAGGCACGTCAGGCATACACATCCGGCATTTACCAAGGGTCCGTTCGAGGCTGTTCTCCTGACTTCTCAATCAGCCATAAGGAACGTTTTGCAGCTTCTTAATTGTCCTTGCTCGTCAGATCCACACCTCGCTATGCTATACTCAAGCATAACATCCAAGATTCTAACCTGGTACCAGACTGCCGCTGGTGTACATCCTCCTGTCCAATCTAGTACCTTGGTATCAGCGTCGTTCTGTTGGAGCAACAGCCAGTCCTTACGCTCTTCGCAGCCTGCTTTTCCAACCCCATCTGTGCCGAGCATCACTAAGGGTGAGAGCTTCAATCCGTACGTGCATCAACCTCAGCATCAACACTATGACTTTGAAGACCTTGAGCAGCAGAACTATAGAAGACAGGTGATATTGCTTGAGCTACAAGGTTGTGGACAGCTCGTCAGGGCACTAGCTAATTGGGGAGGGAATAGCGCGACCTGCGAGCAAGCAGAGCATCTGTATAATATACTAGGCAGATGGTTGAAGATCGAGCTATACAAAACAGTCAAAGGCATCGAGAGCAGGAACTCTCAGTCGAGTTGAGGTGCTCCAACGGAATGAAGTTATGAATTGAATGAGGGGGTGCTTTATAGGCTTTCGTCCACATTGTAATCATCATGCTTTCAGGTGGCTGGTAATTGTCAGACTCGATAAATAGTAATCATAATCAAACAATTCTGGGTTTCCAAAGCTATAGCATCGGTAAAGCTTATTCTGGTCTGTTCTCAGCATATACTTCAAGAACATAATGAAGATAACACTAGTGGCGGTGCTCATGAGCTACTGTGGAGCCACACCCCGGATTACCCCAGTGCACGTGGCACGTTCACATGCCTCGGCTCAAACCGCAGCCAGCATCATAGCACTTACTCACATGCCAGCCAAGTACACCATTACTAGACCTCTGCCATCGACTTTACGGCTGGGAAATGAAAACCTTCCTAGGGAGGATGTACACGGTCAACCATGGCCGCCCAGTCCACCTTACGCCAGCCTCATGACCCTCTCTTAGCACTCTACGACCATTATGCGACGCGCCTCAAGTCCCGCGTCCGCAGCGCTTCGAAGGTCACGAAGCTTCTGACTACCATCACCCTTCTACTCACCATCATAGGCGCGGGATATGGAGGTACCCGATGGTACAAGAGCCGGCGCGCAGAGAAAGAGACTGGCCGACGCTTGCTGAGGAGGAACTCCGGACTCAAGAACAAAGACGGCTCCAGGACAATATACGTTCCCTACCGCGACTCGACGTCCAAAGTAGTCATCCATCCCACCAAGCAAACCACATTCGATGCTCATCGTAGACTTTTCCTCCAGCCCCCACGCGCAGCCCGCATCGCTGATACCACGTCGAGCGATCCGCAAGCGCCGCCGCCACAAACGAAGCCGGGTCTCAATCTGGCCTTCCTACACCAGTTTCTGAGCCTGTTGAACATCATGATACCGCGTTGGAACAGCAAGGAGACGGGTCTCTTGGTCAGCCATAGCGTCTTCCTCATGCTGCGGACATATCTCTCCCTCGTCGTAGCGCGTCTCGATGGAGAGATTGTGCGCGATCTCGTCGCGGGCAATGGAAAGGCTTTCTTGTGGGGTATAGTCCAATGGCTGGGTGTCGGCACGTTTTCCTCGTACACAAATGCCATGATCAAGTTCTTGCAGAGCAAGGTTTCCATCGCGTTCCGGACACGGCTCACGAGATACATTCACGACTTGTACCTGAATGACCACTTGAACTACTACAAGCTCCAGAATCTGGATGGAGGCGTAGGAGCTGGAGCAGACCAGTATATCACGCAAGATCTGACATTGTTCTGCGCGAGTGCCGCGTCGTTGTATTCGAGCCTGGGAAAACCGTTTGTGGATCTATGCGTCTTCAATTACCAGCTCTACCGTTCTCTGGGACCTCTGGCTTTGACTGGTTTGTTAAGCAACTACTTCCTCACGGCGACAGTGCTACGTAAACTCTCTCCACCATTTGGCAAACTAAAAGCCGTCGAAGGTCGAAGAGAAGGCGAGTTTCGCGCACTGCACTCTCGTCTCATCGCAAACGCCGAAGAAGTCGCTTTCTACGGTGGTGACGAAATGGAAAAGCACTTCCTCGAACGTGGTTTCAAGGATCTTAAACACTGGATGGAAGGCATCTACAGCCTCAAGATCCGGTATAATATGCTCGAAGATTTTGTCCTCAAATACTCATGGTCAGCTTTCGGATACCTCGTTACGTCGCTTCCCGTCTTCTTGCCTGAATGGGGCGGTGCAGGAGGCACACCTGAGCTACCTGGAGGCGAGAAGTCACACCGCGAGCGAAGTCGCATGAAGGACTTCATCACGAACAAGCGACTTATGTTGTCTCTTGCAGACGCTGGCGGTCGTATGATGTATAGTATCAAGGACCTCTCTGAACTGGCTGGCTATACATCCCGCGTCTATACTTTGATCAGCACACTCCATCGCGTTCACGCAGATGCATACTATCCTCCGCCCGGTACGCGACCTGAACTTTATTCCGTCTCTGACGTTCAAGGCACAGTTCACAAGGGTTTTGACGGAATTCGTCTTGAACACGTTCCAGTTGTTGCCCCAGCCCTGCATCCAATGGGCGGCGAAGAACTTCTAGAGTCTCTGTCCTTTATAGTGCATTCCGGTGAGCATCTTCTCATCACTGGTCCCAATGGCTGCGGCAAGAGCGCCGTCTCACGCATAGTCGCCGGTCTCTGGCCCGCATACCGTGGTCTTGTTAGTCGTCCGCGTAGCATTGGCGTAGATGGCATCATGTTCCTCCCTCAACGACCCTACCTCTCCACTGGCACCCTCCGTGACCAAGTCATCTACCCTCATACCGATGCCGACATGAAGGATGCCGGCCGCCGCGACTTTGAACTTTCCCAGGTCCTCGAAGAGGCGAAACTTGGCTATCTACCGGACAGGGAAGGCGGCTGGGACACGAAGAAAGTATGGAAAGACGTTTTCAGTGGTGGTGAGAAGCAGAGAATGGGCATTGCAAGATTACTTTACCATGAACCGCGGTATGCGTTTGTGGACGAAGGAACAAGTGCGGTCAGTAGTGATGTGGAGGGCTTGCTCTACGAACGCGCAAAGGCGAAGGGAATAAGTACGTTCTCTAGTCATCTCTTTTTTTTTTCTTCGATATAACATCGACTGACTTATCGGTTCTAGCATTAATCACAATATCTACCCGCGCATCCCTAAAGCGTTACCACGATTACACACTGACTCTTGGTATGGGTGATCACGGCGATGAGTGGGACTTCCAACGCATAGGTACGCAGTCTGAGAAATCGAGTGTGGATAAGGAGCTCGCAGAGCTGAGGGAGAGGCTGGCCAAAGTGGAGGAGTGGAAAAAGAGGAGAGAGGAGATCGAGGCAGAGTTGAACAGAGTGTGGGTAGAAGCCAAAGATGGAGAAGGCGACGAAGAGAGTCAAGAACTGGCCCCTTCGCCATATCTAGAAAGAGAAGAGGAAGACTATGCGATCAATGCAGATGATGGTGGTCAGGAAGAGGGGGTCCAGAGTGGCAGTCAAGACACATCTGCATCTATCTAATAACGTAGAGAAAAGAGAGATATAGATTTCTGTTACTGCAACGAGAGCTAGACAGGCCTTCTATTGAGAGTGCTTCAGCTATTGATCTTTGTTTGGTGCAAGACCCAAAAAAAGAATGGAGAGCGGGCAAAAACATACAACAGCGGGGATTCGCCAGTGGTCACCCACCTGACCACTAATCCGCCGGTATCTTGCTTAACTAGGGCTGAGCGAACGGGAAGCCGTGATCTCAAGATCCTATGGTCGTATGTGACAGCACTGGTCATTTGACCGGTCTGTAAACCTCTGGTGTTGGTGTGGTCAGCGTATACCAGAAACAAAATCTGCGGGCAGCATCCGACTCTCGCGAATGTACAGTTATCTTATTGCTCTTCCTCTCTGTTGAGGAAACGCCAGACCATGCAAATGCTACTACGATTGTACAACTATTAATACATTTTTACGCTTCAATACGCTCGCTAAAAATCAAAGGCCGTCTACTAGTATTTCTTCTTTCGATGCCGTACATGAGGATCCTGCCCCTTCCGATTCCTCTTCTGCCTGTCCGTTGGCGGTCTGTATGGTTCTTTGCCATATTCCTCTCGGTACAAGCTCAGCATGTATTCATCGACATGTCTCCGTTCCTTTTCATTGCCGTCAACATCCAGATCCTCGTCCGCTTTAGTGGTAGCTGCGGCTTCAGAGACAGCCCTCGTAGCGTTAAGGCTCTCGTTGAAGTCGACTTGATCTTCCTGAATTTCATCCACAATCTCCTTTTGCGCAATGGAAGCTGCAGTACGATCTTCCGTATCTTCTACATTGCCCATTACACGTGCGTCGCCAAGGAGTCCAATCTTCTCGCCGAGCACACGTTCCATGGCTGCACCAGCTTCATCGGTAGTGTCGATGCCCATATTCTCATCAAGCGCGTCGCGCCAGGTAACCTTATTGAACGTGTCTGTGGTGAAGTCACCCTTTTGAATAATGACGTCGTCGAGAAGACGTTTTTGATTGGACTTCCGGAGGATGTTGGCTTCGATGGTGTATTCGCTGACGAACTTGTAGATGTGTACGTCGCGTGTTTGGCCGATACGATGGGCTCGATCTTGACATTGCTTGTCCATTGCAGGGTTCCAGTCAAGGTCATAGAAGATGACGCTATCAGCACCTGTGAGATTGATACCGAGACCACCAGATCGGGATGACAGGATAAAGCATAGAATGCGAGGGTCGGTATTGAAGCGGTCTGTAAGGATTTGGCGCTGTTCGATCTTGGTAGATCCGTCAAGACGTAGATAACGGTACCCATGGATATTGAGGAACTGTTCGAGGATATCGAGAACCTTTGTCATCTGCGTGAAGATGAGCGCACGGTGACCACCAGCTTGCAGATCCCGTAGTAGCGTTGCAAGACGCTGAAGCTTGCCACAGTCGTATTGAAGAAGACGTTTGTCTGGGAAGGCGATGGATTGTCTAATGCGTGAAGCATGGAAGGGGTCTTTTTCATGTGCTGCCTCTGACGATTGGATTAGCTGAACACCGCGTCTGGACAAGGTCAGAGGAGCAAGCTCTTCCGCTGCAACAGCAGGTGTAACACATGTGAAGCGAGTGATGAGAGGCTCCATGGCCTCAGCACGCTGTTCCAATGTAGGGATCATGTCGTGGAAGTGTGTAATTTGTTGATCGTGCCAGTGTGACAACACACGATGGGAGCGTGGTGATCTGAAGCCGAGAAGGCCATGGTGTTGGCGAACAATGTCGTAATGGATTGCCTCCTCTTGCTTCGGTTGCATTTGCGCCTGGCTAAAGCCATGATAATTTGGATGCGGAGTGTGGTGCGTTCGGTACAGGAGCGGCTTAGGTACCTTCTTTCCTTCTGTGATAGCCCCGAACGTGAAATCATGCCAATCAACGGTGACCGCCTCAACAATGTCCTTTCCGTATATAGGCATAAACTGGGTACGAGCGCGAGTGAGATTGAGACAAGTTTGCAGATGGTCTCGAACAGCCACTTGCTCTCGCTTGGCCATGGCTGCCATGGTCGATTGTAGTGGGGAGGTACCCTTGTCGGTCAGTTTGTTGATGCGCCGTGTTTGGCGCTCAATCAAGTCTTCTAGAGGCCGGGTGGCACGAATAGGATAGGTACGTCGAGCATGGCCTAATTGAGTCTGTTCCCGTCGCGCAAATACCAGATTCAGAGCGTCTAAGTTTACTTGCTTGTCTTCCATGCCCTCTTGCAAGCGCTTCCGAATGAGGAAGTCCTTGATCTCGTACTGAGCGGCAACTGACTTGGGCATAGCCATGGACGTTACAATAGCTCGCGTTTCGAACAGGTCGGGGTGATTGCAGACTTTTCGTAATGACATTAAGCAATTGATAATCGACATGTAGTTTCCGGAGGACAAGATCTCCTTGGTCGAAGCACGGCCCATGAATCCGTCATAAAGCTGTCGTTGCCGCTTAGAAAGCTTACAGTAGACAACATGCTCATATTTTCCAGGCATTTGCTTCTCAACCTCCGACTTCAGTCGTCGAAGCAAATATGGCCGAAGTACTTCATGGAGCCGTTTGACCACCTTCTGCGCTTCTGCGTCGAGTTGTTGTCTTCCCTGGTCGAGAATCTGGGACGTAGGATTCTTCAACGCTAGCGTGAATTCTTCTAGACCCGCGATGCGACCCTCTCCAGCAAATCCAGCTGGCATCAAGAAATACAGCAACGACCAAAGCTCGTCGATATTGTTCTGCAAAGGCGTACCGGTCAACAGGAGCCGCCGCTCTGTCCGAAGGTTAAGCATGGTCTGCCATCGTTGTGATTTAAAATTCTTGATGTTATGGGCTTCGTCGAGCACCAGGTAGCGCCAGGGCCGCATCTTGAATGCTGCTGCATCCTGGAGGATGAGTTGGTACGAAGTAATGACAACATTGTACATGTCCTTTCCAGTGTTGCGCCAGCCCGAGCGTTTTCGTTTTCGCTCGTTGATGTCGCCATAGTACGTCAAGATCTTGAAGCCTGGCAAGAACTTCTTAAACTCCATCTCCCAATTGAGCATGACGCTGGTGGGCACTACGACTAGATGCGGACCCCATATTTCGCGACGAACAGCAAGGTATGCAAGGAGCGAGATCGTCTGTATAGTTTTTCCTAGGCCCATCTCGTCTGCGAGGATACCGTTAGTATCAGACTCGTATAGATTCGCTAGCCAATCTAGTCCGTCGTGTTGGTACTCGCGGAGGGTACCGCGTAGCAAGAACGGCACCTCGGTTCTTGGTGGAGAAGACGTGTGCCGAGATCTAGAAGCACTCTTGGATCGTACTACATCTTCCATTGGAGTTGACTCAGCAATCTCGATGGAAGGAGCCGGCTGTGCTGCAGTGTCCCCATTGACATGTGGCTCATCTACCTCAGCGACGGAATCATGGCCGTTCATACGAGGCTTCTCTTCAGTGGTTTCCGCAGGCGACGGAGCATGACCGTTTGGCTGTTCTATTTGGGGGGACGATTCTTCTGATTTCATGTCGTCAATCGTGGTCTTGGCAGCCTCTTTCAGTTTCTTGATGTCTTTAGGTGCCAAAAAGCCCATCATGCCCAGTTCTTGTTCCTCGCTCTCTTGATCATCGTCATCTTCCGATTCGCCTGCTTCTTCACCATCGTCGTCACTTCCCGAGCCTTCGTTGCTGGACCAAGCTTCGCTACCGGATTCTGAGCCCTTGTCGTCTTCAGAATCTAGCAAAGCATCATCAACCTGATCAAGTTCGATAGTAGCAGGGTCGATGTAACCTGGCTTTTTCTTCTCCTCATCTTCTTCGTTGTCATTGAAGCCGTTGGTATGTTGGAAAGTATTTTCGGGGGGTTCACTGGTATCTTCGTCTTCAAGATCAGGGTCTGGCGTTGGCGCGGGAGTACCCTCTTCCGCATCAGCCTGCTCATCGTCGTCATCTTCTGAGTTCGCTTCAGCTTCGGAGCTACTCTCTGGAATATCGGGAAGTTGTCCATATTTCTCGCGTAACTGTTCGGCTGTGAGGTTCGCATCTTCATCCTGTTCGTTTTCTTGTTCGCTATCGGAGCTGGAAGACATAATGTCGTCGTCGTGTTGTTGTTCTGAGGCGTGCGACACCCCGCTTTCAGATTCCATCTCATCGAAATCGCGGTCTTCGCTGACCAGGGAAGATGCGCCATCGCCCGCATTACGGCCACCCAGAATCTCTTGTGCCTGGTTGAACATGTCATCCATAGCCTTGTGTCCGAGCTGCAACTGCTCCTCTTCGTATTTGGCCACACGCTCTTTATCAATCTCAACCTTGACCAAGCCCCACGCGTCCTTGACATCTTTCACAAGCTGCTTATACCTTGTCACCTGTCGCTCAGTCTCTTCTTGTTCAATCTCGTCTTGGCTCTTGCGCTTGAACTTGTTCTTCCAGAAGTCATATGCTTCCCTAGCTAGGATCTTGGCCGTCCGCCGATGTGCCACCTTTTCTTCTTTCAGCAGCTTGCCGAAGTGTAGAGCATGCGTCACCACGTGATCCCAATGACCATACTGTGGAGGCGGTTCTGGGGCTGCTTCAGGTGCATACACACTACATCGTGTCTGGCTCAAGACTCCATGCTCAGCAGCTTCGACGATCTGCAAGCGACGCTCGGCCTCCTCCTCAGCCTTCTCTTGTGTTATCCTGAGCGCCTCTTCGCCGTCTAGTGGGTCGTCCTGCCCTAACCACTCTTCGAGGGATGCGTACTCTGATTTGGGCGGGGCATGTGCGGGATGTCGATTCGGAGGGTCGGGCTTTCGCAGTCGCAGGCGAAGACGAGGGGCAGGCATTGCGGGATTCGAGTCGTCAGGGGATCCATAAAGGCCGGCATAAGGGTCATGTCCATTGGTTTCGGCGTCGTCCACGGGTTCGTCACCTAGATCGTCAGTGGGCGCCTCAGCGCCCCTCCGAGAGCGTCCGACCCGCTTGCGCGTGCCTTCGGGTGACCCATTTTGAAGTGCTGGCGATGTGACTGGGGATGTTGTAGCAAGTCCAGATGGCTTCCTCTGGCGCTCAGATTTGCGCGCCGGGGTTACCCAGGACTGTGCAGAAGCCTTCTTCGTGATAGTGGACGGCGTCTTTCCTTTCGGAACAGACATGGGCCCTGAGCCATTGCGCGACTCCCGCTTGACACCATGCTTAGGGGTGCCATTCGTTTGCGTTGTCTTAGTAGCCGGTCGTGAATTCCGCTTTACAGGCTCTGGCGTCGGCGGTGCAGTGTCCTTGTTTACACGCGACGACTTTCTGACGCCATTCTCGAACACAGTCGTGGGTCCATCAGCCACGAAAGACTTCCAGGGCGGCGATACGGCGCGTGATGCTGAGCGACGCGGTGTGGCATCTTCGAGTTTCCGCCGCTTTGCCGGACGCTCAATGACGCCACCATCATCGCCATTTACTGGCGCCAGCTGATGCTCGTCCTTGATCACAGTTGCGCTATCAATCTCAATGCTGTCTCCATTTTGTGTGCTGTCGGATGCGTCGTGGGCGTCGATCGAGTCGCGTGGTGGAATGGAGTCGATGTCGCGATCCGCGGCGGTAACTTCTTCCATTCAGGAAGGGCGAAAGAGGCGGCCTGGGGAGCCTGGAGACCACCCGGCGCGCGGCCAAATCGACATATATCAGCTCAAATTCGGAGTCGCAAAATAGCCTGACGCGTGCTGATAGCGGTGAAGGGGTCAGATTTTAAATATCTGTTCGCGTTGGGATGATGCTGTAATGTGTCGATGTCGTGAGATGTTAAAAACAGAGCCGGCGATAATGTTTGGTAGGGATCACACGCTAAGTACCGGCACGGGCGCGCATGCTATCCCCTCGACGTGAAATACAACAAGATGGTAGTATCTACACTTCTGGATGCTGTGATTGTGGCTGTCTAAAGTCTCCGCAAATTCTCTCAGGCAGACATCAGGCTCTTCGGTCGCGTAGACGCCTTTCGTGTTACATATTCATGACCGATTGTGGTAGTACGCAGAGCAGTTGGACCCACTTCTCCGCCAAGCATTACCGGGGTGCCGCAACTGAGCTCATCGCGAACGACACACCAATACTCATATCCACCAACCCCCGGAATAGCGCCACAACGTAAGCAGACGCCGAGCACCTATATCGCAGAGGTACTCACTGCACTCTAGTATGCTTCCCAGGCGCATTGTAGCGGCCCGCCCGCTGGCTCGAGCCATTGTCCCCGCCGTAGCACGCCCACGACCCCAATTCACCCAGATCCGAACCGCCCTTACCGATGCCGAGAAGAGCGCCGTCGAGCTTGCTGACCCAAACCAAGTACGCCTCCGCATTATATGCAAGGAATGAAGGGCGTAATGCTGATAGTGATAGAATGGCGGCTACATCAACCCTCCTGCTGAGAAGCGAGGAAACCGCGACCCATACGGTGATTACTGGGACAAGCAAGAGCGCCGCAACTATGGCGAGCCTTGCCACGAGGACAACGATATCCTCGGCGTACTAGCCCTGCACGACTACAACCACTTCAGTCCCCAATGGGGTTTCGTCCTGATGGGCACATTCATCGCTACCGTCTTTGGACTTTGCGCAGCTGTTGGCACCGTGTACCCCGACAAGCTCAGTGCTCCCAAGACATACCCAGACGGTCTGGAGGCTGAGCTGGGTGGAAAGGGCGCATTGCTGGTAAGTTTATGTTGAGAAGTCGAGGACTATCGCTGACTGGGTACAGGCAAGGAAGCCCGGTGAGGGCTGGTAAATTGTATGCAGGTTTAGCAGATATATACAAATGGGATTCTCTATGTCAATTCAATACCCACTTACCATCCTAGACATGCTGATGATGCTTTACGTCACTGTCTGGATTCAAGTGATGGTCTATTACTGTTTTTTTCTGGTTCGGTGTACTGCTTACTTGAGGACTAGGAAACAGCTTATCACAACAGACTCCTAAAATTTGACCGCGAGTCCTCTGCAATGGGTCCCGTATAGTGGGTCGTGGCACATGCGAAGCCAGGAATGTCTCGCCCCATCCCAGGACCTCATAGCGTTACAGCAAACCACTAGTATAAGCACATGGGCCCCATGTATCCCACACTTGACCCCAAGGATCCAAAGGAGCTCAGCACTCTATTCGTTGCGTGTCTTTTCATCCTTGCTTGGTGTTCGCTCTGTCGGGTGTTCGCTAGGATGTTTGCCAGGATCTGATTGGTCGATTCCCATATTGTATACAAGCAATCAACATGCTCATGTACGGCAGTTGAATTTGGAACCTTCTACAGGCCACAATCCTTCGACGAAACTACCCGACATGGCGAACCGTGAAGATGATGTGGGGTGGGTTCCATGTGGAGACCTTGCTATGGACGTTACCCCTTATATATCGGTAGGCATATGCGGTACAAAAGTACGCATCTGAACTTCCATATCTACATTTTACGTTTTTGTTATCCGCAGTTTTTTAAGTTATTTACAGTGTTTGATCGTCACCATGTACTGGCCTTCACTTGGGCTTGCACTCGCCACTTTCTTCAACAATGTCGCAGCTTCGCCAGCTCATGACCTCAAAGCGCGCCAATTTGCGACAGCTGCAATGCTGCGCTTCCAGTGCTCTCAACTAGTTTACGATCGCATCGACCCACTTGTTCAGCCTGGCGTTGCACCCTCAGCACACATGCGTAAGCAGCATCCACGTGCGAGCTCTACACGAATCCTGACTAACCTGGCATACCGTCATTTAGACCAAATTGTAGGTGGAAATGCCTTCAATGTCTCTATGCCACCGCTTGACCTGGACCCCAGTACGGAAGCCACATGCACAACCTGCGATTTCGCTGAAGACCTCTCAAACTATTGGACCGCAAACCTATACTTCAAAGCGCGCAACGGTACTTTCCAGCGTGTCCCTCAGATGGTTAATTTGGGCCTTCAGGGTAGAGAAGGCGTTACAGTGTACTACATTCCGCCATACGATGGAAAGAGCACCGTCACAGCTTTCCCCAAAGGCTTTAGGATGTTGGTTGGTGATCCAGGATTGAGAGTCCAGGAGGGACAACAAAAGCAGCTTTGCCATCGGTGCTTTACGAACAAAGAACAGGATCCTTTCGGTGGCGCGCCATGTATTGGAGAATTCGATACTGCGGGACTGCCACCAAAGATGTGTGGTGGTGGAATTCGAACGACTATTACGTTTCCAACGTTCGTTCATCCTTCCTACGTATCCTTGTTTTCGATGCTGATGTTGAACATAGATGCTGGGATGGCAAGAACCTCGATTCCCCCAACCACAAAGACCACGTCGCTTACCCAACAACTGGCTCCTTCGAGTCCAACGGTCCCTGCCCAGAGACACACCCCATACATATGCCACAACTCATGTACGAAGTCATGTGGGACACCACCCCTTTCAATGATGCGGCTCTCTGGCCTGATGACGGCTCACAGCCTTTCGTGTATAGCATGGGTGACGCGTGAGTGATCTGCGAAGATAGTAGAGAGAACGATGCTAAAAACACTATAGAACTGGCTATGGCCAACATGGCGACTATGTCTTTGGCTGGAAAGACGGCGCGCTGCAAAAAGCTATGGATCAACGCTGCTTTGGAAACACCTGTACGGGACTGACGACCCAGAGTGCTGATGTGTCGACAAAGTGTGGGGTGCCGCAAGCTGTGAAAGAGCCGGTCGATGGATGGCTTGATGAATTGCCTGGTGGGCCGGCCGTCACTTACGAGTAACCTGAGCGCAAGTTATAAGCCATGGAAGAGTAATAGTAATTAAAGGGGACCAAATAGACGTAACACCGCTTCCTTTGTGAGCAAGCAGACGTTCGCTTTGTTTAATTCCTATAGAATAAGTACATATTCCCTAGACCGTCGTAGATCTGGGGAAAGCTTCAAACGTTCAGAAGCAGTTGCTGTAGTCACGCTTCGACAAGCATTGGTACCACTCTGTCCAACGAAGTGCGTGTCAAAGTCTCTTGCGCCACTAGCCGTGGCAACTTTAGCATGCTCACAGTGGTCCTTCATATATTGTAGATCGGTCGCGATATCCCGACAAGAAGCACAGAATTGGCTATTTGTCTGGAAGAGTCATGAGAAGGAGCCCGAACAAGTAAGGGATTCAACATACCTTGTTACACAAAAAATCCCCGCATGTATTTGAGCAGGCTGCTCGTGCACATGCTCCCAACCCGCCATTCACACAGCAGTTTGCACGGTTGAGTACCCTCAGGTAACCGAGGTTATTATTACAGGACTTAGGGCCTAAGATATCCGTTTCATAATTACATTTTAGCTATTCCATGACATTAGCATATGTCGCAAATAGGAGATGGGCGAAACATTAAGACCTACAGTAGACCCCTTTGCCAGTGAGCGCGCTTCAAAAGGTTCGAAAAGATCAGGAAAATCGCCGGGTCTCGAACATCCCATCTGTTGGTACACAGATTTTGCATCACCTGTGAATGTGACGCCAGGACATCGTGGATCATACACCGTCATGTTGACGAGGACCAGATCGTCGACGGACCATCAGGTAGTGAGACTCGTGTAGGAACCGTTCTTCTCGGGGATCGCAACTGCGTTGATCATGACCTACTCGTACAGATCGGTATGAAAGCTATGAAATAGCTAGAGAGAACAGGAAGCTACTTACAGTGTATATACTAAGGCATAGAGTCGCGAAAACAATCTTCATGTTGTCAAGGGGCTTTTATTAGTCTAGTTGATGTTGGTGAACAGTAGTGTGCTCGTATGCTGGGCTGATCGTGTCTGAATTTGAGTGGTGCAGGCTGAAGATATCCGGAAGGAGAACATGTAGCAGGACGAGACCTAATACCTCGCCCTGGCAGGCAAAGGTTCCATCAGGTACCTCATTCTCTCGGCAGCGTCATCATCAGCTAACTTTTGTCTCTCTGTGTCTATCTCTCCCTCTTCATCTGAGTCTTCGCGAGCTCTCTCCTCCTCCTGCCTCCTTCTCGCCCTTTTCCCCAACCTCGATTTCCTGTTCTTTACGAAAGTTCTCATTTGAGGCGATTCCGGCTCCGGCTCGAGGTCGTGAACGTGGAACAAGTAACACAGCTTCCCTTTCATCTCGTTCAGCCATTCCATGACTTCGACTTCGGACCGGTCTCCCGAGAACGGCACAATCTCATCCTCGTTTGCGGCGGTCAAGCAATTCATCATGAATTCTTTTGGGAGGTCATCCTTCCATTCTTTCATTTCCTGCTTCGTTCCAATATACACGATGACATCGACGATGAGACTTCGAAGAGATGAGTCCGAGCTGGTGGCCTCGTATATATCTGAGATATACTTGTACGGCAGTCGATCTGGATTGTCGAAAATGCGGAGGAAGAACTCGTTCAAGGCTGCGTTGCGAAGTGTATCGATCTCAAAGTCTTTCGCGAATTCAAAAATGTCGATCAGTGTGCCGAAAGAGAAACGTCGGTTCGTCGTCTCATCTGAGTCCAGACGATAGAGGTTACCGGTTTCGAGGAATTTCAGAAAGATGCGGAAGAGACTGGGCGAGCTATTGGGAACGATGAAAAACTCTGATGTTCCGTGTAGACTGGGGTACGTCAGTGTACTTTTGTTTGGTTAAACATGTGTGATAGTGCAGTGGATGCTCCCACAATGAAGTGCTGAATGACACGATGATACAAACTTACTGATCATTGAAGTAGTATGATATAAGGCGCAGGCACCTTAGAGGCGCTTCGAGCACTTCGGTATCGCTACCACTCCCTACTTCCAGTGACACGATCTCGGGGGCACCCCGTGTTCTAGGGTAAATATAGGGGTCGCTACAGGGTAAATGCGAGCTCGACATCGCACTTCAATTATAGATGCAGTGTTGATGGAGGCATGCATGAGGGTACTGAGGTAGCGAGGGAGAAGACGAAGTCGCAATGGAAAACATAAGTCCAACAAGCGTTAAAGTGGGGTTGCCTTGGCAAGTGCAAACGGCCAAGTGAAGGTGAAGAAACCTATTGCCAGACAGGTATATGTAGAACTGTACTAGAGAATTCGAAAGGGAAGGTATAGAGAGCCGAGACAGCGTGTTCTTATTTACACGGAAGGAAGACACGAAAGCAACATCCGGTATCCAACATAGGATGATGATGCATTTACACGGGTATATCCCACAGTTAATGCCTAAGAGCAGTCCTGAGCGTACTCAGACGAGCTGGCGAGACTCCAGCACGAAAAACTGATGAAGGCCGTCTTTCCTTATGCTACGTCCATGGAATTTTCAGAAGATTTAGATCATCTATGGATTAGAGTATCAAAGATCGATGGCCCACTGATGCTTGGCTCAGTCAACACTGACCCGGAAGGGTCGTTGGAGTTAGCATACATAGGTCATTCACGATGACGAGCGGCGCACCTGCCTACGTAAACATCATAGACATCATCTATCTAACTATCCTACTTCATGTCATCCCATATCTGCGAAAGCCCACATAGACGCCTCGCTGTACATTCCATGAAGTCCGGATGCCACCGATAACACATTAGCTAAGTATGCCCCCAACGCCCGAACAACGCACAATGATGCAGAGGTATCGAAAGGAGAAACAAACACCAAAACAGTGACATGTGACAAGAATGGTAGGTTTCTTTCATCGGCGTGGGCCCATACCGCCCGTCATGCGACCACCACCAGCGTTGAGACTCTGTCGGACGATCATTTCTGCGGCCTGCGCAGCAGCGAGGCGTTCCTGTTGTGCGTTAGCGAATGCAAGTTCGGACAACGACGGGGTGACACATGCCTTTTGCCTGCTTCTGTCCTTGAGGTATCGCTCCGCCTCAGGCCTCATTCTCAATATCCTCAGAATCATGTCGTCATTAGGCTCAGCTTGTGCTTCCTTTCTTTTCTCCTCCTTGGCCTTCTTCATTGTACCCAGGTTCCTCGATAACATAATGGTCTTGTGTTTCCTAGTTGGCATTCCGACAAGTCCTGCCGCGCCACCGAATTGGTGACCCATAGCAGGCGGTGCTGACATGCGATTAAGACGTTGTGACTGTTCTTGCTGTCGCCTTGCGCTGGCAGCGGCCATTGATTCGGACGTGCGAATAAGATCCTCGGTAGGTTCGAAGTAGAAGAAGTTGAGGTTCTGAAGCTCATGGTACTTGGGCGATTTAAGAACGTCCATCGGCACACCTTCGACGTTACCATCCTCGTCCACAGCATGGAAGAAGTCGAACAGCATCTTCAGCCACTTGAAGACGATATCGAGCTCTTGCTGTGTCAATGGGCGCTGCTGTGACAGCTTGTCAGATAGAGGAGGTACGAGTAGCGACTCTATCGTTGCAAGCGCTTCTTTCCAGAGTCTTGTCATGACCATGATCATTGCAGCATCTGTCAATGTCTGCTTCATGATGGCAAAGTTCTCGTCGAAGTAGACGAAGAGAGGACCAAGGGCTTCGGTAACATCTTGCTGCGTGGGACCCTGAGCTTGGATGACCGACATAGGTCGGGCTGTTCTGAAGTTGCCAAGATAGTTCGTTACCTTCGATGCTACTCCTTTGTTTAGCAGAGCATCAAGTGATCGGCGAGAAAGCTTATAACCGATGAAAGAAGAAAGCTGTCTTTGTTAGCTCAACCCATCTGAAACGATGGCAATATGCCTACCTTGTCCGTGATCTTCCGTGTCATGTCACGCTCAGTCCTCTTAAGTGTTCTGAACGACTTGCCGAAGTAGAATTGGATATCGTCTCGCTCTCCTTCCATGCTCACACGTAGTAACAGACGACCCTGGGTATCCAAATCAAGCCAGTATTCACGGGGCATGTAGTCGCGAAAATGTGATGGATCGAGCTTGAGAGATGTCCGACCAACGCAGTCATGATCGCCCATAGCGTCCCAGTCCCAAATTGTCGCAACAACATTGAGCGGGCCGTTAGTCGTGATGTCAATCGTCTCGTCCCAACGTGGGTTCAAGTTGCGGTAGATCACACGAGTCTTTGCCAAGCGCTTTTGGTACTCATCACCAAGTACAACATATGGATCGCTAAGTCCATTCATATCACATGCTTTCAGATCTTCAGCCTCGATGATCTTAATAGTGAAGACAAAGTTATTGTTTCGAGCGCGTTGCGTTGGTGGTGGTGAGTGCTTTTGAATGACCTCAGCGCAGGCATCGACGCCGATCTCGCGCTCGAGCTTGTCTAACTGCTGCATCGCATACTCAATATTGTTGAGTTTGACAAGTGACTAAACATGTAAGCATTGACCACGCCATGTAGTGGGTGACTTACCTCAGGGTAGAACTGGAAGGGCTCGACTTTCTCCTTTTGACTGTAGAAGTCCTTGACTGTCGACAGCCACTTTTCAGATTTGGTTTGACGGGCGGCCGCCTCTTGTTCGGGTGTAAGTCGATCCATCTCTTTAGCAAACTTCTGTTCCACAAGCTCGCAGTATCTTGCGAGTGCGACGCCGATTGACTTGGAGACAGCAGTCATGAATTTGGCGTACTGAACATCATTATCCCAGTTCAAGGAAACAATTTGCTCGATGCTCTGGTTGAAGGATCGGAAGACGTCCACAACCGATACGCTATGGCGCTCGTCGTCGGAAGGAATGGGGTTCTGAGACTCGATCTGGAACTGGTCCGCCTTGAACGCGTTATCAACCCACCCAATCAGGTTCTGGTCCGTCATTTGAATCCATCGCCATACAAAATCCTGTAGCTGTTCCTCGATACTGAAAGCGAAATTTTTGTTTGGCAGAGCATCGCTGTGTATGCGGCGGATTTCAACGAGCTCTTTATACAAGTCGAACCCATCCTGCACAGGTACGTCTTCTTCTTTGCTTTGCGCAACGTCCATGATTCGAGCGACTAGGTCTCGCGCATCTGCGGCGTACGAAGGAAACATCTTCTCGACCAGACACATCATGGGACTAGCCCCCATGACTTCTGGGTTCTTGCGATAACGCTTCTGTATCCGCTCGCAGAGCTTGACCACGGCGCGACCAAGTTCAATGACGTGATAGAACTCCCATTCTTCTTTTGTGTCTGGAATGTGCTTGGCAAGAAGCTCCCGATACACATCACCGGCCTTCTCCCTCAGACCTTGGCGTAATTGCTCGGTAAACTGATCCATGTCTTCTTCAGTGCCAGGGAACGTGGGGTCGTCGTAAATGTGTGACTCTAGGATATACATGACCGGCCCAAGTGCAGGCGGTTTGGTATCGTACACATGCATCATCAGCTCGTACAACTCTCGCAGCAAGCAATCGTGCAATGTTGACAGAATTTGCTGGTTGAGAGTATAGTCCTGGATCGTCCATTTCGTTCGATCGAACAAGGATTCCTGCACCGGAACGTGACTCATTCGATGTGACTTCTTGTCTGTTGGCGGCGGCTCTTTGACATAATTGAAGGCAGCGTCGAGCGTGTCGAGACTGATGTCTTGGTTGATGTATTTGTCTCTGATGACATCTAGGAACAAAACGAGGCGGGAGAATTGAGGTATCCTCCATCGGAGAGCAATCTCGTTCAGGAGTTCTGCCGACTGCTTCGATAGGAGTTTGACGGATGGGTTCTCGCTCGTAGCTTCAGTTGGCTCGAGTTCAGTGTCCGCAAGGTCATACGTCAGTGCTTCATTCAGTATCGCACGGTAAGTGGCACGTGGATCTGAAGGTATGAAGGTGTAGGATGAGCTATCATTAGGGTCGTCGTTGATGTTGAGCCCACTCATATCTACAGGTTGGTCAATGACATACGAGGAGCCGTTCTCGGAAGACAAAGACCCTTGGCGCGAAGCATCTGAGTAGCCCGGGTCCAAAGACGCCTTCGGCTTGAATTGTGGCACAGATCCGGGGGAGCTCTTTGCGAGCTCGGGATTTGACTGAATGATGGCCAATATCATCTGTGAGAGATCCGGTACCTCTTGATTCTTCCATGCCTCGTACGCCTCGTCAGTATCGAAGTCATCACTGTTCAGCGTCTTTTTCGTCATGAGACTGAGGTGGGCTTGGTATGTCTTGAGATCCTGCAAAGCAGCCTTTTCTGTCCACACGGCCTTGTAGCGGTTGATGTCGGCCTGCACGTCGGAGTATCCGACGGCGAAGATACGCGACACGACCAAGACGAGTGGCATGTCCTTGACTTCGTAGCTGCGTGGAACTTCGACTTCGACTGTTGTGCCACCTTGTCCGCCGTTGCGCTGGTTCTCTGCCGCCAAATCTTGGTCGTGTACGAGGAGCTTCTTCTCCATGGTGGCCAGCCGATGCGCGAGTTCTGGTCGGTCCTTTTGCCAGTCATGGTCCCTGAGGGTGGAACTGACAAGACGCAGGAATAGAGCGACGTGTCGATCTACCATGAGCTTCCAGCCCTCATCTCCTGGCGCCTTGCCCTTTTGTAGTTCTTTTGTAGCGTTGGAGTAGAAGATCAGGAGCAGGTCCTCTACTCTCCTGTCCTTGTCCATGTTCTTCCTGAAAGACGGGTCCTTGAAGGCGTTCAAGAAGACAGCAAACGTCCGCTTGACCGTGGCATCCTGAAACTCGGGCATGCGTTCCTGGCCCATGAGCACCTTTGTTATCCGCTTGTCGAGCGCGGCCATGAAGTCGCGGGGGAAGCGCGTGCTCTTGGAGTCCCGTATGAGGGAGAAGTCCTTCATGAGGTCGTTGATCGAGGTCGATGAGCGCTGTATATGCTTGGGCGCTGCAGGAACATGCTGCACTCGCTTCTGTCGGGGCTGGAGGAGGTATGCGAGGTATGCTGCACGCAGAGCATAGAGATAGGCATCTTGGGCGGTGACGGGGCGCTTCCCACGGGCGTTGGCCGAGCTGTGTCGTCGCAGGCGGTCCTGTGCTTGGAGGCTGTTGATGCGGCGATTGCTCCCCCGGGTGCCGTCCATGGTGGAGCAGGTGGGAGGGTTCAATGGCGTGGGTGGACGAGTTTGGCTGTGGTTGGGCGCATATCAAGGCGGTGGTGGTGGTGTAGTGCACGCTCCCGGGCTGCAGCTGCCCAGTGGGATGTCCTAGCGGGGTCGTGCCTTCTCTTGTCGTCTCTCCTGGCACGCGTCGACTCTGCAATTCACCCCAGGGCTTCTTTTGCACGCTTCACCGAGGGTTGCTACAATCGGCGGTAATCTTTGGGCGTCGCGTCGTGGCCGACGGGGCTCCTGGTGGCGCGGAAGATCCACCGGAGTGCGTCACACGTTGTTGCTGTGCAGGGAGCCAGGAGCCTCATATCCGCTGACTGGGGCCCGGCCACCTTGAAACAACGCTTTAATTAGCCGCGAGTTTCTTGTTTCGCAGCGCCATGTCGACCTCTCTGCCATGGACATGGTGGTTTTACTAGCAGCGACGCCGTTGTCCGCCCACTCTCGCCAGGCACATGTCAAGTATGAAGAGCCTCCGCTTCACTCTGTGCGCCCATCGGTAGCGCACCACACGCTGCGCTGCACAGCACACACGACATTCCCATCGCGCCTGCTACCACAGCCTTCTCTTGCTGCTCGGTGTCATTTGCATATGGTGGTGCTGCCGATAGTATGCCTTCAAGCTCGGCACTCGTCGGCCCATTCACATGAAGGGCAGGAACCCTGAGCGCCTGATATCTTTTACTACACCACAGCAATCGTGAATCGCAGCCTGTGAACCGGAACCTAACTTCAAACTTCAGCAAGATAAACACAGCTCAAACAATTATCACGCGCATCTATATCCGCCAAATCGACTCGTACCACTCGAGCCAATCCACGATCCCAGTAGACTCGTCGTTCGCATTAGACGATATACTTGTACAACTACCTACACACTGTCATGCCGGAGTCGCAGAGTCCCACAAACGCTGCCGACCGGCCCCGCCTCACCGAAGCTCAAAAGAAGGAGAACCACATCCGCTCTGAGCAGAAGCGACGCGAAGCCATAAGAGAAGGCTTCGACCGACTTGCCTCAATAGTACCCGGTCTAGAGGGGCAAGGGCGAAGCGAGGCAGTCGTGCTGGGAGGCGCAATCAAGCTTATGCGCGAGAAGATTGTGGAGCGACAACAAATCATCGCCGACGCCAAGGCAAAGGGGATTGATACAACAGGGTGGGAGTTGGACAAGGAGACTATGGAGGCGTGCGCTAGACAAATGGAGAGAACGCTGGCCGAGGACAGGCAGGCTGCCAATGAAGAGGAGAACGGTAATGCGAGTGAGGTGAAGAAGGAGTAGGCATACAGATGCAGAACGAAGAAGACATGGACTGAAGTTGCGAGGCGAGGGCACAGTGTTGGAACATCCCTACTTTGCTGTTCACCAGTAAAGACATGGATTCGCCAACCAGCCTGCGTCTTCCTATGGCCTACGAAGGATTATGAGAAAGGTTAACGGAGATTACTGCACTTTTCTTGACCATCGCGTCCAATCGTTGCATTCAAAACAAACGTAATGATCAAGTCAGCCTCCATAGTGACAACTCAAGATGGAAGTACATTTAGACGGCTTACATTCACCCGTGCACCTCACATGTCTTATCGATAAGCCTGAAATTATCTTTCACATGAAAGTAGCCCCACCATCCAACATACTAACGCCTCGCATACCGGTCTAACCTGATTCAACCCCAGTTCAGTATCCCATAATGGCCTTCAGTTTTGGCTTCTCGGGTGACGATATAGAAGAAGATCCAAACGATGTGCAAGACCAAGCACAGCAGCCAGCAACCACGGACAGTGATGTGCCACCACCGATTCCGGCAAAGACACATGATCTAGATGAACTGGTAAGTGTGCGCTTTTGGTGCTTGTGTAATGCAAGTGCATACGCATAATGATTTCTCATTCTGAAACTCCTGACATCCCTTCCCTTCTTGAAATGTCGTTGACATTGCTGAGTACCTAGGTACCGAACTGACATACCACAGCTATCAACCCTGCCAGACAAGCTTTCCTACTCAACTGTCAGCATAACAAGTCCCAAAGGCTTCACAGCGCGCCTTCCACGCCGCGAGCTCTTCGATGTCCGCCTTCAGCTCATGGCCGAAGATGATGGATCTTCTCAGACGCCCCTAACAGGTCTCGATGTACGTTTCACTTTCCCACCAAAATTCCCATCATAGACTCATCTAAGCTAACACTTACACCAAGGACTCGGACCTCCGCCAAAACGTCTATGAAGGCGGCTACAAGACTTGGGAATGCAGTCTCGATCTTGTCCGCTACCTCTTGGATCGTGGTCCGCGGAAGGACCTCGATGACCTGATGCGGGTTGGACACGTTATCGAAATGGGCTGTGGCTCCGCGCTCCCTTCTCTTCTCTTATTCCAATACGCAGTGAAGAATCAACTTGGAATTTACTTCACGCTGACAGATTATAACGCCGATGTCATGCGACTCGTCACTCTCCCCAATCTACTCTTGACATGGGTGGGTACACTGAGTGCTGGAGATAGTCAAACGCTGTTCTCCGAAACTGGAAACCCGCTGTTGGAACAAGAGGAGAATGGCGAGTTGTACATCACTCCCGAGATTCTCTCTGCTTTCAAGAGGGTAATCAACGAGACTGGGATTATCATGACATTTATTTCCGGATCTTGGACACCGATCGATGCGCTTCTGGAGATGATTCCTTCGTCACCAGACTTGAATACTTTCATCCTTGGTTCCGAGACGATCTACTCGCCGGCTTCGCTTACAGCGTTCACGGATGCGATCGTTGCGCTGATGGGGCGGGTCAAGACAGGCAAGACCATGGTGGCGGCGAAGAGAGTTTACTTTGGTGTTGGAGGTAGTGTGGATGGATTCAGGGAGGCTTGTGCACAGAGAGGATGTGTGGCTTATGAAATGGAGTTTGAAGGATTAGGAGATGGTAGCGATGGGGGCGTAAGGAGATGTTTGGTCGAGGTGCAGATGTACTGAATTTGCAAACAATGGAGTTTCAATAAAGTCAAAAGCTATGAATGGCGTGGGTATCTAGGCACATACTAGGGGAAAAAGGAAGCCAAGAGACTAAAAACAATCTCATGAACGCCATCATGCCATACCCAAGCCCAAACGTAGAGTCATCCAACCTTCTCAATGCCGAGACAATTCTACTACTTCGCCCTGACCGTGACCGTCGGTCCAGGCAGCTCTCTCCTGCCGTCAGATTCCTCTCCACCACGCATGAGCCTCTTGTATGTCTCCCTCTCTTCCCTCATCTGCTCTCCACGACTGACCTGCAGCCTCTCGACACCTTTCCCAATAGTATCAATGTGGAATTCTAACGAGTAACCACTCGCATATCCCAAGATCTCCGGCGCCGCGACGCCTTCCCGCAGGTTTTCCAATTCAGCCTGAATTTCCTGTAGCTTGAGAAGCGTGTCCGTTACATGATTGACGGCTCTCTTGCGGTACGCGTTGATGTTGGAGAGTAGATTAAGGGATTTGATGTTGGCCTTCACATCCCCGCGGTTTCCACCGAGCTTTGTCCAAAGACTAGAGAGAAGCTCGTCTTGTCTGCTCGTTATCGTCTGGTCGTCGTTTGTCGCAATCTCATAGATGGTACCTAGTCGCTCGTCAAGATTTTGTAGGACAAGAAGAAGCGCTTGAGCAGTTTGAATAAGACCGGTGATTTCGTCCTTGTTTTTGCTGACGTGTAGGACATATTGGTCGAAGATCTGCTGTTGAAGCGATGGTGGTGGGGCCACAAATGCGCCTGTGAGCTGGTTGAGGACTCGACCAACAGCGCCAACTGATGCTTCTTTTTCCGAAATCCCAGACAGTACATTCATGGTCCAGGTATTTGTTGCGATGACGCGGTCCATGGCTGCTCCTATACGGCTGTTGTAGCGGGAGAGATCGAGGGAAGCCTCATTAGCTGTTTGCATAAAGTACTCAAATTCGTTCTCCAGTGCTTTGCGGCTTGGAAGACGAGAGTGTTTGACAAGAATTCGCAAATCGCGGATAGCAAGTTCAGAGTTCTTGATGGTGGCAGGTAATGCAGAAGTATCTTTCGATGCATCCAAGATATCCTCAAATCTACCTTGGACGTTGATAAGTTCCTCAAAATCAGCTTGAGGGCTTTCTGTGCCTGTCGTAACACAGGCAGCGATGAGATAAGAAGAGCCGGGTATGGCACAAACAGGACCCATTACAGCATTTGAAACTGTGGAGCGTAGCATGCCGGATGCTATCTGGATACTGAAAACTAGTATACCAACACCAAGTATGACGCCCAGGACCGGTTTGATGAAGTGGCGCAGGGCGTAGGAGAAGATATCCAACAAATGAGCAAGAAGTGGTGCGGCGACTTTATCCCAGAAGAGACTCACATAATGCCATGGGCTCACCTCCCCCTGCTCCTGTGGTGACGACTGTTGATATTCGTTGGAAGAGCCTCTCGTAGAAGAAATGCCAGATGCATGGGGTGGATTTGATGAAGAGTTTTGGGCCGGTTTCCTTGCTCGATTTCGCGGCTGGGGCTTTGCCCCTGGTGACCCATTGTATCCACTCTGCGAGTTGGCCATAGATGGCATGATGAAGCTTGGCTCGAACACGTCTTGCCTTTGCGTCCTTTGGTCTGATCCTATTCTCTGCGACTGACTGGCTTTAGTACGACTCGCTGGCTGTCGTACTGGCCGAACTTGGGTTCGAGCTGTAGGTGTTGATTGACTGAGGTGGTCACGCTTAGGTCTCGGTGTCACAGGTGTCTGAGGTTCTTGTATCGTTTCTTTGTCGGATCCTTCCAGTTCCACTTCACTGGCTTCGTCGCTAGCGGAGTGAATCGATCCTTCGTCGCCGGATGCGTAGTCAGCGTCACCCCAACTACTGCCCAAGCTGTGTTCGAGTCGATGGGAACGTGCGCTCATGTTCTAAGTTGGTAGTATCTGTGAGTGGGGGCGATGATCGCGTGGGGCAAGGCAAGGATGCGGATTAAGTGGTAGTTATAGGATTAGGCAGTAGCAGTGTTTCAAGAAACAGTCCAAACTGTCTCACTGACTGCCCTTTGTGTAGTTGTAGGAGGTTGGGTAGGCGGTTTGCCACTTCATACGTGTGACGTGGGGCATACCAATCAGGCTTCGAGCGCATACCACGATCAGCTCGCAGCCGAGACACTTAGTGCTTTTGCCATCAGTAAAGTTTCCGTGCGGATGAATGACTCTAGCACGTTACCTCTAGTGCCTGGCTGCATTACTGACTGTGGTGTTGACTTGTGGACGCGTCGACGTCATGTTGGAGCTCGCAGCCGCCAAGACGACTAGCCCAGAAAGCGCATCCTGAACACCACGCGAAGGCGTTGCAGGTATCAGGACTTTCCGATGTCATTACGCCAGCTTTCGTTCGCGCTACGGACTGCACGACAGGCGCAACCAGCATCAGCAACGTGGCGCCAAAATGGCCGTCTCTTTGTGCGGAGCTGCTCTTGCTCTGCGCCTCACCAGTTACAGCACACTGTGACTGTCTCATCTGAGGCACCCGCCAGTGCGCAATTGAACCCTACAACCGGCACCCCGCCTACGCCCTCCCTCGACCACCGAACTCTCGCGCAGACACACAACCTCTTCATTACATCTCCGTACAGCCCTGGCTCACCGCTCATCCTTCCCAACGGCGCCTATGTCTTCCAGAAGTTGCAGTCGTTCCTCCGAGCGCAGTATCCACAATTCGGCTTCCAGGAGGTCATTACGCCCATAATATATAAGAAGTCACTATGGGAGAAGTCAGGACACTGGGAGAACTATGCCGAGGATATGTTCAGTGTGCAGGGGCGAGGTACAACTGCGCAAATCCCAGAAGCAGAAGGTGGAGAGGACGGAGAATTCGGCCTGAAGCCAATGAACTGTCCAGGCCACTGCTTGCTGTTCAGGGATGAGATCAATAGCTATAGGGATCTGCCAGTCAGACTTGCCGACTTCAGTGCTCTACACAGGAACGAGATCTCAGGCGCCTTGACAGGTCTGACCAGAGTCCGGCGGTTTCACCAGGACGACGCGCACATCTTCTGTCGACCAGATCAAATCTTGGCCGAGATTGAGCAGACACTCAAGTTTGTGGGCATGGTGTACAACACGTTTGGATTAGGTCCCTACAAGCTGCTTCTCTCTACTCGGCCAAAAGATAGCTTCATCGGCACTATTGAGGAATGGGATCGTGCAGAAGAGCAGTTGACTACTGCGCTGAACAACATCGGAAGCGAATGGGCGATTAACGAAGGAGACGGAGCATTCTATGGGCCGAAGATCGACATCATCCTAAAAGATTCGAACGGCAAGGAGCATCAGACGGCAACCATACAACTGGACTTCCAACTTCCGCAGCGCTTCGACCTACAATACCAGGCATCGCCGGAAGAACTAGAGGCGGGGCCACAATCGTCCATGGACGCAGGTCTAGACCCAGCCCTTCGCCGCCCGGTCATCGTCCACCGCGCTATCTACGGATCCATCGAGCGCTTCATGGCTCTGCTGATCGAACACTATGCTGGCAAATATCCGTTCTGGCTGTCTCCCCGGCCTGCCATCGTCTTGTCGCTGAATTCCGACCCAAAGGTCCTTGAACATGTCTCGCGCATTCAGTCTGTCCTCTCGGGGCTCACACCATCTGACGCACCAGAAATTTCCGCATCGTCACCTAAGCCACTCCCGTTGTCGACCATACACCTTCCCATAGACGTTGACACCAGCGACCGTTCGCTCGGCAAAAAGATCGCTGAAGCAAGGACAAAGAAGTACAACCATATCATCGTCGTCGGTGGTAAGGAGGTTGAGAGCGGCAGCATGAACCTCCAGATCATGAATCAGCCGAATGAGGAATTTACTATAGAGGCGTTGCAAGTCTCCTTGGGAAAGACGCTTACTGAGAAAGAGCGATCGAAAGCCACTGTGAACGTCGATCTGGATTCTGCTAGAAAATATTTCGAGAATCTAGCCAACACATTCTTGTAATGCAGAGTCAATCTGCATTCAAAAGCTCGTCCGTCACCAACAACGTACCGTCATGATTACTCAGTATCTAGTCCTACTCTTCACTGTTCTCCTGCGCTGACTTCATCATCAAGTTCAGTCTGAATTGTCGTTTAGCACGCGTAGCTATTATTCGTTATCGTGTAACTGAGAGATCAAGTGCGGTCGAATGCCCCATTTCGGTTCTGAGATCATACAAGCACGCTTTCACTCCACGATTTCGGAATGATCATCGAGACAGAATATCATGCAATCAGGTTATGTATATCTAGAAGAATATCACAATAGCATTCGTTTTGATCTCACTTCTGCCGGAAAAGTCGCCTGTAGGATCCTTGATGTGCAGCTCGACAATATGGAGGCAACGGCGAGCAAACTATCCAGAGCATCCCTGCAACAGGACCATGGTTACACAAATCTCAAGTTTTGTTTCTTCAACGATAGCTAAGCTTGTAGGTTTCGATGGGACGCAAACCAATTTTTCCCTCTTGATACGTCGGTCTATCTAATTCTGCTTACTCTCACATTAACTTGCTCGACACTAAGAACTGCTTTCGGACGTACGAACTGCATTTCCAAGCGCCCAGAATGTGTTCAGAATACTTGCATAAATTTCTCCTTGCCTCTCCAAACGAGCAGCGCTCGACCGTCCATCTCGCGCTATCGGTGCCGAAGCCATTCGAACTCTTCGCAAACCGGCTATATAGCGGCAGCTTGGACACTGTTACCCAATACAAGTGCTTCGCCTAAAAGCACAGCAAGGGTGCATCAAGCCTGGTGATTGGCATCGAGAAAACCATTTCTCGTTTAGCGCATGTAACACAATTGATGCGTACATTTTGACATTTCTGTGTTAAGCTCCTATTTTCCTAAAAGAACGGCGACTTGCGGGTCGCGTGCGCTACCTTCATAACAGAAGGCTGTGAGGTATAAGTTGTAGGAAGTAGTTTGTTCGTGGCAACAGGTCGTTCAACGAGGGTTGAAGCGTGCCTGATCCATCACACGGCTGATGTGTACAGGTTTCTCATTCACGAGTAACATGGAGTCTGTACGCTCGCCTGAAACCGAAACTTGAGAAGGACGAATCACCTCGGGTTCAGCCGAACGCATAGTTAACCATTGGGTCACAAGCATACCGAGACAAACTGAGTTACATGTTAGCCTTGTCCATCGTGCGGAAATGTGCAAACTTACTGTCTGTCAGGCACATTAACAGACATGCATGGCTCATCTTCGCAAAAGCCCAGCTGAGGAACAAGCTGTTGTTGCATACAGTGACCATCAGCATGAAGCCAGAGCCAACAACGTTTCGAACCAGCATGACCCGCAGGTCGCTCCGAGAAGACGTTCGCATCGAGTGGCGTGTCTTGCCCATCCATTGTCTGAGTCCATGGCTTGGAGAGTCGGATTCCACACAAGTGGTATTGCTAGCGAGACTCCGCATCTTGGGTGCGGCCGAGCCTAAAGCTGGCCGAAGCTGCCACACGAAGATTCCTGTTAGAATGGTGTTGATGAGAATATCCAGCACAATGATCGCCATTGCAGCCTGTGGTTCGATGCCGATCCTGCATATACCAGTCTGATGGTTCAACTCAGAAAACGGATTGACAAACTGCCAGGCCATGATGACGAAGAACCCGCCGGTAGTCAGGATCGCTCCAACGACGTATAATCTATCTCTCGTACGACCGACGAACGGAGCTCGAACGATATGGACTCGCTCTAGTAAAAAGAGATATCTGGATGGGTCAGCGTGTGTGCTGCAGGATGACGTCGCGCGCAAAAGGACACTGACAGAGCTATCTTGTCCGCGCCATACATGACGATGCAGACTCTTATGGCAGCATGGCACTGGCCATCCGTTTGTAAGCCCAGTCCGGATACTTGTATAGCCGTGGCAAACAAGAAGGCTGTACAGACGAAGCCTTGCGCGAAGACGAGCACGTCAGAAACTCGAGTCTTTGACTTCTGGCCGGCCAGACGGCCAGCTCGGTACCCTGATTGACAGTTAGTAATTGTTTGAACAGTACTTGTATACAAAACAGTAGAGAGTTACGACAAGATGCACTTACCCTGGGCCAGTGCAAGAACGACTGCAAACGAGATGCATACTACAACAACTAACACACGATGGGGTGGGCGTTCATCTAGTCTATTAACATAAACGTCGTCCCGATTAACAAGGGTGAGTGGAGACATCGGATGCGCAGCCCCATGAGCGATGGCGATTTGCGTGAATGCGAACAGGGTCGAAAGGATGGGAAATCGCATAATCGTTGCCAAGCTGTCTGTGGAGACACAGGGACTATGTCAGGACATATACTGTCAGTCCACAAAGGGAGCTCAGATCAAGTGTTCATCACCAAAACAATCTACTAGATCTATGTGGTACATTGACCGATTTGTCGCAAGATTAGCGCATTTCCGAGAGTGTCACCGCTGGAGCTTACTTGCAATAGCGCCAGGACTTGTGAGATGGAGATATCTCCGTAGCGCCATACGTGGACCCCGTAGCGATCCTTCCGCCGCGCCATGTGCGGAGACGTTGCACTACATCTATAGTAATCGACACCGTTGGGCTCTTAAAGCCCGGATCGACACGAGAGTTTTGACCGCTGCTTCACGTACACCGGAAGTCTCTTCAGCCATGGTCCTGTCGCAAAAATACCATGGTATAGACCCTGATTCTCAAGTATTATAGTAGCTTTCAGACAGAAAACTACATCTGGATATTAACGGCGAAGTGTCCGGTGAGATCAAGAGGTGTCTTAATCTAGGGCTGCAAATACATTGGATTTCCGTACGCTCCCGACCCGCATTGCTGACATCGAAGGAAACTCTCGCGGCGCGTTCTACCTTTTAGCCTTTGCACATGCCCGCGCACCATGACGCACCGGTCTTGGTCGTCATTGATATCTGTCTCTTCGCCTTTCACATGCTGTGGCTCTCCTTCCGACTCCGCTTCCGCCATGACAAAAAATACGCTATACGATGCATCATGCGCATCCTTTCTAGTTACTCTTATCGCTTTATCCTCCACTATCTTGACCTAAATTGACTAAGTACGGGACAAGCAGATTGCGCTCTGGTTTTGGTATTCTTCTAGAGCTTGCTGAAACTTACATTTTGCACGAAAGTCAACCAGTGAATCTATCTGCGCGTTGTGTAAGGTTTCGGATTTGAGAAACTGTATTTGGTTTACTTAGGAAGAGCTCAATTCAAACACGGATTAGGACCCGGTATCAGCATATGCAAGAGGACGATAATGTCGAAAGCCGCAAGGACGGGCGAAGATTGTAAACCATAAGTTTCTGTTAAGAAAACATTCCGCAATCTAGATTCTATTCGCTCTCCAAACATAGGGTCTCCGATTTCTCTCGGCCACACTTCTCATGTCCCTGCTTCCTCAATAATTGTCTGTTTAGTTATATACATTAGGACGTTTCGAGACGCTCGTGAGTGATGGACACATTACATGTAGGTTTATCCGTATCCCTGTGAGATCCACCAGTTCGCGTGCAGGTTCTACACAACCAATTTTATTCTTCTTCGCATCAGAGATTTACTGACTGACTGTCTATTCTCACTGTGGCTTGATGTACTCTTGACCAGGACCAAAATTGCAACCAATCTGATGTGGGGTCCACTATCTACTGACTTCGGTTTACCGGCTCCCAGTGCTGGATACGAACGAACCTACCCGTACTCCAACTGTCATGAATGGAAACAGGTATTGGAGTCTGGCTCATTGCAATGCTCATGCCGAAGATCAAGGAGTTTGAGGAAAGCAGCGACCCCAGTAGCGAGCGAGAAACAGCACTAGTCTGTGAGAACGCGGGCGGGTCAGACTGTCATGTACGAGCCTGTGTGGTAATTCACATTTGGTTGTCATTTTGAGAATACCTCGTTGTACGTGTTCTAGTCCCTAGCTGTATAGGACTGTGTCCTGCTTCGCATGAAACTGCGTATCCGTAGACTGCCCGACTCTCTCCAGCCCCTATCCGTCATTTGATTGCGAGCTTAACTAAGCTTCGAGTTCTTCCTTGCCTTTAGCTGTCGTATCGATAGATTCCCAGGCTGGTCAGTTATTGTTGAAGATATTGCGTATGTTGGGCGATGCTAAAACATCATCGAGCCAACAAGCAGTTGTAAATCTCCAGGATAGTTCACCAGGCAGAAGAAATGTCGGCATCGACCGCCGCAGTGGTATCATCAGCCCAATTGCCTGTCGACTCAACAGGAGCAACACCCCAACTTCCAGCTGCAGCTGTTGAATCCCCGATACCACCCCAGTCACCGCTGGTGTTCTCAGCAGGAGGCTCCGGGCATCGCTTCTCGCCATGACCGAAGTTGTTACAGTTACGGCACTTGACTCGGCTCCAGTCACGAGGCTTTGGACACTCGCGCGATGCGTGACCCTCCTCATCGCAATTGCGGCACTTCATCACACGAGGCTTGTCGCACTCACGTGACATATGGCCCTCATCTCCGCAGTTATGGCAAGCCCGGCCGCCACCACCAGCCATAGGTTTTCGAGGCTGAGTGCAGTCGGTCTTGCGATGGCTGATGAGACGTTAGCACGGCACTAGTAAATAGTACGAAGATATTAGACTTACCCGGTCTCACCGCAGTTGAAGCAAGCTTGACCACCGGTACCCTGAGGACAGTCGCGCTTCTGGTGACCGGTCTGACCGCAGCCGTAGCAGGCACGATCGCCGCCGCCACCGCCACCTCCACCAGATGGGCAGTCGCGCTTTTGATGTCCAGTTTGACCGCACCCGTAACAGGCACGATCGCCACCACCGGTGTTGTTATAGCTTGAAGTGTTGGTAGTAGCGAAATCGCCACCAGAGCCCCAGCCATCGTTGGTAGAATTAGCAGCACCGCCGAACTCGTTGGCATTTGCGAACTGACCAGCACCGCCGAATTCGTTGCTGTCGCCAAAGCCAGTCGCATCGCCACCGAAGCTACCTGCGAGATTCTTCAACTTCTCTAGCTCTTCACGTTCTTTAGCTTCAGCCGCACGGTGCTTCCTGGAGTTCTTGTGACTGGCCCAGTCCTTAGTGAGGATCTGGCGATCGCAGATTTCGCAAAGAGATATGCGAGCGACATGCTCCTTCGCCTTAGGGTAGGGATTGGCCACAAGATTCGACATGATAGCAGTTGAGCCACGAGCCATGATGCGGATTCTTTGAGAAAGAAGGGATTGAGTCTGGGCGTAGTATAGGTCAGCTGTTTGTGCCTTGGAAAGAAGCGGCGGTTCACTGAGGTGCAGCAGATGTTGGACGTGGCATTGGTGGCTGCTGCTGCTGAAGTATAGCTTCGAGCGTGTGCTATGCTTGACCGAGGGCCAAAATCGGTAGTGTGCTCATGCTAACTCGTGGAGCAAACTGTCTCAACTTGGAGACTTGCAATCTAGACACTGGAAGGGACAGAGACTTACATTGTGCGGTGAGAGTAGGTATCGCAGACAGTCGGCAATACAATCGGCGTCTGCTGATAGTATAACCAATCTCGTACGTCGTTGGTGATATCGTGAGGCGAGGTAGTAGAGACTGAAGGTGAGCGTGGAGAATCTTATACAGGCAGGCGCGACGTAGCATGGACCCTGCACCGACAACAACAAACACTCGAAGCGAGACCGAACATAAGCCGGAAGATGCAATATGGAAGTTGGTGGAAGGCAAGAGAGCATGGAGACAGCGTCGCCAGTATGCATGTCGGGTACCAACAGTACCGGATGAAAAATGACAGGTCACTTGGGAAGGGTTACACGAGAGCTGGTGATAAGAACTAGTAGAACCACGAAACGAGGTGATTGGGAAACATCAAAGTGTGCCTCTCAACACGTACATACAGTCCTGGAACCATTGAGTAGTATGTGTAGACCTACATACTCATAAGAAGTCCCTGCGCTCAAGGGCTTGTCTCTCGAAGCGCTCCGGCGTGGAGTTCTTTGGAATACTAGAAGTGGATGTTTGGAGATTGACAGGTTAAAGGACGCGGTTTAGCATGCAGATGTCAATGTAGTTCCGATGTACATTTGTTCAAGGACCGGTTTACCTACGTGGTATTCAAGCACCTGCAGGCACCCCATCTTCGGCGTCAGCCTCTTCTTCCTCCCTCTGACTCTCACTCTTTATCGGTTCTTTCCAACCTGTACCGGCCTGTACAAGAACAACAATAACCGAAAGCCCTACGGCGCAGAGAAATAACGCCTTGAGTGCATCCGCATATGCCCCAACGGCAACGATCCTATCCTTACCTTCCAGTTTTCCCACAAGTGCAGGACTTCCCAGCAATCTCCTAATAAGCTCACCGCGGCCTTTCAACCCTGCTTTCGCAAAGCCCCTGTCCAGAGACTTGTGCAGCACACGGACGAAGTAGCCACCACCAATCGCTGAGCCAAAAGAGCCAGAAAAGCCGCGGAAGGTAGCAAGGAGGGAGATGACAATCGGATGGACCTCTGGTAGCGTAAGATGTAGGAGATGGACTAATGCGTAGTTTGTTGCAGCACCAGTGACAAGGCCGTTGAGGAACACCATGGCAACGTAAAGAGCCCATGGACTTGTGGGCGTGGAGATGAGGGCGAGCACAGCCATCGTGATTGGGAAAAGTGCCATGGCTACAACAGTATGGAGGTAGAAGCTGCCTGTGCGTTTGATGTGAAAGATGCCAGCAAGAAGACCGCCAGTTGCGAAGCCGGCATTCGTAGGGATGAGAATCGAGCCAGCAACGGCGGGCGCCCAGCCTCGAATGGCAAGCGCATACACGGGCGTGTAGAAAAGGATACTCCAACGAGCCATCATGAAACCAGTCGTGGCGAGGCAGGTCAATAGGGTACCGCGCGACCGCAGCACAGAGACTGGAATGACAGGGTCGCCAGCGACGTAGGCCTCGTTGAGAACGAAGACTGGCAGAGCGAGGGCCGATAGAATGATGGGTGTTGGGAGGACCTTTGGACCGGACAAGCCGAGAAGAAAGAGTACAATGGTGGTGGTCAGGAGGAGCGCTCCAGAGTAGTCGATGCGGGCGAGCTTCTCACGAATCGAGAGGCTTTCGTACTTGATGTTCTTTGATGTATGGCTAGCTGGAATAGAGAACAGCAGACCCAAGCCGGCCACTAAGCTTATTGGTGCTTGTATACCAAAAAGTGGTTTCTGTACGTGTCAATAGGGGACTGACGATGACTTGGAGTTAGAGTAACAGCTTACCCATCCGATCCTAGGTTCAAGCGCACCCGCTATCACCGCTCCTAGCGAGACACCGACCGTCATTGCAGTGTTGGCAAGACCCATGTAGAGACCTCTCCGTTTCGGGCTAGTCATCTGAATTGCCATGATACTAGCAACAATGAAGATGCCACCACCACCAGCTCCAGTCACCACGCGACCAAGAATGAAGTGCTCGAAAGATACGGAGGTGGACGTTATGACCGATCCAATGCAGATCAACATGGTGGAAAAGAACATGCATAGACGCGGACTAAAGACCTGACATAGTCGTCCCATCAAGGGAGCGAGAGAGGACATGGCGATGAGATACGAAGAAGTAAACCAGCTAGCGGTTTCGAAGGCATCTAAGTCTGCAGCGATAGATGACTGGGTTGTGGTAAGGATGGAGATGTTTGTGGCTACCATAGCAATTAGAACGTCGTTTGAAAAAGTACCGCGAGAATATAATACCAAATGGCTTCTGCTAGTTGCCACGGTGCACAATCTCACTCATCTAAGGATGGCACAACACAAAGTCCAAAGTGAGAAGAGAAGAAAAAAAAGCTGATGGTGCTTCAGACATCGGATAGACATACCTTGCAGAAAGATCAAAAGACCGACAGATCCGACAACAAGTGACCCTCTCAACGTCGAGATGGCTGCTTCACCATCTTTACTATCTCTGTCCGACAAGCTTGGCGACGTCGAACGCCGAAGTAGTGGCGCGCGTTCTGTTGAGGCGTTCAAGACTGCCATGATGTAGGTTCTTCGATACGATTTCAGGGGACAAGAAAAGTGCTATCAAAGAGCGATAGTGGGAAGATGAACATCGCGTAGGAAAACGCGTAGGAACAAAACGGGAATCATGATGATGATACGTGCAAGGGTGTTAGTGCTTCCATCGATGACAAATGCGGAAAGAGGTCGGTTGTCCTTGCCCGCGGGCTTTCGTCCGCGAAAGAAGCAAGATAGCGACGGAGAAATATCGCGAGAGCGCTGAAGCTTGACGCAAGCGAGGACGTTTGCCAGTTTCCTATGAGTGAAAGCCGGGGAAGTACGCGGCGATGTTGCGGCGCGCGAACGTGTGACATAAGTGACGTCAACGCTCATTGGCTGCAGAAGCCACGCATCGGGGGGCGTAACTGCCGTGATAGTGGAAAGCTGGCCTCTACAAACAACTGCACCACGACTGCGTACAAGTAGTCGCGCCTCTGCTTCGGACCCCCGCGAGATGACGCCATGAGTTTCTTTCTTCCCATCACTTTGAATTTCGACATATACCCGCAATGAGGCCGCAGCTACAGCGGCTTGTGCCGCTTCTTTTTGGTACGTATCTGCACATGCGACTGAAGTAGCTTCTGACTGACTGGTAGACCCGCAGTCTTTCTCTCGCTATTCTTATGCGTTTCTTCGGGGCAGACCAGAGAGGCTTGGAAGTCGGGATGGGGGAACATAGAAGGAGATGTGAACCCAGACCAGGGCGTACTGGCCTTTGACGATGCTATGGCGCTTCTACACACGATCAAACCGGCTGCGGCGCCATGGTGGAATTTCGACAAAAAGTCTGGCATACTGGGTACCAGCGCGTACTACGCAAAGGAAGTCTTCTTCCTGCTCTTCATGAATGGGCCGCCGCAGCAGGAGCTGTTGACCACGAACCCGCAGCCCAAGAAACTTGGACATTCCCTGTCACGGGCCGTTGACTTGTTGGAAGAGGCCGCGGCCCAGAAGAACCCCGATGCAATCTTTACTCTCGCCGAGATGAACTTCTACGGCAACTACACGCACCCGCGCAACTACTCCGAGGCCTTTCGAAGATACCACGAGCTCGCGACTTTGAATGGGAATGCCTCGGCACAGCACATGGTTGGCTTCATGCATGCGACTGGCATCGGCGGGGCAGTCAAGCAAGACCAGTCCAAGGCCATGCTATACTACACATTGGGCGCTGAAGGTGGAGACGTACGGTCAGAAATGGCTGTTGCGTATAGACATTCGGCGGGCATATCCACTCCGCGAAACTGTGACGAGGCTGTACATTTCTACAAAGCGGCGGCTGAGAAGGCTATTGCATACATGCGGTCTGGTCCACCAGGCGGGCATTCTATGCCGCGAGAGTCTTACAATATCGCCGACGATCAAGGCGGTGTGTATGGCGAAGGTGCAAGTGCGAGCAGCTCGGGACCCAACGCCAAGGTTGCAAGCGCTCAATCTGATGCCTTCTCCTCCCTCGACGACGTCTTCGAATACATGGATCTGCAGGCCCGAAAGGGTGATGCTAGGGCCACATTCAATCTTGCTAAACTCAATTATGACGGCGCACGAACATTGAAGCGAGACCTTCCGGCGGCTAAGAAACGGTTCTTGGAACTTGCCCGCATGTACTGGACAAAGGACGGAAAGATTAACGCAAATGTATCGCCGACTACCGAGAAGCTAGCTGCGAAGGCCGCTGGCTATCTTGGCCGGATGTTTCTGCGCGGCGAGGGTATGCCACAAAGTTTCGAGATTGCAAGAACCTGGTTTCGACGTGGCATGGAGTTGGGTGATGCACTGTCGCAGTACTCGATGGGTATCATGTATCTGAAAGGCCTAGGCGTGCCTCAGGACGCTGTAAAGGCTGCTGAACTGTTCGGCGCAGCTGCAGACCAGGATTTGGCAGTTGCACAAGTCCGACTTGGTGCGCTCTTTCTGGACCAAGGCGATATCGCCATCGCGGCTAAATACTTTGAGCTTGCAGCTAGGCATGGGCATCTCGAGGCCTTCTACTACTTAGCTGAAATGACGAACAACGGCATCGCTCGCACCAAGTCTTGCCCTCTAGCGGCCACATACTACAAGATCGTCGCAGAGAAGGCCGAGCTTGTCTCTACATCTTTTCCAGAAGCCAATGAGGCTTACGCCAATGGCGACCTAGAGACTGCACTCGTTAGCTACATGATGGCAGCTGAACAAGGCTTCGAGGTTGCGCAGGCTAACGTCGCCTACCTTCTCGACCAAGTCAAGCCTCGCTTTACCTTAGACTCGCTCGTTCCCTTCATGAAGCAGAACCCTTCGCTGGCTAGCGATGCATTCCTGGCGCTAGTATATTGGACGCGCTCTGCAGAACAGAAGAATGTCGACGCCATGGTGAAGATGGGAGATTACTATTTGATGGGTCTCGGAACACATCCTGATTCCGAAAAGGCTGTGGCTTGTTATACAGCAGCAGCAGAGACCATGCGAAGCGCACAAGCCATGTGGAATTTGGGCTGGATGCACGAGAATGGCATCGGCATTGATCAAGACTTCCATCTTGCCAAAAGACATTATGATCTTGCCTTGGAGACAAATCCGCGCGAGGCTTACCTACCCGTCATCCTAGCGTTGTACAAACTCAGGATCCGGAGTTGGTGGAATACCTTCACAAATGGCAACATCAAGTCTATCCAAGAGGAGCCCGGTAAGACGCCACTTCTGAAAACATTTCGACCGATCTAGTACTAATCTGGCTGCAGTCGTCAAGAAACAATGGACACTTTCGGAGTGGCTCAACGCTTTCCTCGAAGCCGAACTCGCCGGCTGGGATGAATACGAGCCTGATGACTTCGATGACACACATACAGCCGGCGACGACTACTACGGTGACGGCTACCACGGCGACGATATTGATTCGGATATTCTCGAGTCGCTCATCATTCTGGCTCTGAGCGGCGCTTTGGCATTCTTGCTGTACTACAGGACACAGAGGCAGAGAAGACAAGAGGAAGAGAGAAGACGGCAACAGGAACAACAACAGCAGCTGAATCAGGGAATTCCGGTGCAGCAACAGCAGGCGGAAGGACAGCCGCCACCAGACAGAGGGCTGTTTCCAAATCCGAACGACCCTGATTTCCTGAATTGGGTAGCAGGTGGCGTAGGTCATTGAAGCATTCTTACGTGGCGTTTAGGCAGCCGACGAGCAACGGTAGATTCCATGCAAAAATTCAACGGTAGTTCGCCAACGTACGTAGCCCTTCACTGCACAAACGTGATCTACAGATGAGGAAGCTTGCATGTTTTTGAGTGAATCGAATTCTCTACACCAATTTCTGGGTACAATAGAGCGGATTGTGGGGGAGTTGCAGATCTGCCTGGACACAACACATCGACTCCCACCAACCCACTCCTGTGTCATGGAGATGCCCCAAGATTACATCAAATTACACATCAAAACTAGCATGAAAGACGTTCTTCGGCGTAGGAGCAAGCAGACGTTCCCGTGCCCAGATACCCTTGACGGTCTTCGCGCACTTATCGAGGCCCAGGATCCCCAACCAGCATGCAACTGTGATCAGTGTGATCCGCGTTTCTACAAGTCCCATTGGAACTGCAAGATACATCCACACGACCATCCCAAACTCAAACTCGACAGCACCAAAAACGAGTTCGGAAACCAGTGCTACAAACCCTTGAAAATGAACGTTGCGCTCCGTGCTGAAGCAATGGAACTGACTAGAATAGCAGTGAAATACTTCGACCGCCCACTGGAATCTCTTAATAACACGCAACTAGCCGCTTTGATGAACCTTCAAATATGGGTTCAAGAGCACATGTCACTGTTCTTTGCCATCACACCATCCACACCATCTGCAAGTCTTGACACAATCTTCCCTGAATCTTCAATGCGCGAGCTTTGGAAGCATATCAACATTCTATTCTTCGGCTCCGACATTCCACGTCGCCTCTCCTGCTTTCGTTGGGCTACTACTCCCCCACACCCCGGATATGAAACGGCAATCGGCGTGGCGTCTGTGCGTTACTTTCTCTACAGCATCGTCATACTACCATCTATAGACTGCATGTTGATGCTCAGCACGCTTTTACACGAAGCTTGTCATATGTTCTTTCTTTACTATGCCTGCCAAGCTTGTTGGAGTACAGAATGGAACTTGAATACAGCGGGACACGGGCGCGCATGGCAAGTTCTTGCGTCGGCTGTGGAACGCAAGTTTGTAGAGTTCACAGGCCTGCCGACTGATCTTGGTCGTCTCGATTCGTTACGAGTGCACTGGGACGACTGCTGGCCATTACCTAGTATTCACGAATTAGCAGACTGGCAGCTAGACAGGCCAATATTGATGCAGATTTACGTGAATGATTTACATAAGGCAGTTCGAGGGTATGTGGGACTAGACGGAGGAGACGATAAAGTTAGAGATTTTCCGATAAGAGGGTTCAAGGAATATTGGTGGGTAGACACGAAGCAGGCTGAACGTATCGCAAAGGAAGGGAGGTTGGGAGATGGCACAGATTTCTTCGAAGAGAAGACGTTGGTGTGTCGTGCTGACTTGAGGTGCGGAGGGATGGAGCGCGAGCAAGAACAGTCTGACGGAGAGGTAGAGAGAGAACACGAGAGGATCTTAGAGAAGTGCAAATGTGAGGGTAGTATTTTTTGCCCAAAATGAACCACGTTGATCTGTGAATACATTGTTAAGTTAGGGCCCTCGATGCCAATGCGAAGGGATACAGCAACTACACCATATCATCCCAAAGGCTTTCCCACACTATTCGTTTTGCCACCGCATCACAACAAACCATGTTCTCTGCAGCATATATGAGCGTCAAATCGCCTATATTAGCAAAGGGTCGCAAGATCGGGTTTCTCTCAGAGCTCTGGCTCATCTTGGACGACCCTGCTTCTGGTTGAAACTAAACCACCATAGTCGCTCCAAGAAAGACCATTGGCTCCAATTGCTGCGTCGTAAGCAAGTTGCCGATTTGTCTTTCGTCGCCTTTTGTGTAAGCTGGGTGCCAGTAAATCTGTTCTGGAGGAAGAATTGGAAGCCGTGGTGTACTGTTTGGCTACCGACGAAAAGTGGATAGATTGATCTTCTGGAGTTTGATTGGCCACTTCCTGACGAGAACTATGCGCAAAAGGTGGTTTTGATGTAGGAAGAACCCTCGGAACCCCAAAGTTTCCTGATTTGGTTGGCGTGCTTGAAGCCATGTCGTTCGAGGTGGGGAGTATGACATGCCGTTCATAGGCCCCATCATCAGTCATTTGCGTATCCGTTGGGTTCTCTCCTCTGTATCGCTTTTGTCGGCGCTCGAAGGCCAATCTGGCTTCGAAAATCTCCATCATTATGGTATCGTGGCGAAAAAGATCAGCCGAGCACAAATCGCCAAACATATTTCGCATGCTAAGCTCGGGTGTCCAATGAACATCGTCAACAGTGCATGGAAATACATCTTTAGGACTGAAGGCCCTAACAAGGCCACGAAGTTCGGAGTATGAAGAATGGCGACTGTATGGAAATCGAATCGTCCTATTAGACGGCAATTCCATTCCGGAGTCTTTTGAAGCATTGAATGAAAATATAGAGACGAGAGTTTCCAAAGACACATCGTCTTGCGTGTCATGAATGTGCTTTTGAAGCTGCATGTCCAGGTCGAGTTTGCCATCTTCGATGAGAGTACGCCGTACCAACGCAACTACTTTCGCGAGCAAACGCTCATCGTCTATGGATGCAGCACAGAGCTCTAACAACTTGTCTATGCCGCCCACTCCACCAGACTCTAGCTCTTCTTTCTGATCGAGATCACCCTTGCCACCTCCAACGCCTAGTTCGGCGATATCCACTCCGTCGGTGCGCGTAACGATGGGGATGATGTGTATGATCTCTGCGTTCGAATCGCGGTCCAGGACTGAACAACCCATGCCACGCTCACAACTATGAATGCGGACGTCCTCCTGAGACGTCAGACAACCCGGTTGTATGTGATTTCCATTCCTAAAACCGCATAAAGCAGGAGCCTCGCGGATCTCCAGTCCAATTTCTTGAAGCGGTTTGTTACTTGCTGGGACATCAAGGCCTGCTTCTCGCAATTGCCGCTTATCTAGCGTAGACAATGAACCGTATACACGCGCTCGATACTCGTCAAGGTGTATGCGCGAGTGTAGGAATGCAGAGAGCGCTATCCATACGTTCTCATATCCAAACGTCCAAGAATGGAAGTAAAAGATTGTATCGCGCGGATACTCACTCACCTTGTCCAGCAGCTCTTGTATGCCTTGTGCTTTACTCGGAAATTGTCGATAGGGCTCCTTTTTTGTAGCGAAAGTCGTGTCCAAATACATGCAATCGAGCTCTCGGTTTCCGAGTGAATATGGCAATAGTACTGGGTTTTGTACTATTGAGTTTACCCACCATTCCTCCGCGCGGATATCGCCGGTGTACAGTATTGCTTTACCATTGCCCTCAATCAGAAACATGACGGCACCGACGCAATGGTTTGCATCGATAAGAGTTACCCTGATACTGTTTCCTGGCGATAATTCAATCAAGGTTGGTGTGTCAAGAGGGAGCGCCTTGGCCAGTTTGCGCATGCTTCTGTTGTAAGTGACATTGCTACTCTCGAGGATCCCCTTAGCAAAGTTGACACGATAGCAAATTTTCTCTAGTCGCAGCAGTATCTACAAGGCATGTCAGCTTTACAGTGAAGTTCATCAGAGCCGAACGAGTTTAGTAATCACCTCCTTAGTCGCAGCTGAACAGTACACAAACGGAGCGCGTAACGACTCGAGGCCGGCCAAATGATCAGAGTGTACATGACTCAAGAAGCATGCTAACGGCGCCTTGTGCTCCGGTTGCTGACGGAAATAATCTATCCTGATGTAGGGAAATTCTATAGCAAGATGTTAGTCTGCATATCGATTGAGAAGGGCAGCGCAACAATGTTCACCAGCTATGACGCCTCTGAAAGTGGACATATGTGCGGAAGGTGTTGCAGGGGGCGCAACATTTCCAATGTCGCTAGAATGTCAAGGAGCTAGCTGATGATACAAGCAAACAACATGTCGGTGACGAAAAGCTACTCACGAATATCATCGGGAATGAGAGACCCGTCGATCTTAGCGTTGTTCGTCAGGGTTCGAGGCAGCCGCGGTTCGCCCCACACGATGACGCTTACTTCAACAAAGTCACTAGTCACTACCAGCCACCGTGATCTTTCATTGAGATACGGAAACACTAGATACCACATCGTATCATTGCGTGCATACCGAGAAATTCGATGGTTCATTATCATACTGCGGCCGACACACCATACCCAGTTACACCACGAACACGTCGCTCACTTTAACAACCTGTCCAGTAGCCATTGACTTATTTCCACAGATGCCCGTAAGAATTGAAAGCGCACCGTCAACGTGACTAGCAGCTCTCATATCCTGGTCGATCTCCGCACCTTGCTCACCAAACAAATCTGCTAGCAGGACCTCGTCGCCTCCGCCATGCGCCCCAACAGAATCAGGGATCTCTATGTCCTCAGGCTTCTCAAACAGCTTTCTGAGTGTAATCGATCGCTTTTCGAGTGATCCCTCGAGCGATTGGTCTCCTCCGCTGTTCACGTAGCTGTTCTCGACGACTTCCATTTCTACACGGCCCCCAGTGCCGTTGAACGACACGCGGAAGCCTTCCCATGGTGCGTATGCAGTCAGGGAATAGGTGAGTAGCGCACCGTTCTCATACTTTACCAAGAGGTTCATTGTATCTTCTATGCTTATGCCGTCGCCGAAGACGCTTTGATCGCGATAGTATGCGTCTTCGTGCTCGGCATCAAGGTACATCTTCTTCAGCTTCTCATTTTGGTCCATGTGTAGTGCGAATGGATCTTTCTTCGCCACCTCACTGCCATGGGCTCTTGTGTAGAAGTCTTGAACGCCTCGCTTCTCAGCGTTCTCTCGCCCGTAGAAGTTCAGATTTCCCTGCGCGTACACAGTTTCCGGACGCGAGGATAACCAGAAATTGACGAGGTCGAAGTGATGTGTTGATTTGTGGACGAGTAGCCCACCACTATTACGCTTATCCCGGTGCCAGCGGCGGAAGTAGTCTGCGCCGTGCGATGTGTTGAGCATCCATTCAAAGTGTATGCTCGTCACCCTTCCAATTGCGCCAGAACGAAGAAGTTCCCAAACCTTTGTGTTGTGCGGTGCGTAGCGGTAGTTGAACGTAACGCGTACTTTCTTGCCCGTTCGCTCAACAGCATCAAAGATCTCACGACACCGTGGTGCGTCAATAGTCATGGGTTTCTCCGTTACAACATTGCAACCTAGTTCCAGCGCGCGAACAATGTAGATGTTGTGTGTGCGATCGATGGTTGTTACGATGACCTCGTCTGGTTTCGTGTCTCGAATCATTCGGTCGAAATCCGACGCTTTGAAAGTGGGAACCTTGGCATGGCCGAGAGATTCTAACTGTGAGTTCGCAAAGTCCAGTCGTGTCTGGTTGGTGTCGCATAGCGCTACAACAACGGAGGTCTCTTTGTAGGTCGTCGCTATCGCTGTGTAGAAGAAGGACGAACGACCCCCTGTGCCAATCAGAGCATATCTCTTTTGTTTGTTCCCCCCCGTCATTTTTGCCGATAAAAGATACGAAAACGAACGTTAAACCAAGCGTACGGTAGGTCAAGACTTTGTTCTGCAGCCACCTCTTAACCTCTTAGGAAACTTCCCATGGCGACGCATCGGTGTATCGCTACCCCGGCTAGGCCATCGAATTCGGCGCATCCCACCCCGAACGTTGCACCACGCGATATCGCGATGTCGATCCTGCCTTTTGCCGCCACTATAGCCGGTTGGTGAACCAATGTTTTGACAAGAGGCCCCACAGGACCCGCCCCCATGGGGAAAGTGAAGCAGGGGCGACCATAGCTAAGCATGGGGTTTACCGCGTGAGCTCTGCGGGGAAGCTCACTCCTTGCCCAAAAGCTTGTGTTAATGTGCTACTTGCGCGGATGGACGACGGATGGAAGGATGTGATACGTGGATCAGCATGGCTATGAGGGGCTTTGATTGTGACCGGGAAGCTTGAGATACGCATGGCCATGTGGATGTTCAATGCCCAACACGAAGTTGCGAGCAAGACTCGTCGACCCAATCGGTCGGTTCTTATTCTCCGAACTGGAGCCTTCCACTGATAAGTAGATGATTCCACCACCTAGGAGATAATTACGGAGAACACTTACCTATCGTAAAGTCATCGCTCTGCAACATCATGGCGACAACCTATACTGAAACTCCCAAAGACGACACCATCACCCATGTCGAGCGCTCCACCCCCACAGTTGGACAGGATATTGCGAAAGCCGACGCTGCAGCCAAGTTTCTAGCCAATGCGCATGTCGATGATGTATCTTTCTCCTACGAAGAAGAGCACGCACTCCTCAAGCGCGTGGACTATCGAGTTCTCCCTCTTTTGCTGTGAGTATCTCTGTACGAACTACATGTGAGATATGCACTGACCTTGTACACCCATATTCAGAGGAGCCTACTTTTTCCAACAACTCGATAAGTCTTCGTTATCCTACGTGTCTATCTTCGGCCTGCAAAAGGATGCAGGACTAGTAGGACGACAATACTCATGGCTTGGTTCAATGCTTTATCTTGCCCAACTAGTCATGCAACCGCTCGCCGCATTCATCCTCGTCAAACTGCCCACTGGTAAGGTCATCGGAACGGCTATCTTCCTCTGGGGTAGCAGCCTGGCCATCATGTCCGCCTGTACTGATTTCAAAAGCCTTCTCGGTATGCGATTCGTATTGGGTTCCTTCGAAGCCATGATAGCTCCTGCGTGTGTTGCGACCACAACGATGTGGTGGCGCCGTTCCGAACAAACTCTTCGAACGGGTTACTGGAACGCTATGAACGGTGTCACATTCATTGTTGGGTCCCTTTTCACCTACGGTCTTGGACACATCAATAGCGACTCGCTATACAAGTACCAGGTTATCTTCATGTTCTGCGGTCTCTTGACTGTAGCGTATGCTTTCGTCGTCCTTGTCTTGATGCCGGATAGCCCGATGAAAGCCAAATACTTAACCGAGCGAGAACGATTCATTGCGGTCGAGCGTCTGAGGGCTAACCAAATGGGTATTCAGTCTGGAGAATGGAAGTGGGATCAGGTCTGGGAGACCTTGATCGACTTCAAGACTTGGTGTTGGTTCATTGCTATCATCGCTATCTCGTAAGTAATTGACCTAGTTGCATCAGAGGCCTGTTACTAACATCCTTCTTAAAGCATAGCAAGTGGCGGTATATCCACCTTTGGGAATCTCATCATCCGCGACTTCGGCTATACTAACTTCCAATCTATTCTTTTCAACATTCCCTTCGGTGTCATTCAGGTCGTCTGTATCCTGGGATCTTCCTGGGGAGCGGCACGTTGGAGTCGCAAAGGTCTTGCCATTGCCCTTGTCGCGATCCTACCCATCATCGGCACGATCATGATGTTGACCGTACCCCGTCAGCACAAAGGCGTCTTGCTCTTTGGATACTACCTGGTATCATGTCTTGCTGCCATCACACCTTTGATATACACTTGGCACGTGCAGAACACCGCTGGTGACACGAAGAAGAAGTGTACGTCGGCTATGGTGTTCATCGGCATGTGCACAGGCAACGTCATCGGTCCACTCTTGTACTCTGTTGACGATGCACCTCTATACCGGCCCGGCCTTATCTCCAACCTGGTAATGTTCGCGCTGGTTGCTATCATCGCACTCCTCATTCCTATGTACTTGGCACTGTTGAACAAGAGACATGCGAAGCGAAGAGAGGAGTTAGGCAAGAGTGCAGTGAGAATTGACGAAAGTATGTTGAAGAAAAAGGAAATGACACAGAAAGGAGTGGAAATGGAGGCGCAAGACCAGAGACAGGAGCAAGACAATGGCTTCTCTGATCTGACAGACATGGAGAACGAAGACTTCATCTACGTATACTAGGGACTGAAGATTGGGGAAGAGGGTAATCCATCGTCGCTACATGACAGTGCCTAGCTAGGAATATGAGATCTTCATAGCAACATACGTGTGGCTTATCACGTAAAGCAAGTCGCAAGGATGAAGCGCAGGAACACACAACACTGCCCAGGTAGTACCTAGACGTACAACGCGATGAGTCGCGCTGATTCGCGGAATTAAATGTATTACCTAAGTGTGAAAGATTGGAATCTGCCCTGCCCTGTGCGCAACACCGCGCATCTGGCCGATGTTGCATCTACTCCTGTCGCCTGCTACCCCAGTTGAACCAGCTTATGTACACAACCCATTCTCGATATGGCAAGAAAAGGCGCGATTTAGGGTTAGGGCTGTGCAGCAACATTTTCGCGGATGGACTTGGCGAGAACAGACCACCTGGCAGTGCGGGAACCTTGGATCGTACAACGTGGGAACGAGGAACCCCTGAAATGTACAGTGAGCTGACAACAAATGGTAGCTGCTACCACACACACGAAGGAGTTTAGGTGATACCACTAACAATGGGTCATTCAGTTCTTTAAAGTACCCACGAATGTGCGCATCTAGCGGATACGGGGGCCGCGTCAGAACTCGTCGGTCGACTAGTTCGCTTCCAGCGCGGCTTCACGCGTTGAGTGTTGGTTATAGACAATTACTCGATGTTCTTCGGGTGTGGAACTCAGGCTAAGTCAGTTTTCTAGAGTCAAGCTACCTGTGATGATGGCGCCGTTGAAGCTGAGTGGTCTTGTTCGTACTAAAAACATATGCTGATGCTCCACCTTAAACCAGGACCCAACGAGGACATCGGGAATTCCGCTGGTGGATCCACGTCATGCGAAAATAGCTGGCATGCGCCAGACCTGTGTCGCAATTTTCTCCTTTCGGCTCGATTCTCCACACCTGACTGACACTCACTTATTCTGATTCTGAAACACCCGTTGCGCAGTCAAATCATTTCATTACCATAGAGAGCTCATTTGTACAGCGCCTATCCCAACATATAGTGAGGCAGTTCTCTAGTCCATCAAGCCGGCATCCTCGCTACACCAAAGGGCCGCCGTTCTCACCGCAACCCAACTTCATCATTCAAAATAAGCGTTCGCCAAATCATGCGAAGCCGCGTCAAGGGACAAGACAAGCGCTACTCTATTAATGGTCGCAATACCCCAGATCAGACCCAGTGTTATGTAATTTCTCCATCTAGAAGTCATGTCTCGCTTCGCTGCTAGTTGCGGCAACGCTGTTGGCCACAATACAGGAGCCACTAAGGGATCATGTACACTGTCGTCTATAACCAATCGGCTACAAGTTAAGCGGTAAGAACAGACAAGAAAGTAGATTCTAAGGTACGCGCGTTGTTACCGCCGAACATTAAAGCATCACGGCTAGAGAAAGAAACGCGAGATGCATCTGGAAAATCACTAGATACGGACCGAACCCTAGTTGACTGAGCCTCGGCACAAAATATCTGACCGTGCCGTTACTACAGTAGAAACATACCCGCTTAACAGAAGCTAGCTCGGTACCTGCATTCATAGTTGGCTTATGCGACCGCGAGGAGCTAGGTAGCATAGCCACAGTGTTCGAGCGCCCCTCCACGTTTCACAACATCACTTTCCGTGCCCAAAGTGCTCAAAGTCGACGATGGAACCATACTCGGGGCTTTAATAAGCTTGACAAAACTGGTCTTTCGGTCCGAGGCTGGTAAGTGCTGTCAGGTTGCTCATACCTACTACGAAGCAAGGCAACTCACCAAGTCCTGGGGCGGCTAGACAAGAGATAGCGGTCATCGGTTCCTTCGTTAAATTTAAACTGGAACCTATGCTGAGAAGCTTGCAATGATAGTAAATCCACGGTGGCATGTCGCTTCTCTTTCTGTCCAAGCACGGTGACAATTTGGGCACTAGCATTGACTACCTGCCAGCCTCGGACGATCACTACACCGCACTATGGATCGAGGATGTGCGCTGTTTGGCATGCTACCCACGGTTCTCCTCCTGAAACTCGTATCCCTAGGAGGACCACAGCAGCTGACGAGGGCCTTGTCAATCAGAGGGTGTAAGTGCCAAGGTGTATCAATGTTGTAGTGTGTACGAGGCTAACGTCAAGGGCGGTGTGCCCGAGACGGCTGTGTGAATGGGAGAAAGGGGCATGCAGTTGATGGAGAGCATGAAAAGTCTCCTACTTCCTCGTGTCAGAACAGTGTGTCCCAACCCTTACCCACCAAACCTAGCATCTATACAATAGTGGAAAGATGTTCGTCCGTCAACTAGTCGTTAGAGTCATCGCTGCCGCAGCGTTGCTCAAGATATTGAGCGTCATCTGGCACCAATATGTCTTTCAGTCTTTCCTCGTCGAACAGCAAATCACATTCGATGATTTCCCCACCGACTACGCGAAGAAATTGAACGAATCGCGGGTAAACAACCAGCAGCCTCAGGAGTCCGACTACTCTTCCACCTACAACGGAACCAAGATCCCACGTACGATACACTACATATGGTTCGAAAGAATCTACCCAGGCCATGAAGGGCCTTCTGGAGGCCCATCGATTGGATTTGGATCACCGCAACTATGTCGCGAGCACAACCCAAGCTACGAGGTCCGCATGTGGAATGCAACGAGCGCTCGCGAGTTTCTATCCAATGAGTACGCCTGGTTTTTACCAACATATGACAACTACAAGTACCCTATTCAGAAGGTCGACGCCTTGAAGTACTTCGCGCTTTATCACTTTGGTGGTGTATACATGGACCTAGATGTCGCGTGTCGACGCTCATTGGATCCTTTGCTTGACTTTCCGGCCTGGTTTCCGGAAGCATCGCCTTTGGGTGTCAATAACGACCTGATGGCATCCGCAGCAAAGCATCCGATCGTGAAGAGGATGACAGAGGGTCTGGTGACACACAACTGGAATCTGCTGTTCCCATACCTTACAATCTTCTGGACGACCGGGCCACAGTTCACGAGTACGATACTGCAAGAATGGTTCGAGGAATGTCCCGATGGAAAATGTATGCAGCGCGGGGCCAGAGACGACCTTGGTAAGTCAGCAACTTATGCTCAACAAACAAAGACAATCCTGATAGCTGACTTGTTCCACCCAGACTCAGATTCCTTCGTCGTCCTACCGCGAGTGTTCTACTCAGAAGAATACACCTTCTTCGGTCACAAGCCTGGAGGATCATGGCATGGTGGGGATGTCGCCGTGGTATTGTGGTTCGTAGAGCGACCATGGGCGATCGCAAGTGTTGCCACGGCCTTTGTTGGGACGATCTTTGGTATTATTCGGTTAAGGAGTAGACGGGCCCGACAGAGAGGGAAGGCATATATTCCACTGGTTTAGAAGAAGCACAATTCCATAAATGTTACTTGTAGTACTCTCACTATGTCTTTGGAGGCGCTTGTGAACAGCGTGTCTGCTAGGGTGCGATTCGGCTTGCAAAGAGACGACTTTACAGACATCAGCAGCTTTGTCAGGTTGCTCTTGAAGATCTTTCTGTATGTTTAGCTGCAAGAGGCAAATCGATCGCGCTTTATACCCATGGGTTTTGTGTCACAAATTCGATGACAAAGCGGGTGTCTCATCTTGAATACAATTTACCCTCGTGATCGTATCCCAAGTACGCGAGATACGACAAAGCCTGCACGCATCCGACCATTCCGAAGCTCCACCGGCACGCCTGGTGGAACCGGATCGTACCGGCCTAGTGTCGTTCTGCATTCTAGCAGTTTAATGGTAAGTTCAGGGGCTTAGTCAACAATACCATTTATTGTTCGCCAGAAACTTCTATGAAGACCACAGGGCTACTTGGGTATTTTGAACGACCCCATCTCACGGTCTTGGACTCGGATATCACAACCGCGCCCCATGAACTAGTTTCATAGATAAGAAATGAGTACGGGGGCTCTAAGATCGACAATATGTTGTCGGTATGCCGTTATCGTCAGTTCGTGTCAGCAGTTCATGCTAGCACTCTGTGCAGGCTACGAGATCTGACACGCAAGGACGACGGAAAAGACTTTGCAAGAGCAAGGAAAGAAACGAACAGTGAGCACCGCCTGGGTCCGCCAATTGGTTCATACTGATACAGGAAGAACGAGCAGCTTCTTTGTTCAGCTTGTCATACATTTCCCCAGTATTGAGAACAAGAATTGAAGTCGAGGCCCTCACTTGCTTGTGGTCATGCAATCTCAAGCCTTGGTCATCCCAAGACCAATCTTTAACAAAGACCCTTTTTGGTCAATTTCGGCCATCTGAGACGTACGACAAGGACCGACGGCTGCTATTGCATGCTGACAGTATTGTTGTCTCAATGGATTGATTGATGTTCTTGCCTTTCTAGGTGTCTGACTATGCGAGCTGTATCTCTGGCCTCTTCCCCAATTCATGCTCGTAACACATTCCACCAAATATAAAACAGTGTGTTTATGTCGCTCATGTACCGTCCACCCAGTGTGCTTTCACGACTAAGAATGACAGTTTTCGCTCGATCTTGGAGCCCCAACACCGAGGTGATGCTATTACAAAGAGAATATGCATAAAGATAGCATGGAGATATTAGTACAGGAACCATCAACGCCCGCTAACTCAAATAGAATGATGATGACCGAGAAAGGAGACGATGCTGTTGTGATGCACGAACGTTGTTATGCGGATGCTTTTTCGGCAAAGACAGGTCTATTGTGAAAGCCTGTTACCGATCAGTGTGCCGAAGCTATTGCCTGCGGGTCGTGGCTCTTTGCCGGCTCCGACGTAGAACTCGCAGCGAAATTTGAGGCACTCAGTTCCGCGGGCGTCGTGATACACTTGAACGATGTCACCAGTATGCAGATGTCCAAAGAGAGCACGGCCCTTATCGTCCTTCTGCTTCAAGTGCTTGCCGTTGATCGAGATACCGTGTGTGGCGCAGGTCCAGATGCCGACATTCAGGTTCTCTAAGGTGGTCCAATCTTTGCCCTGTTGCGAAAGCTCCTCTACGGTTTCTGGAGTCTCTCCACCAGGCGAGTAAAAGAACACGATGAAAGCTGTTTTGGGAATGCGTGTATCACCTCTGTGCTCATATACGATTGTGTTGTTGCCCAAGCGGCCCCAGGAAGTTTTGCTCTGATCGATGTTGAGAACAATGTTAGGCGCGAAGGAATCGGGAGTTGCGATGAGTTTACCCAGTCGCCGTGGTGGCGGACGAATGTCAACCTCTACCGGAACTGATGGAATCGCTACCGCTGTAGATGGTGCTGCAGCAACACTCGATGTTGTTGACAGCGCACTTGCTTCCGATGCTGCTGTCGTGTCGGGATATACGGATGTATTACTTGTAGCGTCGCGGCTGTTTGACACAAAATCGAATCCGCTTACTCTAGAAGCATACTCCAGATTATGTGTGGTTGGATCTTTCGGGTCGTAGTAGTAGGAAGCAGTCAAAGGAAGATTGATCTGTCGGTTCATCCCAGAAGGTCGTGCTCTCGGGGTTGGCTCGCTATCTTGGCTAAAGTCCTTGGACGACTGGTCCAAAGAGCTATGCTGAACGACTTCCGGGGTCTTTGGCGTCGCTGGCATCACCGGGCTTTGCGTTCTAGATACGGGTGAGTGCGGCGAGGTCATATTGAGATCTCGTACCAAAGACTCCGCACCAAGGAGGCTTGGCGAAGAGAAGCCGCGCTCGAGCTGCGCAGGTGCAGTAAAAGGACCCTGAAACTCTGCCTCACGAGTAGTGTAACTAGTGTCGCCTGCTCCATCGTTCTGAACCAGACGAACAGATTCATCCTGTGAAAGCGCATCATTGGCATGAGCACTCAAAACTCCAGAGCTCTGCAAAGCAGACTGTCCAATCTCACCAAATAAACGAGGCTGCCTCGGTGTGGGAATAACTTGAAAACTCTCGTCATTGACAAGATGTGAGGAAGTAAACGATGGCTCGACGCTGGAATCCTCATGATCTCGCACCTGATTTCGAGGGTACAAAGGATCAGCGCGAACTCGCTTTGGCTGGCGCTCTGTGACAAAGGCCATGAGCTCGTCATCAGATAGGATGTCGCCTTCTTCGTCTGACTCTGGAATCTCCTCCTCCTGAAGACTGAGCTGCGATAGCTGCTGCTCAGCTTCCTCTGGCTCCTCTTCTTCCGCGATGGATTGAAGAGTCGGGTCGGGTAGAAATTGTGCACCATCCTTGAGCCATGGATGGTTAAGACAGTCGCGATCTGTGGGACGAGTTGCAGGGTCGGTCTGAAGCATGCGCGTCAGAAGATCGATGCAAGCGGCGGACACACCTGCCTTCTGTAGCGGTGTCGGATCGAGGGGAGTGTGCATAATATTGTTGAACATGGCTTCGCCGGTGGCATCTGCGATACCTTTGAACGGAGGCTCGCCACATAGAGCGTACCAGAGGACACCACCAAAGGACCATATATCCACAGACGAGCTATACGAGTGGTATGTCTTGGCACCACGCCGGCGCTTGGTACCCTTCGATTGGCCGCTGAAATCAGGAAACACTTCTGGAGCGCAGTACAATAGGGTTCCACAGAAGGTTTTGAGAAAGGTTTCCTCGTGCTTGACAACTTTGGAAAGGCCGAAATCCGATAGTTTGACAGTGAAAGGTTCTAGATCGGAGATGAGGATGTTGTCAGGCTTGATGTCGCGATGGGTGATCTTCGCACGGTGAAGATAACTGAGTGCGCTCAAGATTTGCTGGGCCATCAACCTCGCAACATGTTCCTTCATGGATCCGTACTGGTTGAGGTAGCCTTGCAGATCGCCTTGCCGCACGAACTCCATAATGATATAAAGATAGTCACCTTGGTCATGGTATTCGACGAATTCGACAATGTTCGGGTGCCGCAGATCTTGCATGATCTTCATCTCATTGTCGATCTTCTTGTCCAGCATACCGTTCTTCATAAATCGGCGCTTCTCTAGTTCTTTGGCAGCGAGGAGCTTTCCAGTCATCTTCTCAGCAAGTTGATAGACGGTCGCAAAGGCGCCTTTACCGATCTGGCCTGAGAACAGTTAGCAGGTATCAAGCAAGCCACGAAGGCAATACATACCGACGATGTTATAGGTTTCACCACCGTCCCACTTCATCGACGGCCCGCCATACTGCTTTGTAATTCGCTGAACAGCCTTGCCCTGTGCGTCGCCAAAGTCTGGTTGGCACTCGGTGATGAAGTTGCGCAAATTCTCACGGAAGCGGTCCAGGTAGTTGACCCGAGAAGGTATACGCACGATGAACTTGATCATCTCTGCATCATTAGAATTCTGGATACAGATGATTGAACCTGAGCTGAGCATCCGCATCCTGCTGAAGCGTTTGTCCTTGCACTTCAGAAGCGAATCGTCAACGATGGTGCCGTTGGTCGACATGTCGTCCAGCATGAGAAGGCCATCCGCGTTGAGGTATATGCGAAAGTGTTGGTTGCTTATCCTCTTGCCGGAGTCCTGACCGAAAATGACATCGGCGCTCTGGTGATTGCGCCCAAATATGAATCCGAGTGGCTTGAACTTCAGCCTTTTTGCAGAAGACATACGTAATGCCAGATCTGCGCCAGCACGCGAACTGCTACCCTGCCGTCCTTCAGGGGCGTTGATGATGAATGTCTCCTGCTCTTCGACGTCGGTGATCGAACTACTCATGGAATCGAGTGAGCTGCGGAAAAGGACATGCTCAGGTCGCTCCAGAGCTGTCTGTTCGACTATGCGAATGGCCGTGGGAGTGGCTGGGTGGAGGATTACCAAGACGTCGGCAATATCACCGTCGTTAAGGCCAGAATTGTTTCTGCCCAGTCGCCGTGGATCTAGGACCTGTTGAGTCGCAGGTTGAGTCTGCTGAGATGGTTCGGCGTCCATGGTGATTGTCAGGCGGATCTTTGAGGGCGTATTGTCCTGTAAAGCCCTGGTGGGGTTGGTCTGAGACCTGGCGAAAGGTACGGTCGTGGGATCTTGGAAGGCGACAGAGCTGTCGAGCGAGTGATTGGAGGGCGAGTTCTAGGCTTTTATACACGGTATGCAGCAGATTGCGGGGTTCGTGAGATGATTCGAGGTAGGTCTAGCGCGAGTTGGTGGTAGTTGCGCTGATAGTAGAGTGAGTGATCACTTGGACAACGTAGGCACGATGTGGACCGTGCGCTTAATGAATGGGTTGCGCAGATAGTCGTGTGTAGAGTGTTCTGGACGAAGACGCAAGCAGAACCTACGCCAGAGCTCTGCGACGTGCTCCAAATTAATGGGACGTATCAATCTCTTGTATACCACAAGCAGCCGAGGGCTAGAAGTGGAGGCTTCTTTATAATGCGACGGTCCGCCACCAGGTCTTCATTAACCAGTCTGAACAGAAGTGCTCTTCAGCCAGGCTTGATGGAGAATCCTAGTCTGGGTATACAGCCCCTTGACTTTCTTTTTCCGGGCCTCTGTCTCGGATGCAGATCAACTTTTGTAGGATGGAATGAGGCAAATGCGACTCCAAATCGGGTGGCAATGCAGTGTGTATTACAGCGACGCAGTCGCGAAAAGTGTGGAATGTGTATGTAGGTAAAGCGAGGCAGACGTTTGCCTTGATGGGGTGCGCGTACAGGCGTGGAGGAAGACGATGCGAAGGGTTGCCCTAGGAACAGGCTCTGAGGCCATATGTCAGCGCGAACACGTCGGCAGTCATCTCCGCTATGCGATTGCGATTGGAACCAAGACACACCTTGCTAGCAGAACCATACAGACACCTAACACGAACGTCGGAAGTGAATAGACGCAGACTCGAGGCGTCGCGAGTTATGAGGCTTTGGGGCGGCCCGCGCGCACCCCGCTATTGGCTGGGCACCTCCTGCTTCCAGCATACAAGGCAGCAAGATCTCTAGCGCCAAAACAAAAGTTAGAAATAAGCCGATAGAGGACAGTGTGCTCTATTACTACGTTTGCAATCTTTGTTTTCAGTTCTAAACAAACAGAGATTGAGAGCAGACTCTCACATGTGCTTCTGATTTTCTACGCATATGGAAAGATTGTTGTAGCAGTAGTGCAGCGTTGCTGAGAGTCGCCCGGGCAGCTTGTCACGTTTTTTCGTGAAAGTTTCGCGTCACTAGCAACGTCATGCTTGAAGCTAACCCTTACCAAGTGGACCCCGATCCGACCGGGCATAGTGTCTCCATCGTCGTGACACACGCAAGAGCAGAACTGTCTAGCTATTACTCAGGAAAGCGTTTTCGAGCATTTTCTTAAACCTGGTTACAACAATTTCTACCCTCCACTATATTGCTGCGAAAGCACATCCACCCTTATAGAATCTTCGCATTGACAGGGGTCGCCTCGATTCAAAGATTTTAGAGTCAACTGGGGCACGACGAAACCGTTGTGCCCATCCACTTGCAGGAATTCAGAAGTTCTGCATCCCCGTCTATCCGCTCTTGCACATAACAATCGCCAATCATTTCATATCTCGATCCTGGTTCCGTTTCCCTTTGATCCTTATGCCGTCCTAGTACAAATGGTGTCTTTCCACCACTTAGGAGAAACACCTCATCACCAACAGATGTCCCCGCTGGTCCTAGTCCAGCTCAATCTCCACCGATGATCAGGCGCCGTGAGAGCGTTCCAACGCTAGCCGACTTACCGATGTCTGAAACAAGAGATCTCCTCTCTTCGACACCTACGTCGATGGTTGGACCATAGCATCTTCGAGCAGCCTTTGCACTTGAAAGTACATATCGTCGTCAGAAGCCTCTTCGCCGTCGGTTTTGTGATATGGCGATAGCCTTGAGTATTTTCCCCAGCTTTCGAAAGTTCCAACGTCTTTACTCTATATTCTGTATACGCCAGCATCTGTAAAGTGTATCACACCTGCGCACACGGTATACATGAAGCCTTCACTGAGAAGAGCGTACACCTTGTCTCTGGAATTGGAAGCATTGCGGTCCCGGAACTGGATCAAGAGATCCAACAAGCCTAGAGACTTGGTATCGGCAATGGGATCTTGCTGTCTAGAGCGGAGGCTATCGATACTAATCATCTTGTTGAAGCTGTCATGGATGACCTTCTACTGATCTGTCGGCAGCTCTTGCAGAGTTTCTCGAACAGCCCAACACACTGTTCATGATCTTCGTTTAGTTGCACGAAAAACTGAAACGCCTCACATGCGCCGGGTTTGCGACTCGCGTTTTTCTTTTTGACTGGAGAATCTCTTTTGGGGTCGAAGTGCAAAACTGGCGGTGGTTCACTCAAAGACGGGGTAGAGCCATGAAGCTTGTCCCCAAGGTACACGATACATTGCTTGCACTTCCTGTAGATGCTGCCCATGAGCTGTACTTGATGTCAACACTGTTAAATTCACACATGATCGGTACTCCCCATGGAGCAGACTTCAACCTCACAAGTCTGATCTCATTCTGTTGGAGTGGGTGGCGTAGATTAGTCACTTTAGCTGTTTCTCGTAGAATATCAAGGGAAGATGACATAGTCGACAGAATCGATCCGGTCTCGGTGAATGAAAGCTCATGTCAAGCAAAAGGACAGCTTAACGTGTGCCCAACGTGCGCGTGTCCTCCAATAGTCTTGCCAAATACAGTTTAGCTTCACGGAAGTGACATCTGGCTCCAACCAAGATTACAAGAACTCGGCAATCAGCTCCACGTCGCAAGCCTCCAAGTCGCTCTGCAAATCGTAGCGCATTTTGCCAAAGATGAGGGGAATATGGGCACTCCCAGCGGTGCTGCGCATAGCGCTGGCGAACCAGCACGCATTTAGCGTCTTCGACGACTTGCTCGCGTTCCCGCAGGTACGATGATGCGCTGCACATAGCCACATCTAGGTAGCGTCATCACTCGCTGACCGAACACCCAGTATGAGGTTTTATGGCCCGACACTTTTGTGACGGAGAATGATGCGACTTTCCTGCTCTCCCACGCATCACCCAGCTCGAGCTCTGCCACGGCGGGTTCGCAAGAGACGCAGGAACTATCGAAGCGCGATAAGCCAGCCGCGAACATAGCACACGACGACGAACCGCTCGAGCAGACATACGAAGCAGTAGTACTGCACGGACAGCGGTACCTTTGCAGCATACCTGTGATACCCGAAGAGATAGCTCAGAATGACACAACATCGGCCGAGGAAGCAAAGGCCGAGGAGGAGAAGGAGCTCCTACGCGCAGCAGACCGTGGATGGGAGTTGCTCGAAGGCATGAAGGGCAACTGCATATACTATGTGAGCGGCTGGTGGAGTTATAGCTTCTGCTACAAGGACGAGGTCAAGCAGTTCCACCAACTGCCCCAGAGCCGAGGGGTCCCCCACTATCCGCCCGTCGAGGATACGAGCGTACACAGCTTTGTACTGGGCAAATATCCAAAAGAGGACAAGAACAAGAAAGCGGATGCCCAGAAAACGCTTGGAAGTGAACAAGGCAGCAAGGAGGCTTTCGACGACGAGGCCGACGCGGGTGAAGACGAGGAGAAGGGCCTAGAGATTTCAAGACTAGAGACCAAGGGGTCGAGCAGGTACATGGTGCAGCGGCTGTCCGACGGTACCGAATGCGACTTGACGGGCAAGCCGCGCAAGATTGATGTACAGGTATGTACTTGCACGCTTGCTGTTCTATGTCGTGCCATCCTGACATCCCCTTCAGTTCCATTGCAATCCGCAGTCTGCCGATAGAATCGCTATGATCAAGGAAACAAGCACCTGCTCCTACCTCATGATTGTCGATACACCTCGCCTCTGCCACGATGTCGCCTTCACCCCACCACAAGAGAACCTCGCGCACCCTATAACTTGTGAACCTGTTATACCAGAGTCTGAAGTCGACGCTTGGACAGAAGCACAAGTCTCCGCCAAGATGGCCGCAGCCGAACGTCTCATCGCTGCTCACAACACAGCCGACGACGCAAATACAAACCCACTTCGCGAGCTCGCCGACGGCCTCGAGGGCTCTTCCAAGCGCATCGTCATCGGTGGCATTGAAGTCGGTGCGAAGAGGTTTGTTGGAAGCGAAGGCAAGGTGATCGAGAAGTCAGTCGTTGTTGGAGGAGGCAAGGAGACGTTTATCGGTACAGTAGCGAGCAGCGACGGCAAGCAAATGTCTAAAGAAGAAATGAAGAAGCTCAACATTGCCGACCCCAAGGATGTTGAGACCTTGAAAGGAAATCTAAAGAAGCTAGCAGGCAAGAAAGGATGGAAACTAGACCTTGTAGATACACCTAGAGGCAGGGAGTTCAGAGGTATCATCGACACCGAAGATCAAGACACTGAGAAGACGAAGAAAAAGACGAGCAAGAACAAGGATAAGGATAACGCAGGCATGGGCAAGGAAAAGGAACGTGAGCCTGAGCCTGAGCAGGGTGATGGAGATGAGATGCACGAGGGAAGTGAGGAGGTGTACAAGGATGAGCTTTGAGTTGCTTCTCTACAGTAATGAGTCTTTGTCCCTAGGCTTATAGTTGGGGTGGTGGGCAACCCCGAGCGCGGTCCTCTGCTTTACCAGCACATGCACGGTTGATGTAGTTGGCTGTGATCATACCTTGGTCGAGACTTGCGCCCTTATGGATAGGAACGCTTCCGCATCCTAAGAATCATCAGCTTCAAGTTACCAGCGTCGAGAAGATTAGTCCGACTTACGTCCGCAGGGGTGATTCCTAAGCCGCTGAACGATCTCTCGGACGTCCTTGGCGTTGATATCCATATGAAGGTTTCGGGCGAAAATACACATGCCTTGAAAGTATTCGTGATTGCATACTTGGCACGCAATCTTCTCGCCGTTCTTGAATGTGACATGATCGGCTATGAACAATGGCTTCAGTAATAGCATCCGTGACTAGAATACACATGAGAGGATTTAGAATGTACTTACGAATCTTGTGGAGAGTTTC